GCACTAACTCATTTTAAACGTGGCTTAAAGGAGCTCCAAAACTAAGCTGGAGTCAGGACTAGGAAAGAGCCAATCATGAGAGAGGACAGTGACAGCAGAAACGGCCAGTACAAACCATCTGTCTTTAAGTCACACAGGGGAAGCTTAAGCACTCCTGCACATCATTTGCAATGTGTCACGTAGCCCCCGAACATCACCTGCTCCTTCCACACATACAGTCTGACCGGGCAGACTACTTTGGGAGCGATCAAGTACTTTGTCATAATCTAAAGTACCCACAAGATGGCACTGCTGCATGCAGAAGAACAAGCTGCTTAAGAAATCCCAAATCTTTTTTTGTTTTTTTTTGTATTTAATTTTTCCCCCTTTTAAAATTTAAATTAGGAACAAGCTTCTTTTACGTGTCAATCCCAGTTCCCTCTATCTCCACTCCTCCCCTGCCCCCCACCAGCCCCCCCATCCCATCCCCTTTCTGCTCCCTAGGGAGGGTGAGGCCTTCTGTCACATCATTTGGAGCAGGGCCTAGACCCTCCCCCCGTGTGTCTAGGCTGAGAGAGTATCCCTCTATGTGAATTGGGCTCCGAAAGTCCATTCGTGTACTAGGGATAAACACTGATCCACTACCAGAGGCCCCATAGATTAACCAGACCTCCAAACTGACATCCAAGTTCAGGGGGTCTGGAACAGTCCTATGCTGGTTTCCCAGCTATCAGTCTGAAGCCCATGAGCGGCCCTTTGTTCAGGTCAGCTGTTTCTATGGGTTTCTCCAGCCTGATCTTGGCCCCTTTGCTCATCACTCCTCCCTCTCTGCAACTGGATTCCAGGAAGTCAGCTCAGTGTTTAGTTCCATCAGCTACTGGATGAAGGCTCTAGGATGGCATATAAGGTAGTCATCAATCTCATCAGTGGAGAAGGGCATTTAAGGTAGCCTCTCAACTGTTGCTTAGAGTATTAGTTGGGGTCAACCTTGTAGATCTCTGGACATTTCCCTAGTCTCAGATTTCTCTTTAAACCTATAATGGCTCCCTCTATTAAGGTATCTCTTTTCTTGCTCTCCTCTATTCTTCCCCTGACTCAATCTTCCTGCTCTCTCCTGTCCTCCTCTCCCCTCCTCTCCTCCTCTTCTCTTTCTCCTAACTCCCTCCCCCCCCCTCCCCCCCCCGTATTCCCAATTAGCTCAGGAGATCTTATCCCTTTCCTCTTCTCCAGGGGACCATGTATGTCTGTCTCTCTTAGGGTCCTCCTTGTTTCCTAGCTTCTCTGGTGGTGTGGATTGTAGGCTGGTACTCCTAACACCAATGACAGTTTGCACAGGAGACGATGTGGAAAAAGGAGAACACTTCTCCACTGCTGGTGGGAGTGCAAACTTTGGAACTCAGTATGGCGGTTCCTCAGGAAAACTGGAATCAATCTACCACAAGACCCAGCAATTCCACTCTTAGGCATACACCCAAAAGATGCACATTCATACAACAAGGACATCTGTTCAACCATGTTCATAGCAGCATTATTTGTAATAGCTAGAACCTGGAAGCAACCTAGATGGCCCTCAACTGAAGAATGGATGGAGAAAATGTGGTACATTTACACAGTAGAAAAAAAAAAAAAACAATGGGATGTTGAAATTCACTGTCAAATGGATGGAACTAGAAGAAACCATCTTGAGCGAGGTAACTCAGTCACAAAAAGACAAAAATGGTATGTACTCACTCATATATGAAATCCCAAATCTTACAAAGCAGTATGAAGATTTGCTGTGGCAGAGTGGAGGTCAAAGGGAGTGTGTTAACTAGCTTTGGGCCTGTCTTGAGTTCATGATTATATTTCCACTATGCTGCGGCTTCTGCTGCTACTGGTGGCTACCGTTTAATAGGGGGCTTCGGAGCACCAGGCATCAGCATAAGCAGTTTACAAGCACAGCTTCATTCAAAGTTTACTGAAAGCCTTCTGGAGAAGCTCTGCGATGTCTCCAAGAACACGTGTCCTGGGGCAGCCAGAGATGGGGATCTCTTGTGCTTCCTCAAAGAGACTGACAGTGACCCAGTTCTGCTGTGTCCACAATAGAGAATAGGATGGCTTATCTGTTTAAGAGGCTAACAGTTCCTGGCCCCATTCAAATGTCTGAGCACCTTCTCTGTGTCAGGCACTGGCCTAAGTGCTAAGGAAAAGGGAGTACAGAATCAGAGAAGGCCCTGCTGCCAGTTCTGAGACCACAACAAACACCAGATCAGAGCAAATAGTGTGAGAGGGCTAAGAGGTCAGGGGAGAAATGGCCCATGCAGGGCATTCGAGGAGTACATGATAAGCAACGGCACCCACAAGGGGATCCTGGGAGGCAATAGGAAAATCTTCAGGAATGGACAGCCATGCGCTAGGTCTTGAATGCATCCATTAAGAAAGTTAAACTGAGGCAGGAGAGTTGATTCACATTTGTAATCTGAGCACTCAAAATACCAAGGCAGGGGGATTATGGGAAGCCCAGATCCTAGGCTGTAGAATAAGACTTTGCCTTTGAGAGGGGTGGGGGAGAGAAGGGGGGAGAAGAATAGAGGAGAGAGAGGATAGTTAGCTACATGTACAACAAAAACAACCTTAGCAATGTGACCCTTCCCACGGCTACACCACCAGTGGGCAGACTTTTCCTACAAATAGCCAGCGAGCAAATGTTTTAGGCTGTGCAGGCCTCAAGTTTTCTGTCACAGCTCTACAATGCTGCTGCTGCCAGACCGAAGCAACACAGATGCCTGGGTGTGACTGCATTCCGCTAAAGTGTCACTTGGGAAGACGGTATTGGTTAGGCTTGGTCCCCAAGCAGTGTGCAGAGCCCTGGGCTGGGCTCTAGCATTTAGAGTGAGCATGCTGTGCACCTCTGTGCCCCTCTCCCCAGTTCAATCTGTGGGGCTTGGATAGCTTGCAGTGGCCATGCTATGGATGACTATGCCACAAAACATGCAAAGGGAACCACCAGGGCTGCCCCCATGTCCCCATACCCTCCCCTTGCCCTTCTTATGCTCTGACTTTCCTCATGCTCCTCTGAGGGGACTCCTGACCTACCAGGTCTGCCTGCTGTGTAGCAGCACATTTGTCTACAATTGAATGCTTCCCACAGTATAATCGCACCCCTTGACAACCTGAGCAGCCTTGACCAGCAGAACACAGATCTGAGAAGCAAGCTGTGGACGCAGGCTCCAAGGCCTGACTATATTTATTCCACAGGCTAATGAGACCAACCAGTCACCAAGCAGCACCAACCAGGGTGGCACAGTCTTGAAGAGTGGGTAGTATCAGCAGATAACATTCTTGCAGATTTTAGTTGTGCTGTGTAAATGAGAGCCCCTTGCTAAGAGAAATTACCCAGTTTCCATAATTTGCACGTCAGTCTTCAATCACCTTGCTGTAACCAGATCCCAGAAACAAGCCTTTCCATCAAAATTGAACACCGGCAGGAAACTGTCCCAAACTGTCCTTCCCCAGGATAGCTTCCCTAGTTTATCTGGTGGGCTATTATTTTGAATGACATCTGAAACATCTGGAGTTCACACACACTTTGAAATGTTCCCCAAGCAAAACAAATAGCATCTTCACAGTGCCCACATCGGTATTCTTTCTAGATTTTTTAAATCCTTATTTTTATGCATATGGATGTTTTGCCTGCATGTACTTCTGTGCGTCATGTTGTATCCAGTGCCTTCAGAGTCCAGAGGAGGGTGTCAGATTCCCCTGGGACTGGAATCAGATTGCTGTGAGCCATCATGTGGGTGTGGGGCGTTGAACTTAGGCCCTGTGGAAGAGCAGCCGGTGCTCTTAACCACTGAGTCATCTCTCCAGCCCTTAGCATTCTCTATTCAAACCTTCTTCCACCCTGCTTCTAAACCATCTCTCTTATATCCAGCACACATCCACCCCACCTTTCCTGACAGGTTGGGCCAGTAGCTTTTCCATAGACTTTCCTACCTCCCCTTTGGAGCTTGTACCCACAACTATCTTCCACTAGAGCAGAAGGTTCCCATTAGGGCTGATGTGTGCATTGCTTGCCTTGAAAAACTCTGTCCATAAGTGGTTCCTACTTGGCTGCACATGAGACAAATGGATAGAGCCCTGACAAATACTTCTGGGCCATTTTCAGATATCGCCATGGGTCTATGTACAACATGAGCGCCATGGGAAAACTAAACAAAACAAAAACCCCTGTGTAGACAGACCTGACCAGGATGGAGAACCCTTACTCTGAAAATGTACCCCATCCTTCATTGTGTCAGGAAGTCTTGCCACAGGTCAAGGATAGAACTAGAGTTCCTCTGACTAGGTCAGCTTTCTTCAACAAAGTCTGGCTTTGACTTGACTGTCCATATCCACAGATGGGCAATGCAATCCCTGTCACATCAATATGCCCAAATGCAAATGTAAGATCTATGAAAATGTATGCCAACCTTTGGATTCAGCAAGAAAAAATAAAGCTGCAGAAAAAAACAGCCCATGATGTTATTTGTATGACATGTTACCAGCTGTGGGTTTTCTAAACAGAAATCTTGACATACTAGACTAGCAATATAACTCAGATCACTCTAGCAACCCTTCCCATATGCAGTTAAGTAGCTTTGTCTCCAAGGAAGGAGGATTTCTCATGCACCTAAAAGAAGTCTGAAGTAAAATTTCAGTCCCTAAAATGTCATGTGATTATCCCCTGGGCATTACAGTGAAGCAGCCACATCCTTGGGACTTCTTAGGCTCAGTGCACACCATCAGAAATGAACAGTTCTGGGCCACATATCTGCAGGTGGAATGGCATCTCAGGAGGAGTAATCTGTGGTTGGAAGCTTAGAGATGGTGGCAATGAACCATATCCAGCACCAGAGTGGGTAGATGCCAAGCTGTGGCCCAGAGCCAAATGACGGCACCCTGAAATAAATACTCCCTAGATGTGTGCCTGGGAGCTTGAGGAAGAACCAATTCTATGTCCCCCACCCCAAGGCCTGCCCCTAAAGAAATCAAGGAGAAAGAACCGTAAAAACTGCATTTTAATGATACAGAAATAGTACACAGCACATTTCTTTCCACAGCAGCGCTTCATTAGTCTCCTAATTTAACAAAATTAAGGCTAAATTGGAGCATTTTGATAGTAAGGGACTGTCTTATGCAATGCTATTCATGTTTTCATAAACAAAAGGATGTTCTTCAGGCAAAAACATGTTGGACAAGATACCAGAAAAGGAAATGGAATACAAAATGTGCTCCTTTGGGTCAGCCTGATAATAACCACACAGCCCTAGGGAGTGCCAGAGGGATTTTTTAAAATGAATACTTCCGGTATGAGGACAACTCTCCAGAGTTAACATTCCGCAGTACAAGGCTATTTCATAATATGAAACCAAAAACAGTTGTGTCTCCAGTATAATCCCTTTAGAATAAATAACTAGTGAAAGTCACCAGAGAACTGTGCGGAGGCCCATGGTGCCTGGAAGGACAACCCCTGCATCCTCAGCCCTTCTCCTCAGATCTGTTAGGAAGACGAGAACTAAACTATGACGAGAGAAAACTGTCAGCACGGCCAGGACAGAGGTCAGGACCCAATGGTACTCTTGAGTATGAGCAATGGCATTGAAGGCCACCAGCAAGGGTTTAGCCCCACTTCCCACTGTTCACTACTCCCAGCCAGCTCTGCTGCTCAGCTTCTGTCACCACATGTGGACTCAAGGGAAACCCTTTAGGGTTTAGAATAAGACAAACCCACCCAATAAGACAACTTACAAAAGCCCACAGGAGCTTAATTCCCTGACAGGAAGCCACGCTTGGACATCTTTGACAAGAGGGCCAAGGCCCAGAGCCACAGAAGCTTGCCTTCAGGCGAGCCCTGTCATCTGCTGTGAGAGGCTGCTCACTGCCTCCTCCAACCCTTTTTGTTCGCTAGCTTCCACCGTAGCATCCTCTTCTCCACCCACCCCAGCTGCATTAGGGAACTCTTACTTTACTGGTGAACTGGGGATGGTGCTGCCCAGGGAGAGCAGTATTTTTTAATCACAGGTATCATGACCCTACCTACTCTAAGAAGGGTATCCTGTTTACACACGATGACCTGTTATCTGGTGGTGTGGGGGGGGGAGGTTGCAGGCAAAATGTTCCCATGAATTTAAATGTTTTTCATTATTAAGTAGTCAAAATCAGTGATTTTTCCCTTCAACATGAGAATTCTGTCTATTTCTTTGGCTCCTAGAGCATCTATTTCTATAGAAATTAGGTGGAAGGAAATACCCAAGCAAGTACCATCAAATATCCTCTAAGACTTATGTATATTCCAAAGACTGCCAATCCCTCTAGGAATAGAGGGCTGAGGTACACATACCAAATGCACTTATTATATAATAAGTTCATATGTAAACACAGATAAATACATAGTCAATACCCACTTCTTTACACTTACACAGAATAATTGCTACAGACAATAGCATTGTTTGATCACACAGTAACAAAAAGAGAAAGGGGTCTTTGAAGCCTTCCAACCTTTTGATTTAATACCCACTGGCCACTGGGTTCTGTTGCTGAGCTTCTGAGTGGAAATTTCCTACCTCCGGCAGGAAATAAGATCCATTAGGCATGACCTGAACCTTGACAATTTGCTCCATTTTCCCCTATTCAACTATATAGTTCAACCCCTTCATCATATAGAGCAAGAAACTAAAGCTCAGAAAGTCAAGGTGTTGTCTGGCTACAGGGTGAGTGATGGAGAAAGGACCGAGGCTTTTTGTTCCTTCGTCCTCTACTTCCCTGCCACACTACATTGCTCCCAAACTGGTCCCTAGATAGGCCTGCCACCCACACTGAGGCTAAGAAATCATCAACAGATGCTCTGGTGTTGAACTTGGGCAGTAAGCTGTATGAGAACAGGCAGAGGTCTCATAGGCCCCAGGCCATATCCTAGCCACTGAATAGATGTCCAATAAATACTTGTTGGCAATTGCTCACCAAGGCCAAATACTGTGTTTTGTACTCCTGCCTCAGTATAGGATAATGCAAACAGATATAATATTGTACAGCTGCTTACTGTAATCCAGCCAGGAGTGCTGCTTTTCCTGGATTTATGGAAATGCCACATTAAGACAACCAAAGAACTGACAAGCTTATCAGAGTCAATCCTTTGTCCCCCTCTGTGCTTGAGAGAGGATATAAGAAAAAGACATGATCAGAGGTAAGAGGAGCCTGGCCATTTACCTAAGCATTTGGCAAACATATAATAAAAAACTCTAAGCTACTCTGAGGATAAAATGCATAGCAACTACCAACAACTGCACTACACAGATACCTAGTTCTGTTTTTCAAAGCATTTCCCCCACCTTAGAAACATTATTTTGTGACTTGAGTTGGATTCTTTATGAAGCTGGCAGTGAGGGACTAGATATTTAGCTAATGTATTAAAAGGTGCCTCTCCCCTCTTCCCCTGCATCCCCCTGAGTCTTCACACACATATACAGATTTACTTCAAGGTAGAGAAATATGAATTCTTATATTTTCTATTTGTAGCTATGGATCATAAACCATGTTGTAAGTAAGATGATCCCACTATACTATCATCTTGATAAGGAAAAATGATAATCAAAACATTTTAAAAGGCAATAGGAAAGCAGCACAGAAAACCTAAGATTAAAAATTAATCAACAAGCACACATCTACATCACATAGTTCAGCCCTATTACCCCCACAGCAAACTAGGCTCTGCTGGGACCAGAAATAAGGAGGGACTACCAGAAGGATGAGAAAGCATGAGGGAATGCTCCTACTGGCATGTGGTCCTCAGGCCTCTCCAGCCACTGTGTGCCTCACCCACCCACTACTGCTAAAGAACACAAAGTATTCCTTTGAGAAAACCTTGCTAGGATTTGCCTGTGGACACGATCATGCCCACTCACAAAGTGTCACCCCAACCTTGGAGTCACTGTCAAACAAGATTTCACTCCTCTGCTCTGAAAGCCAATAGCTGGTCTCTCTCAACATGAATTTTTGCCTCCATTTCTACAATTTAAAAAAAAAATGCTTTCCCTCACCCCTCTTTCACTGTTAAACCAGTCTTGCCTATATACAGATTCCTGATCATTCCTCAGCTAAACCTTTCAAAGTCCCACTAATGAACTCATTCAATCCATACTTATTACAGGGTGCCTGGACTCTGGGTGGTCAGCATGTAAGCCTCAGACCCGGCACTCACCATTCTCACCCGTCCCAAGGTGATGGAGGCAAGGCCAGCACAGAGCTGGAGGTCTTCACTAGCATCTAGTCACGGCCTCACCACCAAGCCTAGGCATTCAGCTATACAAAAGTCTGTGCAGAATTTATGTACTTTTCTATTGCAAAAGTACAAAGATTACACGACAGAAGAGCTTCTGTGCCTTAAGACTTATAAAGCTAATACACACTAGCAAAATGGAATAATAAAACCAAGGAGTAAAGTGCCTTTAAAATAACAATAAGATTTATAAAGACTCTCTTTTGACATTAAATATTTTATAAAGCCATATGCTACACATAAACAACTTCTCTGTCTTTTTGTAGGGTTCAGACATTATTCCAGAAAGACAGTCATACCACAAAACAACACTCAGACAACAAACACCCCATAGTTCTGGCTTGTATACTTGACAGTTCCAGTATAGAGCATTCACTATGGTCTATACACATACTACAAGAAGTTCTAAGATGATATCTACCTTCTACTTCTTCAGCCAGGAAGATAAATCTGTCACTAACATTCCAGTTATACACTGATGTAATAGTCATTATCTCAAGTCAAACAAAACTGACATCAGTAAATATAATGCTCTCTGATCAAACAAAATCACAGTCTTATTTAAATTAAGAGAGGTTCACTTAAATTAAAAATAAGATCATTTATTTGAAATCAGTTTTAAATACTAATATAACTTTTCAGGAAAATGTTAGTAATGTCTCTTAAGCCAACTTTATTTTCTCTGGACTGTGTATCTGTATAAGAATATACTATCTATTTACCACTCCAGTTATTTCATAAATCATTGTGCCTTGTTCCATAAATACTTAAGAACGCCTATAGAAAACCTCTTAGGTATCAGTTGTTACTGTGACTGAAATGCTCCAATTGCTACGTACCCTAATCCTCCAAGAAGATGATATCAAAAATTGACATTTTATAATAAAGTCACTTATTGATCTCAAAACCAGAACAAATAGAAAATAACACCACAAAAGGAATTTCAGCATGTTCTGACCACTGCTTCAGAAACATAGAAACTCAGCAAAACACAGACATGCAGGAAATCAGCGCTATATAGTAAAAATTAAAAATTAAACTCAGCACACCTTCAACAACTGGAGTAAAGGCAGACTCTTAATAAAACCGTATTATTTCTTCCTCAAGGCAATCAATAGCTACAAAAGAAAAATTATTTCATATCCTTGGTCCATAAGAAGAGATATTTATTTACATCCTAAATCGACTTAAAGAGGTTTTAGATGTCACAATTAAAATTGTATGCTTCCAAAAATATCATATCATCAATGCAGTTAACTTAAAAGTTTCAGGTATTAATAACTTCATTTAGACTTCTTAAAAAACCAACACAAACATACTTCCTAGAGTGCAAAATGCTTCTTATTAAATACTTCAAGAACACAAAAGCAATGTGTTTGGAAACACAGGAACCCTTTGCTGAAGGGCCATCGTCACATAAGACACCCATTGCCGGCAATGGGCGCCAGACAGAACCAGCAGCTGGAGGAAAACACAGCGCTAAGCTTTGTGCTCGGTCTCTGCCCATTTCAGATGACCTGTTACTTGTACAAGCTCATGGTTGGACTCTGGTACATGCACATGTACGCATCACAAAGAAGTCTGCGTGCACAGCCTTGAATCCGTCTGGAATCCAAAGAGTGCAGGTCCTCCAGAGACATCTTCAAGTACTCTCCCACTTCCGGGCAGGGTGTCACTTGTGGAATGTTGAAGCCATTTTGACCACCTATGGAGAGAGGAGAGCTCTCTTTAGGGCAGCAAACTTCTAAGTCCTATCCCACAAGAACAATTTTATTATCCTAGAATTTAGTGAAGACTGATTCCCAGAATCACGGGGAGGGAAAGCCTTTGTTTGCCTTTCCATTTCTAGAATTACAGTATCCTTTTTTGGTTTCTGAGAGGGTTCAGCAGCCAAACGAGAATAAAATTGGTAAAAGGACACATATTTAGGAAAAGCTGCAGCCCTTATTTGCAGGCTGCTACCCATGTGTGCACACAAAACCTCAGTCCCTCATACTTTTATGACCATCCCAGACACGAGCAGCTGACACTCTTTTCCACAAGAATATGCAATTTTGAGCAAATTTATTAACTGTACACTACTGTTTCCCTGAGTTTTAATGACATACTTGCACACCTCTAGCACTGCTGGGTTACATCCTGATCATCAGAGTATGCAAGTGCCTTCCTAAATGGCATGCTGCTAATGCTAACCGGGTGAAGCCCATGCGCAGGAAGGGTGGGCTGTAACCTCAGGCATCTGAGAGCTGAGCAAAGACAGAGCTGTTGGTCTACAGCTTGTGCCTCTAGTCAAGAAGCTGCCATTAGGTGTCTCTAGTTATTAGAGAACCACGTCAGAACACCTGGGAGAATAACTAGAGAAAAGGGGGCATGTGGGGTACTGTGGCGAGTACCTTACTACCAAAACCCCTTGAGATTCTGACACTCAAGTATGTATAAAGTAATAACTAAGCTTCCTAAAAATAGCTCACTGAGTAAAGGTTTCTTCCTGAAATGGAACGCATGAGATCAGGAAGATGGAGTTAAATATGAACCATGCAACAAACTTCACATCTTAAACTTTAGCTTAGACATAAAAAAAACCAAAAAAAAAACTGACATGATTTCCATGACCAAAGTATCCCACAGAGTTTGGCATTTACATCCTCAATAAATGGCTACTATACTGTAAACAAAAATGAAAGGAAGTAGATGGTAAAATCAGCTCTAAAAGAATTTTAGGATTCTATATTTTTTGTTTTTTTTCTTTTGAGGTGGAACAAACAGAAACAGGTTCTCACTATATAACACAAATTAACCTCTAATTCACAACCCTCTACCTACCAAGTCTGGGATTATGGACAAGACTCTAACAAATCTGTATAAGGGCCAATATGTCACAACATTAAGGTTCCTTAGTTTGAGTGCAAAATTATTAATACTATTTGAAATTAAAGTCTGTAACACTATGATATCCTTCAAAGAATTCTCTCAAAAAATACCCTGTTACTCTAAACAAGTGCTCTCACTAGCTTCCTAGGAAGCATCTCACCACAAAAGAAAAGTTTTAAATACCATCTCGATCAGCCATGCTGTCAAAGAAGAGCCAGGCAGAGTCATCCTTCCCATACTTCACAAAAGCAACATAGTGGCTCGTTTCTATGCAGAGAACAGCAAATAACTCCATCTTCTGACAGGGGATGCAGCCATGTCTCCAGTCCCAGTCAGGCAGGTCTTTGGGAAGTGATACTGGATGATATGTATGATTCAACCTCCTGGGATGGAGGTGAACCTAAAATGAACCATGAAGAAAATGCCACACATGAGCTAATGCTATGTTTCAAGAGGGCAGACTCTAATCACTTTCACTGACCACATCTCTAACAAACACAGTCAAGTACTACTACTACTACTACAACACACACACACACACACACACACACACACACACACACACACACACACACACACACCCCACACCAGCAGAAGAGACATGAGCAATAATAATTACTGTACTTAGATTCTGAAAGGCTTTCAAACCCTGCAATGTACTGGACCATCAGAAGCTGACTGCTGCAGGGTGCATCCACAGTGAGTGAGGGTTACCTGAGTGCTGCAGGTCTTACAAAACTGCTTTATCTTCCCTGCTGAGATGTCGGGGTCATCATAGCACTCTCTACACTCATACATTGCAAGTCCTCCACAGATGCGGCATTGCCTGGGAGCTACCATATGCAGAGAGGGAAGGAAGAAGCCTTTTACAAATATATTCTGTTATTAAAAAGCTATACTTTGAAAAAAAGAAGGCTGGGGGAGAGCCTAACCCTCTCTGACCCTCTTAAAATTTCATTTGGATTTTCTTGTATTTGTAATATTTTAAAGACTTTTTTCTCCCAAATAACCATTTTGTTAACCTATTCTAGAATTGTTCCTCTGGTCATGCTATGTCCAAAGATTCTATTGTTTGGATATATAATCCAATTAACCACTTACCTCTTATTAACATTTACTTGTCACTAATTTATTGTCAGATAATAAGTGATTTTGTATTTAAAGTATTTATTTTTACCTCTACTTTTTTTCAGAATAAGTTCTCAGCCCCCAGATTATTGGCTTAATAAGTCCAAGCTCTTCAGATACTGAATTACTTGTCAGAAGTACTATATCTATAACTAATGAAAAGCCCAGGCCAACTATTTTTTTAAAAAGCAGAACATAACAAAGGGCTATATACTTACTGTCTTCAAGTAAATCTGTTATATTTAATTCCAGGGAAGGAAAAATTTTTTTAAAAAGCTTGAAGTCTTTTCCAAATCGAGGCATCTGGATAATCAAGCATGATGGTGCCTTAAAAAAAAAATAAAGACACGTAGTTTTAGAAATCAAAGTCCTAAGGAACTGGGGACTCAGCTCAAAGATGTCTAAAGCCTTAAGTCCTATTCCCTGTACTAACAGAGGAAAAGTGTAGAAAAAGTTTCCCTATGAAATTGAAATAGTCGTGGCTGTCAAACCCAGCAGTGGTTTCACCAGTGTTGTTGGCCCATGAGACGGAGCCCACTTGTGAATGTGCAACCTGCAGAACTTCCAGACTTCCCTGGAGGACATCATCATGGGTAATGCTACCCAAGCTTCAGCAAAGAAGGCAGTAAAATACCACCTCAGAGATGAACATGGTAAAAACAGACCACAGCGTGCACTGCAGAAATCATCCACTCAAAGAGTCAAAGAAACTTTTCTACTACATTTATTAGCAACCCATACAGAACTTATTGGCATTTTATCTCTTAACAAAGGAAGAAAAATAACATTACCTTTGACACGTTTAGATAATATGCATGGGTAAAATGACAACTAAAAACATAAATATGTATGTGGATATGCGTATCTTTGGCATTAGGCTACTTTAAAGTTAAAAATTAGCTTTTCTTCCTTTCCAAATCCAAAACATTCCAACTTAAGCTAAGGGGCTTTCTTAAAAAGGAACAAAGTTAGAACATCACTTTTTAAAAATGTGTTTTCTTAACTGTTTCCTCAAACTACTCTTAAAGCACAGTGAGAGCTGGGTTGTGGTTTAGTGGGGCAACACATGGAATAGTGTGTATAAAAGTCCTGGGTTTAATCCCTAACACTAATAAGAAACAAAATAAAGTAACAATAAAAACCCAGTTAGAATCACTAACCTCTGCAAATTTCAGGTTGCTGTTGATAAAAGACCATTCTAGTAACTGCTGAATTGTAGGAACTCCAACTTTCTCATTTTTTTCCATAAAAATTTGATAGAAGTTACAGTCTTGAACTTTTTGGCCTGCTGATCTAGGAGCATATAAAAAGAAATGCTCATAAGCTCTCTATTAAATGCCTTAATCAGATGTGAAGCCATCTGACAGGACCTGAGAATACAATACCATGATGTGCAGCTATGGATCGTCTAAACACCAGATAAAAGACAATTATTTGGATAAGATAATTAAATGCACTTATGTAGAAGACCTCATAAATTATTTTTGCCTTATTCATAAATTATTCAAAAGTTCCTTGCCATCACAAGAAAAATGTAGAATAATATTCCAGTCAAGAAACACTATATGAACAATAATCAGTTCGATTTCTCCCTCCAAATCTAGAAAGCAGAAGCTGCCTTTTAAAAAAAATATTTATTTTTATTTTCTGTACAGTGGTGTTTTGCCATGGGTGTCAGGCCCCCTAGAACTGGAGTTACAGATGATTGTGAGCACTGCTTTTAGTGACTAGAACAAATGCTTAAGTGCCTCAAAAACAGACTCTTACACTTTCTAGATAAAATGTTTTTACTCCTAAAATAAAGACCCTAAGATGTAGGGAAGAATAATTTCCTAGCAAGTCGAAGCAGTGCAAGAGATGAAGCTCGGGGACTCTAACAACTGTCCTCTAGTCTTTCAGCTACCATACTCTTCAGATGGTCACCCACAGACTTGACAAATACCAGGTGAATGTCACCAACATCTCCCTTTCCTTACCAGCTAACTAGTGATCTGTAAAACTAACTCTCCTAAGAAGATTGTTTTTAATCTTTCAAGTTACTTCTTATTTTTCCTAGCCATGGCTGGGTTTAGAATCAGATTATTTAAGTGAATATCTAGATTTAGCAGTTTTTATAATAAAAAGTCATAGAAAAATTAAGTTAAAAACAGCATAGATGTGAGTTTGAGACCAGCCTGATATGCAAGAACTAGTTCCAGGACAACTTCCAAAGCCACAGAAAAACCCTGTTTCGAAAAACCAACCAACCAACCAAACAAACAAACAAACAAAAAACAGCATAGAAGCAAAAAACAAAAATAACAGAGGTAAGAAACAACACATTAAAAAAAAACAAGGACAGCCAGAAGGAGGCAAGGCAGCTAATGGGAGGAACAGCAGCCACTCAAAACTCACTCATAGGGCCAGGTGTAGTGGCACACACCTTTGATCCCAGCACTCAGGAGGCAGAGGCAGGGGATCTCTGTGAGTTCGAGACCAGCCTGGTCTATAAAGAGAGATCCAGGACAACCAGGGCTACACAGAAAAACCCTGTCTTGAAAAACCAAACAAAAATAGCAAAACAACAACAACAAAAAACCTCACTCCTAGAAATATATACACAGTGGAGTTCTTTTTAGTCATAAAGAACAAAGTATGTCAGTCATAGAAAAATAGATATAACTGGAAATAAACATATTAAACCAGCCCCATAAAGAGGAATGTATGTTTTCTCTCATTTATGGTTCCTAGATTTTCTGGAGATAGATAAAAAGCTTTAATGTGTATATGACATCAAAGTGGAAGTGAAGCTGCTTAGGGAACAAAGGGACTAACAGGAGGGAGACATGAAAAGGGACAGAAGGGATGGAGGTATAGGGGAAACACACTCAATATACAATATAGAGTTTATGAAATTTTTAGAAAATGATGAAAAATTAAGTAGTCTCACTGCTAGTTTTTGACAAGTCTGGAAACCTACAGAATCATAACAAAGTTGTGAAGTTGTACCAAGCCATGCCATTTGGGTTGTATTCTCCACTAGGGACAATCCAAGGGCACAAGAATACAAATTTGGTAACTTTTTAAAAAATGGGCATGGACATTTTACAAATATTAATATAAAAATACTCATGAATTGGTGTGGTTTGGGCCTATCTTTGTGGTACAGACCATAACAGGTGGGCCCTGAGGTCTTGTACTCATTTCTAAATCCTGTAGCTCCATGGTGAGCATGTGAGGGTTGTGATGTCATCAAACGGCTATAAAGAGCTTGGATTCGTATTACTAGTGTCAGTCTTGCTTTGGTCCAACCTTTTCTTGCTCTGCCCTCAACTCCTTCCCTTTGGGATGAGAAGCTAACCCTGTACCACTGTAAGTTGGAAATATAAAACTAGTTTATTGGTTGTTCAGGAACTCATGGTTAAAAAGTGTGGGAACACCAGACCTTGAGCAGAGACCCACTTCCCCTTCTGCCTGGGAGTAGGCAGCTGTAAGACAATGTTTAGTAAAAACATGTTTACTAAAAACGGACAATGGCCCTGCCTATGCCAGCAATCGCTTTGCTACCTTTTGCAGGGAACATCACATTGTCCATTCTTTTGGTATTCCTCACAACCCCACGGGACAGGCTATTGTGGAGCGCACCCATGCCACTCTCAAACAGTATTTTAAGAAAATAAAAAAGGGGGAGTATGTTACCTCCCCCAATATTCAGTTATCCACCATACTTTACATTTTAAATTTTTTGACCGTAGACCGTAATAATTTGTCTGCTATGGAGAGACATTGGAACAAACCCTCCCAGTCCTTGGGATGGGTCAGATGGAAGGATTTGATTACAGGAAAATGGCAGCCACCCACTCCCCTACTAGCTAGGGTCCGAGGGGCTGTTTGTGTTTTCCCTCCAGGAAGTGAGAAGCCCATTTGGGTCCCCGAACGGTGCATCAGGCATGTCGACCCCAATACTACTCCGGATACTAGGAATGCTCACCATGATAAAGATCCAACCATTGCTGAACACTCAGGTAAGGGAAATATGGGCGTTGGTGAGGATTCCCCCCCATGTTAATGCCAGTTAGTCATTCCAGCTCCCTGTTCATCAATTTTTATAACACCAATAATACATTGGAAGCGGCTGCTGCCAATGAGATTAAAAGTCAGAAACTAGACATTCTGAGTTTCCCCTCCTAAGCCTGATACCAGGGTCAGGAAGTAGGGGAATCCAAGAGATTCCCAGCGGCATACGCTTTTAATCCCAACACACCTTTATGCAAGTTCCAGGACAGCCTCCAAACAATACAGAGAAACCCTGACTCAAAAAAAAAAATTGGTACTGGTATTAATTAAAGAAAAAGACAAAGACAAAGGTATATGGAATGGAAAATTTTGTTTACATTTAAGTTCTATTTTGTGAGTCATCTCTAAAAACTTTTGGCCAAAAGCCTGGCCTCTCTACCTTGCATCTACAGAGTTACAAGGAGTAGGTACGGGTGTACCCCATGACTGTAGCTCAAATGGAGGAATGATAAAAACATATAGGACTTTTTAACCTTTTTAGTTCAAGAATTGGCTGGAGCTGTTCTTTTACATAGATTTCAATTAAGGAAGCTTCATTGCAACAGACTAATCATGACCTAGGGAAAAAGGATGACTAAAAGATGCATGTATGTTCTGAATGTATGGTGTGGCCACACCGGTATGTATGAAATGTGATTGTGAATGTGTGAGTGTGAACTGCTAATATGATTAAAAGGATACTTAAATCCCTTCAAAAATAGTTAAGAAGCTACCTAGATTGCTTTAAATATAGCCAAAAGGAACATCCAGCCAGTCTGTTAATGTTTTAACAGAAAAATTTAAGATGCAAATGAGGCCTTGTCAGCTAGTGAGAGCTCTACAGGTTAGATTGGGAAAGAGTGCTCACAGACTTCAAATAATTTTAAAAACTTATTTGGACACAGTATAGTTTACAATCTTTGAGTGATTTTCAGAAGTTTTTGGGAAATATTTAATGGATATGTCCTTTTTAATGGGCATCTACAAATAATCTAAGTAGTAATCCCAATTTACCTAGATAGTCAACCAAGGAGGGTAGACAAATCCTTCTACTGTTATGGTCCAGCTTCAACAGTTCAAAAAAACTTTTTTTAGAAAATAAAAAAGGGGGAATAATGCCCCCAGTCCCCACATGACTCATCAAATAATACACTCCTCATTTAAAAATTTTATAATGTGAATGCCAGTGAACTTCAGACAGATTCTGGCATGATGGAACTTGAGCAACCATTGCTCAGGTCAAATGGAGACATCCATGAACTAGACAGTGGAGAAGACCCTAATTTGGGGTCGAGGGCATGTTTGTGTTTTCTTGTAGGAAAAGAATAAAGCTTCGGCAGCTGTCAGACCAATTAGTGAGATGCATGGAGCAGAGAAAAACTGGACCTGAGACCATGGGAGCCTACCTAAGCCAGTTTGAGTGAGATCTCCTAAATCAGTGTTCCTGATTCTTGATGTCATCGAATCTAGAGCCCAAGAAAGAAAGAAAACAGTCGGTTCGAGATTTCCAGTTTCTCAACAGACCTGCTGCATTAACCTTCCGGACCCGTGAGTTTTCATCCCGAAGCCAACAGAGAACTGGAAAGACTAACTGTCTGCCCTTGACACACCTTGAAACAACAGAATTCATTTTGCCAGTTTTTCCCTTTGGGGGAAAAAAGGACCCATTTAAAACATTTGGACATTGGTATGGACTATGAGTGGCAAAAGCCTCTTTTCAGTATTTGAACAGGACATGGTCACTTGAAATATCAGACTTGATGGTTCCTGTTTCTGGAATCACGACTAGGCCAGTGTATTTTTCTGGAGAAATGCAACTTGTCCTAATGCGACAACTATTGTTCATATTTTTCGTAATGCTACATGTGTAACATCAATGATTGTACCTAATGTATCTGTGCAAGTGCACTTTCTAAATGCTTTCCTGAGCAGATCTTGGAACGATTGTAAACTTTATCAAATTATAAGTGTAAATCACATGCAGGTTACCCTTGTAACAGACTGAAGGCTGGTAGAATGTTATGGCCCAGATCTGGTGATGGGTATGGTGATGGAGAGGCGCTACGTCGATGGGGGTCCTGGAAATGGTGGCAGTGGCAGTAGGCATTCTGGCTTTATGCCGAGCTCAAACGTGCCTTGTTCCAGAGACAAGAGATCCGTAACCAAGTATTGCTTAGCTTAGCCCATGGCAATCCCGATAGCCATGAAGGTTGGTTACAGATGATTTAAGGTTGGGGTATCTCCGATGACGGACAACCTGTGGGGAAGACCCCTCCCACCTAAAACAGGGGTTCAAGGTCCCCCAAAGACGGGAAAGGGAGGGTGACCCTACTTGACCTAAGCCAGGAGTGCCTCATTTGAAAATAAAAAGGGGTGAATTGTGGGAACACCAGACCTTGAGCAGAGACCCACTTCCCCTTCTGCCTGGGAGTAGGCAGCTGTAAGACAATGTTTAGTAAAAACATGTTTACTAAAAACGATACAATAAGTTCCTGGCCACTTCCCCTTCTGCCTGGGAGTAGGCAGCTGTAAGACAATGTTTAGTAAAAACATGTTTACTAAAAACGATACAATAAGTTCCTGGGAAAGGCCTTCCCACGGAAACCGCCCTGACCTCGACCTTGTCCAAAGACTAACCCCACCTTCAAAAACCCACACACATCCACCTCTGGGGTCAGAGCAGAACCAGCCAGGGTAGAGGAGAGAGCAGAAGCTTCTCTGGTGGGAGCCTTTCTTAGGAAGTTTTTCTTGAACCTTTTTGGAGCCTGTTTAAAGTTCTCTTTATATCATTGAACGAGTCTCTGTGTTTTCAATACCCGACACCCTCCGCACGTTCTCAGACACAGGCCGCGCAGCAGACGTGACAAAAAAGACTATTTATACTTTTGAACAGTGTTGGAACATTAAAGATTATAGAGAATTCTGAAGTTAGAATGAATTATTCTAGCTGGGCGTTGGTGGTACACGCCTTTAATCCCAGCACTCAAGAGGCAGAGGCAGGCAGATCTCTGTGAGTTCGAGACCAGCCTGGTCTACAAGAGCTAGTTCCAGGACAGCCTCCAAAGCCACAGAGAAACCCTGTCTCAAAAAACAAAAAACAAAAAACAAAAGTTATGGGAAGTCACAATGCCCTCAGTTGTTTTTTTTGTTGTTGTTTTGTTTTGTTTCAATTCAGTCAGAATAAAACTGAACTTCCAAAAATATTCACATTCAGTTTCACCTTGTTCTCTGCAAGTTAAGTCTATCTCACAGAGTGGACAGCAGCTAGCAAAACCCCGTCTGTGGTTGCACTGCTTAGCTACACTCAGAGAACACTGAGGAACTGTCAACAAGAACTCCGTTCCTACTGAGCAATGACAGCAGGCAGGAAGGTCTACTTCCCCAATGCTTCTAGACAATTTGAGAATTACCTTATCTTTAGCAATGGCTCAACCCTTAAAATATCATGAAACAGGATATTTAGAAATTCTTCAGGATCTAGGAGAAAACAGAAAATTAAGTAAGTCATAGGAAAGTTTAAAAACCATCTATTCTTTATGACAGACATATTTCCACAATGAAATTTGTTTCATTCATTCAATATTATTTCAATTAAAAGTTTAGTTTTTTTTCAAGTTCTCCTGACAAGTGAAAACTTTTTTTTTTTCTTTTATTTTAGTTTTACAAGACAGGGTTTCCCCATGGCTTTGGAGGCTGTCCTGGAACTCACTCTGTAGACCAGGCTGGTCTCGAACTCACAGAGATCCGCCTGCCTCTGCCTCCCGGGAGCTGGGATTAAAGGCGTGCGCCACCAACGCCTGGCAAAAACTTCTATTTAAAGAGCTATAATAAAACATTACTTTGTCATTTTGTTGTCATGCTGCCCTCATTTAACAGAATATACTCAGTCACACACAAAGAAATAATTTTGGGAGTTTTAGTAGAATAATACTTGGTAATGCCCTATTTTTCCTTATATTTACATAATAGCACATGTATAAATGTCACAAACTCAAAGTCAGAAGTTGAATCTGAGCAAGTGCTTCAGTTGTGAGTAGACAGAAGCACTGGACAGATATTCCAGCCACTTCCAACAAGGAGCACAGCAGACACAGGAAGAGAAGCAACTCCAAACACCACTGCTGGCAACAAGGAAATCCCTTTACTTAGTCATCTAGTATAGAGCCAGCTAGCCTCTTAAAGAGTTGTTTTACATCACATTCACTTTAGAAAAATCACAAAACCAGGAGAAATATGCATGTCACATAGAAATTTTTTCATTTATCTTTGCAGTGCTGGGAATCAAACCCAAGGCTTTGTGCATATATCACTGATAACCCTAGTCCACTCAAATAATTCTAACCTAAAATTAATTCTCTAAACTAAACAGGTATATTTCAGGAATAATTTATCATATTGTTAAATAATATACTTTAAGTTATTTTCAATGCATATATTATAAATTAAAAGGGTCACCTTTTTCTTCAGAGGTAAATCCTGATGCAGCCTCAACTTTTTCAAGTATTTTCCTCAGTTTCATAATTTTTGTGGCACACACATATCCATATCTATGTTGATAAAAATGAATTAACTGTCACTGGCACAGTTAGTTATACGGCACATCTTAATAATCAAATACTTTTCACACAATTCTAACATGTCAAACAAACAATAGACATGGCATTTATTTTTAAGAATTCAATTGTAGGCTTCTTATAAAACGCTTCTTTCACTTTGAAAAGTAAAAGTTTGAGAACCAGAATTGTCCCCAAATACTATTCAACACCTTAAAAAATAACTACCATGTACTAATACAATTCTGAACTTTTAAAAAAAGCCTTGGTTAATGATTTTTAAATGGCATTTGTTTATTACAATAAAACAACTATTTTATAAAATAGGACATCCAATTTTTAGGAAGTCCTTTAATATACAGGATAAGAGACACAGTAAAGGGAATTGATGAGATACTAAAAATCTAAAGTCTTCAATAAAACTTGTCAACATAGTTATGACATTCTCTTTGTCTGACTACAGGAGACCATGGGCTTAAAAGAGCAAGTCACAGCCAGCTGACAATACCATGTACCTGCTTTTTAGAGTGGCTATTTACTCACTCATTAGCTCTTTGCAATCAGCATATAAAAACACATACCTCTTATGTAATGATATATGTAGGGTACCAGGAATACAAAAGGAGATTTTAAAAAAGCAAAACAATAAAAAATGAACAAAATAGTGTCTCTGCCTGTGGGAAGCTTCAAATAGAGAAAGCAACAGATATGAAGTTTATAGACACAAGAAATATATCTCAAGTTTCTGAACTCAACTGATCTTGCCTTAGCCTCTTGAGCTACGAAGTGCTGGTATTACAGGTGTATACCACCATGCTTAGCAAAATACATCTTGGTCTCATAGGCTATCTGGCAAATTTCTTGCCGTAGAGTGGGTGACAAAGTATGATAACTATGATTCTGTACTGGCTGGGCAATAGTATGCAAAGAATGTTTACTGGTAGACTGATCCAGACTCCCTAAATGTCGTGTCAGTGAGGAGACCTCAGAAATCTCTGGGGTCTTGGGTAGTAGATCAATGTTTACCATGGGGTACAAATGAACTTTGGGAGCCCATTCCACATGGAGGGATGCTCTCTCAGCCTGGACACATGGGGAAGGGCCTAGGTCCTGCTATGGTGAAATGACAGACTCTGGAGATCTCCCCATGGAGGGTGAGGCCCTCCATGGGGAATAGTGTGGGAATTGGGTGGGGGGCTGGGGAGGCTGGTGGAGAGACAAGGGAGGAGGGATGGGAGAGGGAGCTGGGATTGACATGTGAAGCATGCATGTTTCTAATTTAAATAAAACATATATTGGAAAAAAAGAAGAAAGGCTGTGAAAATATGCCTTGTAGTTAAAATTTGACTTGTACTGTTCTATCATTTACATAGGGAAAGAAAAATCTGAAAGTTTAAAATCTGTATGAGACAAAATAATATGAAAATCAAAGCACATAATTAAAAGGTGATTAAAAATTAAGGAAAACAAATATCTAGTAGGTCATTTGGAATACTTATATTTGCATACCTTACTATTTTTTAAATATAATATGTTTATTTTTATTTTCATTGTTAAGAAAAGTATATCACAAAATTTAAAATGATTATAATTGGACTTTAAATGATTTAGTTTGTTATTTATGTGCCTGACCTATGTTTTATGACCAATGGATAACCTAACTCATCACATAAAGGTCCTGTGATCACCATCATGTATTAAAGTCTTCCCACATAGTCTTCTGTATATTTACAACTCATTTAGTAGAGGAGAAGAGGAAGATCTAAGACACCATATGACTTTAATACACCTCATCTGTTTCTAGTGAGGAGTCATTACTAACTTGTAGAGCAGGGTACCAAATGGTTCACATCATTTCACAGAATGCACTACATTCTATACACTGCTCAGACTTAAATAATAAACAGAAGAGGAAGAGAAGAGGTTTTAAAAAGTCAGTATTTAATTGAGAACTAATTTCTGCTTTTTTTTTTAACTATATGAGCACAGAGCATAAATTACAAGAAAACAGAAAACCAACTAAAGACAAAACACACATCTTCTACTTACATTCTCAGAGGGTTAACTATCTCTGTCCTTAGTAGCTCTTGAGTCTCACTATAATACTCTACATCATTCTTTTCTTTGGGTCTAAGTAACACAGTGTCCAGGGCAGAACTAAAAGCAAATAAGCTGCAAAATAAAAGAACATTTTTCCCTCATGTTATAAACACAGTAATATCTGAGAAATATTCTTAAAGGTGTCAGAAGAGGAAAAGGAACCACTGGCATAAGAACTCAGGGGTCAGACAGCACAGGCCCTGTGTTCAACCATTACTGCCCAGAGACCCTGCAGGTCCAGACCAGAAACACCAGGATAAAAACGCGCCAGGAAATGTTATGAAAGAAACTTATTTGCAAAAGCCGAGAGGCCTGGAAATCAGTCACATACACAGACAACAGGGGGAGAAAGTTGATCAGTAGTTGGGACAAATCCATCTTAACATCAAAATAGGTTTTTCCTTAAAATAACTTGTGGGTAACTAGCAACAGAAAATTGTTGGTATCAAAGAAAATAAAATTTGGCTAAAATAATTTTTATTAGGAATACGATAGTAATGCTGAAAGGTTTGTTTGTTTAATCAAAAGTACTCCACCAACAAAAAGACCCACCATTTTTATTCTTTTCTCTAATTGTAAAATTCTAACATCCATGCTAACTTCCTAACTCTGTGGTGCAGCTTATACAGTTGGCAAATGCACTTAGTTTAACTGGCAGTGCACAATCCTTAAGGCTTCAGAGCCTTGTTATATTAACTTGTCCCATTTCAGGGAAAACTACACAAAGGAGGGTAACAGTGATCCCATGGAAAATAATTTTTAATATAAAGAATCTTCATCATCATCTGAGTGTACTAAAACGCACACAGCACACAATGCCAATAGCCTAGGGCAGGTTAGTTAGCACATGTGCCATCATACTACACTGGAGGCAGATGTTTTCAGAGTATCTGTTCACAGGGATCACTGCTTGTACTCAGTATTCATTGCAATATTTTTATGTTTGTGTTTTGGATCTAGGAATAGGATATGAATTCTTTAGCTACCAAGGACCAAATCTCATGATCTTTCCCAACACCATCAGTTTCTCTACTCAAAGGCACTTGGCACCTCCTTTCACACACACACACACACACACACACACACACACACACACACACACACACACACACACCTACCTGTCTCCCTCCTCTCCCACAGCACAATCTTTACCCATTACAGAAAATAAGGAACTCACCAGAATAAAGTTGAGTCTAAGTAGCAAGAATTGTAATGGCCCTGGATGCCTTTCTTCTTTCCAATCATTATCTCTAAACCTTCCTTTTCCATTTTTGGTGGAGTATTTTCTTCTACTACTTCACTTAAGTAGCCTCCAAATGCTAAAAAGATAAAAAATGAAAATAACTCTTTGAAACCATGATAGTATATATATATATATATTCATATACATGTACATATATATCATTTAAAGTACGTTTTGGTATCCTCCACATTTTTTTAACTTCAGTTAACTGTTACTTATCTGGGCTTATTAAAAATGCTATTATTCACTTTCAACATCACTCCTTTCATATAGAATTTAGAAAATTAAGTCAATTAAGCACCTGTCAAATAAACATTTGGTACTTGTCCAAAATGGTTCATTTTCAAACCTAACATTGAGAAAAATGTTTTTCATAAAGATGGTTTCCTTATTTTCCCCTGCTTGACTCTCACTATTGTTTAGAACTGGGAAAGGCCAGCACCACAAGCTGGTGACAAGTGATGAGAAGAACTGTCCTCCATCTGCCAAGCTGAATGCATCTCCAGACTGTATCAAACTTCTTCACAGGATGTTCTGAGTGAGGTACTTAAATAAGATGTCGAGGGAGAAGTTAATGCTAAAAGGACCACATTTTCATTTCTACCACCCATACTGCCAAAATTTAAATGTCTACAATCAATAGAAGAGAGGAAAGAAACAAAACAAAACACTACTTTTCACTCTTTAGATCCTAAACACTTCCTGACTCTTTTTCAACGTATCTCCTCTTAGGACAATTTGCTTATTTATGCACCAAGTAACAATCTTTACCAACTTAGAAATTTGATGACCATTGGCAACTAAATCATTTAAACACTATCACCCTCAGTTACTGAAAGGCAGCATGAAACAGTCATTCCAGATGGGTAATAAATTAAAAGTATCCAAGTACCTAAAGAATTACACCTTTCAATCTGATTAGAAACAGGCTGCAAGGACGCAAACCTAGAGTCGGGTCTGCAGCTCTTCAGTTTTACGAACAGCGCCTTCTTCAGGGCGCAGGTGAAGTAACGAGTGCCCCTGAAAGTTCCGTCCGTACAGCCTGCACATTCATCTTCCTGAAAGAGAAAGGCTTCGGTATGTGTTACACAGCACCTTGCAAAAAAAGCAGGGAAGAACTATGGAATTCTCACTTTTTCTGAATTCCTTTTTCATATCTGTACTGACTAGACAGCACCAAGGAAAAGGGACTGACTAACTGATGCTTTGGCCCCCAGCTAGTGGCTTAAAAACAACTCTTAAGCCCACCACAAAGTACTTGATGCATTGTCTTTCAAAATATGCGCTTAGGACTTCCTTGGTTTATTGGCTTCCCCTGAGCCATTTACGAAAGTATTAAAATCAAGGGGCAGGAGTAGATAAATTACCTAGCTCCTCGCAGCAAGAAAACAAGTGAAAAAAAATTTAAAACGATACATAGTTAGGTAATACCTAAGTTTATTCAAGTTCCCCCTTCTGGTTATGAAATATCATACAGTATGCTTTTCTAATATCCAAAGATAAAACCTCCCCCTCTCCCAAAGACCTCTAAACATGATGATTAATTTTAAAGTCAGTCACGTCCCTACACTGACTGCAATGGGAGGAAGCTAAGGAATAAGAAGAAAAGCTGGTAACAGAATTGCTTTATTTTCTGCATTCTGTTTAGCCTCTGTGGAGGCTAAATATTCTAGCCTAAAAACAAATCTATTCCTTGATCACAGACAAACAAATATGAGGAATAAGTGGACCAGAAGCTTGAAGAATGGCAAAGGGTGAAGATAAGCAACATTCTAAGAAACACTGTTTTCCTCTACTACTGGCTTTTTTTTTTAACAAAACAATTTCCCAAGAAATTATCTAATAGGGGAGAACCTAGACAAAATCTCATGCAGAAAAGTTGTAGACCAAAACAAATTACCAGTTCTAGTCCAGCTAGCACGTCACTGAGGCCTGGTGGCTGTCCAATCCAACGGATAACCCCATAGAATGGGGGGTTCTCTTTCACTTCAGCTAGTGAGCCCACCTCTAGACCGTGTGCATTACCAGAAGAGATGGGCAAGGGTGGACTCTCCTGGACAGGTGTGCTGTTCAGCTCCCCCATCACAGACTGCACTGACAATGAAAGTGGGCTATGAGCAATGCTGCCATTGGTATTAGGCATCTTTGTCAGGCTGAAGGGTAAAGAGTGAAATCTGTTCTCGCTGGATAAGGAGTTCATGGAAGGAGGTTGCGGTGGAGATGATGAATGTCCAAAGTCTGGAGACAGCTCTGTAAGTGACTTTGCAGGGTCTTCTGCAACTATGAAAAATTGTCCTTAATTAGAAAAAATTGTTCAAGAACATTAAGTATGCCTGCCTCTCTAAAAACAGTACAAAGATCTCATCTAACTGACCACATGACCCTTTTGCAAGTCTGCTCACAAGCACTGTAAACTCACTGGCTCTGGATTATGTTCTTGTTTTTCTCTTTATCTCCAAATTTTTCTGATGGGGATGTCTTCTGTATGTTTGTCTTTTTGGTTGATGAATAAAGCACTGTTGGCCAATAAGGAAGCAAGATAGGTGGGACTAGGAGATGAGGAGGATTCTGGGAAACATAGGCAGAGTAAGTCATGATGTAGGACACAGAGGAGTAACAGGTCCGGACTTGTTCTCCAGTAAGAGAAGACCATGTAGATATACATAGATTAGTAATTATGGGCTAACAATTAAGACAGAGCTAGCCAATAAGAAGCCCTAGTCACAGGCCAACAGTATTCATAACTATAGTATCCGAGTGTTTATTTGGGGCTCTGAGGCGGCGGCGGCAGAACTGGGTGGGAAATCCTGCAACATTTTTCCATATCAATAATCTGGCACCCAATTGCTCATCTATGTCTGGTCAGTGTCACATAGGTTATATTCTTCCCCCATAATGACTAAGTTAGAAATTAGTATGAACAAATACAAAAAATAAAGTAACAATTCTAAATAGCCCATGGATTGAAGACAAAAAATTTAAAAATAAAGAAAAAAGACAAAAAAGAAATCAAAGAATAAAGAATATCTGTGGAATAAGTAATGCTTTTAAAAGAAAATTATTGCCAGCTTATTTTTGAAAAAAGCTAGTATTAATTAACTCACATATAGCTTGGTGTATCAGAAAGACAGAACAAAAAGAGAGCAAGAATTAGTGAAAGAGAGAAAAAAGAATAAAAAAGCTTAAGTCAAAATAAACACCAAGAAAATAACTCAAGAAAACAAACTTACAGTAAAGAAAACAGCCAAAAGTTGTTTCCTTAAGTGACAAATGCATCTGGCAGGCACACCCTGCTTCTCAGCAGGAAGGAATGACCTTTTAATATTGCTGAGATAGTCAATAAGACATATGTTTAACAGCATTAGTGGCTGGAGAGATGCATCTGTTCAGCAGTTAGGAGTGCTTATAGCTCTTTCAGAGAACCTGGGTTTGGCTCCTAGCACCCACATGGCAGATCAGTTGCCTGTAACTCCAGTTTCAGGGTATCTGATTCCTTCTTCTAGCCTCTGTGGGCTCCTGCATGCATGGAGTACATAGGAACTCACACAAGTGCAAACACACACACACACACACAATTTTTTAAAAATTAAACTGGGACTAGGAATATACTAGGAGCTTGCAGGGCAAGTGTGAGGCCCTAAGATCAGTCCCCAGCTTGGCAAACCAAAACCAAACAGTAGCAACAACGCAATAAGCCAGAATCTTATTCATACTCTGCAAAAGTCAGTTCCAGATAGCATAAAAAAATGTGACTGGCAAACAATGTGTGTCTAGAATATAATACAGAACAATGTTCTGAATGACTTCAAGGAAGAGAATAACTAGATGTAAGAATATAAACCCGATGAGGGGAAATAACAAATATCATCTGGTTAAAATTAAGAACCTGTTCATGAAAAGGGGCTGTAGTGAGAGTGGCCTTGGGCCAAAGAAGAGAATACTTGTAATACACATTTCTCAGAAGATAACTTCAACAAAACCAGAAAAAAGGATGAAAGATATGAAAAGGTAATTCACAGAAGAAATTCAAATAACTAATAAATCAATGAGAGGTCCTTGCTCTTACTAGTAAATAGGTTACCAAGCCAACATGAGATATCATTTCAAAAGCTATGGGTCTTAAATGCCACACTCATCCTTTGTCAGACAATCTCTTTGTAGTGAGCAGAGGTGAGTGCAGACTCATGGCTACCCATCACACTTAGAATGCACAACTGCAGAATACACAACTGCTGAGTATTTGACCTTAAAACAGGACATTTATACAACCTCCTCTAAGACTCAAGGAATAATGTGGAAAAGAGTGGAGGAAAGAATGAAAGAGCTGGGCTGGAGAGATGGCTCAGTGGTTAAGGGTACTCATTGCTCTTCCAAAAGTCCTGAGTTCAATTCCCAGCAACCACATGGAAGCTCACAACCATCTGATACCCTCTTCTGGTATGCAGACGTACATGCAGACAAAGTACCTATATACATTAAAAAGAAAAAAAGGAGGAGGAGGAGGAGGAAAAAAGTCATTTAGGACCAATATTATTTCATGAAATTATTGAACAATACATCAGATTCTAGTATATCAAGAAGTTATAAATATCCTAGTTATGGTAGTTTGAATGAGAATGGTCCCCATAGGCTCATATATTTGAATGTTTAGTCACTATGGAGTGGAACTGTTTAAGAAGGATAAGAATGGTTAGAAGGTGTGCCCTTATTGGAGAAGGTGTGTCACTGTGGGTGGGCTTTGAGGTTTTAAAATCCCATACCAGCCCCAGTCTCTCTGTCTGCTGCCTGCAGATCAGGATGTAAAGCTCTCAGTTACTGTCCCTGTGTCATGACTATACATTTCCCACCATGATGATTATGAACTAGCATTCTAAAACTGCAAGTAAGCCCAAATTAAATGATTTCTTTTAAAAGAATTGCCTTGGTCATGGTGTCTTTTCACAGCAATAGATGGTAACTAAGACACCAGTACAATACAGAATTTGTATTTAAAAAAAAGAGAGATGAAATCACAGCATAAATTAGAAGACAGCATCATCTAGATAATGAAAGCCTGTATTTCCATTAGCTCCCTTTTCTTAGGAATCGACCAGTACCTTGGAAAGCATCTGTGAAGCTGCTTGCAATGACAGGGCATGATCGCTCTTTTTCACATCATCCTGGGTGGTCCCCATGCAAATCCAGAGACCAGCAGCATCTGGAGAGGCCACAGGTCTGACAGACCCTCTCCAGAAGTTAGAGAGCTGAGAACTGGTAGTATAAACCAATCCTAACAAAAGTAACCCACCAGGAGACAGGCCCACCTAAAGAAATACCAGTTTGACATAGATCCCGCTGTGTGGCAAGGGTGAATTCTTGAGGGGGGCAGGTCATGCTGCCTATGCTCACAAAAGCCCACTCAGTGCAGGGTTCAGATGTGGAGAATACACACTCAGGTCACTTTCTGTGTAAGTATATATGTAGCCTATGTTATGCAATTGCAGGTTTTTACTGTGTACTTTAGCCTATAATTGAATCCATGTAATAAGTAGTCATCATAGAGACTTACAATACTACAAATCCGCATTTTCATTTAGTTTACTGAATCTCCTGAATATCAAGCACTGCAGAAGTACTAGGAACTTATAGAAAACACAGGCTAGTAACCAAAACCACTTCAAGGACATTTAACCTAACCTAAGAGAGTGGGTGAGAATCTGGGGGGAGGGGCTTCAGTTTAAGAGGTGAACGGCAGTCAGCTAGACCATTAAACTGGAGGAACTAGAAGAATGTCCAGGCAATTGGGCATATGCACAAAAGGGTGGAAAGTGGGGAGAGACAGAAAGACAGACACAGATACACACACACACAGGAACAGAGGAAGAAACCCAAGCTTCTTGTCCTATCTCAATTGCTTCATTCCGTATCCTCAGCTCACCCCAATCAAGCCTCTGATCAAATCTTCCCATGACAGAAGTGACTGGGGTCAACAATGACTTCCAGAGGTTGCATCAGATGAGCTTTATATGGGCTTCACTTCGCGTGCCCTCTCAGAGAATTCAAGATGCTGTTCACTTACTCAAAGCACTCTTGACTCAACAACCTCTTGGTTTTCCCCAAAGCCCCACTGTTACTCTTCCTTAGACTCCATTAGCAACTTACCTTCCTCCCACCCCAGCCATTAAGTCCTTCAACATTTCAATCCCTGCCCACTCTCACTGCTATTCAAAGAACTTTAATCCTCTGGTGTAAACACAACTCTAGTTATTACTTCTCTTCCATGCTACACACTACACATTCAACTGCCTATTTATTCACCTCTGGGAAGCTTTAAGGGACCATCTAATGAAACATGTTCAAAATCAAACTCATCACCTACTTCCTGCATCTAAGTACATGATCCAGAAAACCAAGGGTCACCATTGATATGTCTTTCTTCCTCGACTATTACATTTAATCTACCTATAACTCCTTTCAATTCTCAATATCCCTTTATATCAATTTACTTCTATCTCTTCTCCCAAGTCCTATCTCAGAAATTATAATCAGTTCCTGAGTCCTGCAACAGCCTTCAGTGATATCCACTTATTACACTCACTTTAGTCTACTGTCTGTCCTACACCAGAATGCCATTTCCAAAAGGCAAACCTGGTTATGGACCTCATTGATAAAATTTTTTCAATTTCCTTTCAGAGGGTTATAAATAGGCTATGTGTAGCCTGGCCTTGTTGGCTGTTTCCCTTCCTCCTTTGGATATTTCTAATCTACTGGGCTCCATTCTTTTCAGAGGTCTTTATATATGCTATTTCCATGGCCTAACATATAATATTCTTCTTGTTGCACCATTTCCCTGGTGTCCTTGTTAGTTTCTGTCAACTAGACACAAGGCAGAGTTATTTGGGAAGAAGAAACTCAACTGAGGAAATCACTCCATCAGATTGCCTATAGGTTAGCCTGTAGAGCAATTTCTGGATTAATGATTAATGTTGGAGGGTCCAGCCCACTGACTGGGAAGGGGGAAGGAGCAAGATAGAACAAGGAAAGGAGGATGTCATGAGCCAGGCAGCCAGCTAGCCAGCTAGTCACAGATTAAGAGTGAAAGTAAGATATATAGAAGTAAGAAAGGAAAATGCCCAGGTAAAAGATAGTAGTAATAATTTAGGTTAAGAAAAGCTGGCAAGAAACAGGCCAAGCTAAGATCAGGCACTCATAAGTAAGAATAAATCTCAGTGTATGTGATTTATTTGGGAGATGGGTGGCAGGTCTCCCCCCTCCCAAAGAATAAAAGACTTAAAGAGCTAAGAGTAAAAAACAACCAACTACAGGCTATATCTATTTTTATTCTTTGTTACAATAACTATTTGCTGAACAGATGAAGTCAATGAATAAATGAGAGGAAAATGATGTCTAAGAAACAAGAAAAGTTAGTGTGTTTTATAAAGGAAGTAAGATATGAAAGTCTTTAAATGAGTCACTTCATGTCTAAAAACCTTTGACCTAAGAAGATGCATTTAGAGATAAGAACAAACTGCTGGGCAAATGGGCAGAACTAGGAAAAAAAAATGGTCAGTGAGGTAACCCAAAACCAGAAAGACAAAGTGAGGGAGCAGAGAAAATATGAACAGAGTCAGCTGACCTGAGCTAGTGAGAGATCACTGACTCAGGTCTGACAAATGTGGAACCTGCATAAGACCGATATACACTCCCTTGATATAGACTCCTTAATAATGGTGTGACTGGGACAACAATATATGGCTATTGGCTGTGGGTCAAAGATCTAACACTAATGCACAAACTGACTTAGTAGAGCTCTATATGGAGAGATACTTTGCCCAGCCTAGACCTCTCCGAGGAGCAGATGGGAGGGGAGGAGAGTGGAGGGGCTGGGAGGAGAGGAGGGAGGGATTGGAATGTAAAATAATAAATTAATAAAAAGAAAGAAAGAAAAAGAACAAACTGCTGGGCATAGTGGCACACACCTTTAATCCAAGAACTCAGGGATAAAGAGGCAGGTTCTAGACAGCCAGAACTATTATACTGAGAAACCCTGTCTCAGAGTAGGGAAGAAAAAAAGAACAGACTACTCAATGCATCCTCAACCTTAATAGTAGTATAGTTCAAACTATGTTTAATATTTTAGTTCAGCAATATTGGCATACCAGAAACGATCTATTCACTGTTTCCAAAAACTACAAATATCGATGAAAAAGGCATTTTTCCCTTACATATCAGAGAGGCTCATTACAAAGAGGACTAAAATTATAGATTACCTTCATCAATGTACCATGGATTTTTAGATTTGGATTGTTGTTGTGAGTCAACAGATGACCCATTTAAGGTATAAAATAATTCAGATCTGCTTCTACTTCCAGGGTCTGAGGTAGATCCTATGGAACAAGAAGAGTTTCTTTTTTAAAAAGTCAATATGTTATAATAGGCATTTTATAAATAAATTAATATGCATATGGTATTACCAACTGCTCATAATTAATTTACATGTTATTATATTGTTGTCTTCAGTTTTAAAAGCTTGGTAATTAATCAACACAGAAGAGAGCAGGAACAAGTAAACCTGGTCACTTTTATATTAAAGTTCTAACAAACCATTCTGGTGGGCAATGGTGCCTCAGGCCTTTAATCCCAGCACTTGGGAGGCAAAGGCAGGCAGATCTGAGCCTGGTCTATTGAGCAAGTTCCAGGATACAAGGACTATACAGAGAAACTGTCCCAATGTTGTTACTTTTTAATACAGTTCCTCATGTTGTGGCAATCCCCCAACCTTAAAATTATTTTTGTTGCTACTTCATAACTGTAATTATGCTACTGTTATGAATTGTAATATAAATATTTATATTTTCCAATGGTCTTAAGTGACCCTAGTAAAAGGGTCATTGGATCCCCAAAGGGGTCACGACCCAGAGGATGAGAACCCCTGCCATATAAGGACATTTCAGCCAAAAAAAAAAAAAAAAAGAACAAACATGCAACAGTGTTTTAGAGCCTAGATATACACAGAGTTCTTTCACCAAGGTTTGTGAAGTCCATTCTATGATGGTCAAAGAAAAACACAACTACCTAATGATGCACTTCTCAGAATGCATCCCATTAAAAAGTGACTCATGATTATAATTTCCCTTCATAATCTTCAAATGGTATAATACAAATACAAACTATGAACAAAATTATGTTTAAAAATTCAGGTGTGTGTATGACGCAGTATTGGAGTCCTGTGCTAGTTTGGGTAAGTAGCTAAACAAAACAAACAAAAAGATCAACTTCAGTGTCTGGAGCACTACCTGAGGTAGTAAAGTACTTACCCAGCCATGTATAATATAAGGTCCTGTTGACTTTGATCGCCAACATTACAAAAGAAATTAATTTAAATTTCTTTTTAGATTTGCTATATAAACATCTTAGAATTTAATTAATAAAATATCTTCTTTTTTGCAGTTTCAGAGGACAGACTCTTTGGGAACCTCTGGAGCAGCGGGCCCTGTGCCCTGGGTGGGAATACACTGAATTATCTGGCCTGTGCTCATCAATGGCCCTGGGAATTCAGTCCACAACCCGGGTGATCCATGGGCACTTATCTCCACTCAGGAGGAGGCCAAGTTAAGCTCAAGTGCCAAGATTCTGAAGCACAAAGGATAGAAGCTAGGTGACTTCAAGTCTGGTTGCTTGCACTGGAGATGACCTCAGATCTCAAGGCACAGCTTTGGGAACTAAACATCACCATGGCCAAGGAAATTGAAGTTCACAGTGGTCAAAAAGCCATCACAATTTTAGTACCAGTTCTTCAACTGAAATCTTTCCAGCAAATCCAAGTCCAGATAGTTTGTGAATTAAGAGAAAAAGTTTAGTGGGAAGCATGCAGTCTTCATTGCTCAGAGAAGGACTCTGCCCAAGTCAACTCCAAAAAGCTGTACAAAAAATAAGCAGAAGTGCCCAGCAGCCATACCCTGACAGCAGAGCATGACACCATCCTTGGGTGCTGGCTCTTCCCAAGTGAAACTGTGGGTAAGAGGATCCATGTGAATGGTTGACAACCGGCTCACAAGGTTCATTTAGACAAAGCTCAGTAGAACAAGTGGAGCACCAGTGAAAACTTTCTGGTGTGTGTAAGAAGCTCATGGGCAAGGATGTTAACTTGGAATTCCCAGAGTTTCAGTTGTAAAGAAAGTAAGTGAATAAAGTGTCATAATACAAATAATATAGTAATAAATGAATATAATATAAATAAAATTTCTTAAATTACTCATATCTGAAAAAATGAAGCACCATAATTTCTCACAAAGTAGATTTATTGTAGGACAAACTCAACTGGAGATTAATTATGAGTCTTGATAACTAGATATAATGCAGGTTGAATCCCAAAACTCTAAATAAAAATTTCTGTTCCAGAAACTTCCCCATGATAGATGTAGAGAACACACAACTCTCTTTCTGTTAGCTTCCACATACCTCATGGATTTATAGTCACATTTCTCAACCTGTAGACAGTGACCCCTTTGGGGGTCACATATTAGACATTATGTATTCATAACAGTAGCAAAATTACAGTTATGAAGTAGCAACAATAGTTGGGGGTCACCACAGCATGAGGAATTGTATTAAAACACAGCATTATGAAGGTTGAGAACCATTGTTTTATAGGGTGATTGGTAAGTAAGAAGAAATGATACCTGCATCACTAACAGGTATAGACACTTCCCTGCCACTGTATTAACTACAAACACACACTTTGTTAGTTATCAGTAAGAATTCTACAACCCATACTGAAGCCAATTTTTTTTTCAATTTTAAGCAAAAGGTTCTGCACCAAATAGTTCAACTCATACTTTATGTGGCACACCTGTAGACAGTTACTCAGAGTCCAGAAGTTTAAAATCAGCATAGGAAACTTATCAAAACTCATCTGCAAACAAGAAACCTATAGCTTTTTTAAATTTGAGAGTAGTGATGTATGGTATCTTTTCTGTATGATATGTGGGAATATAATTGAGAAGGGGTGTGTGTGTGTGTGTGTGTGTGTGTGTGTTACTCCTCAAGAGCCATCATCTTGTTGATGTTTTGTTTTCTTTTGAAGAGGGTCTCCATTGGCCTGAAATTTGCCAATTAAGATAAAGCACATGCTGGCCTCCAGGCTCCATCAATATCACAAGTACCTGTTACACATTGCACAGCCCAAGTTAACATCCTAGCTTTCCTCACCTCCTCCCCTACCCTAAACCCCCTCCAGCTCATGGGTTTCCCTACCACCAGCCATCCATTTGTTCTCCATGTAAAGGCAAGATTATCCCCTTGCCTCCACCATTCTCACTTCTCTTGCAGATAGCCTGGTCATGTCCAGTCGGCTGCTCTTTCTCTTTGCTCTGGACTCTTTCAAATGCCCCTGGTTGTGTGTGTTTCTCTCTCTCTAAACAGGGTTTCCCTGTGCCTTGGCTGTCCTGGAACTTGCTTTGTAAACCAGACTGGCCTTGAACTCAGTACTGGGATTAAAGGTGCGTGCCACCACCAGCTGTTCTCTCTCTTTTATCCATAATAAAAACCTCCCCCCACAATTCATGGGGTGGCCATCTCTGTAGTTTCTTTTTTGTTTTGTTTTTCAAGACAGGGTATCTCTGTAGCTTTGGAGCCTGTCCTGGAACTCTGTAGACCAGGCTGGCCTGGAAATCACACAGATTTACCTGTCTCTGTCCTGAGCACTGAGATTAACCGCATGCATCACCACCACCTGACTTTCCATGGTTTCTTTACTACATCCTCACTTTAAATCAGGTGCATTCCATTTTAGTTTACATAAAAATGTCTGAACAAATAATATGTACATATGCCTATACAAACATAATAGCATATAGCTTATTTAACATGAGAAATCAGTTTATCATATAAGCTACCAAGAATGGCACCCATACCTGTAACCTTTGGTTTATTATGACTAGATGAACCTTTGTCACCAACACCTCTTGACATAAAGGCTAGTTTGGGAGGTCTCCTTTCCTGTGTCATGCTATCTGAAACAGTAAACATGCTTTTTAAATATACACATAAATTCATATGGAAGATAAATAGTTTTAGCAATCAATGACAATAGCATAAACAAAACAAAGAAATCCTTTTCAACAAAAAAAGCACAATCTTTATAGTCTTACAGATTCTCTTTAAAGATTCCAAAATACTGAAAAGTAATTTCTCAGGGGAAAAACATCAATACTGTACTTAAAAAATGTAATTTCTACAGGAAAACACACTCCTCAGTTATCGAAATGCTTTAAATTTTGAAGTTAGATGCAGCCAATTTTATTTGATGTTTTAAAAATCTTTAAAGAAAACCTTATTCATAATTTTTATTGCATTTTCCACATCAAGCATTTATGGAAGGTGATGAAATAAATAAAGATGGATAAATTATTTACTGCAAAAATCAGAATCTTTATATGATAATGTGTCTGGATAATCTCTAAGTGATGTGATATACCCAACTGACTTGATAAAACCTTGTATACCACTCTAGTGAGTATCTTGGATTAATGTATTTAACAGAACACAGCTTGACAAAAGCCTGGGTAGGAGACAGATTAGAGTTAGTAATGCACTCACTTTTAAACACACATACATTAAGAATAACACAGATATGTATACAAACAAATGTAAAAAGGAAAAACAGAGAATTATGTACAAATCAATAATACAGAAAGCAGAGACTCACAACTAAGCACTTAAAATTATACTTCAAAGCACAGATAACAAAAAATTTTGGCAAACTTCTTTTAGATTCAAAGATTTTCCTAAACTTCAAAGTCTGGTAACATTCATCCAACACTCATAGCACTGATCAAATAAACACAGAAGAGTGAAAGTGAAAGACTTCCCCTCAGGAGGTTCAACAGCACATCCATGAGCGCAACAAGATACTGAGGAGCCGTACCTGATAAAGCTGTTATCAGCAAAAATGGTATCATCCACAGCGGAATTTTGAGGACAGAAAGAAAAAAAATAGAAAAATTTTTATATTTTAAACACAGAAAAGGTCACTTAAAATAAAAGAGTCATATTAAATTAATTGTATGCAAATTATGTTTGGTTATCTTTTTTCCATGGTTGGAGGAGAAGGGAAATATATGTGTTAAACTATATATGTTAAATACTTCAAAATATGATCAAATGAAATACTGAGATATCATTTCAATTAAACATATACTGATTAACCATAATTTTTAAAAATGATATAATGAAATACTAAAAATGTTTTATAACATTTCAGATATCTAAAAATGTCATCTATGATAGTTTTTGAAGAAAAAAATAACTATCACTGGAGAAAGTTTCCAAATTATAGCATATAAGCTGACTGAAGATAACTAATGTCCACTAAGAGTCTGTAATTCCATTAGAAAAGAGACCACCAACTACATGAAAACCACTATATATATTACACAGGTTGGGTCACTGTAACAATGCAGCCAGGGGTCCTCCCTTTGTAAGCTGTCAAGATAGCCAAGCAAACTAAGCCCAAATGGATGAGACATAATGCTAGCTTTGCTCGTGATGTTGGAGGTGAAGCTCTGGTCCTTGGAATGTGAAAACTGCAGTTATCCTTCTACCAAAATATTTGAGGGTTAGGGTCAAACATCAACTTTGAGGAATTGACCATCCCATCAGGACTCCATGAAGTGAAAGGTCACACAACACATCTTTTTTCCCCAAAAAACAATGATATAACAAGTATTTCTTAATACTTTGTTGAACCTATGTTTATAATCTAAAATCACTTGGATCATAAAGAAAATTTGGCTTAATGGCTTAAATTTGAAGAGCTTACCAACCTAGGATGTAATGAATAGGGTGAGGAATAAATTTAACAATTTGTAAAATTGAAATAATCATGATTAAAAATATTCAAGGAAATAAGATAAGTCAACCAAATAACACACCAAAATGCACACAGCAACCCTATTTATAATAACTGAGGGCTGAAAACAATCTATTCTATAACAGATAAATTGATTGAAGGAACATAAAATTGTGAGCTGGAGATATAGGTCAGTAGTGGAGCACTTTCAGTATACTCAAAACCCTGGGTTCAACCACTGTATCAAAACAAAACAAAACAAAAAACTTCTAAGGGATCATTTCTAGAGCTCACTAAAAACAATGGTCTATTAATACAATGTACTACTACATAGCAATGAAATGGAACAAACTGTTACACACATGAACACTGTGCTAAATAGAAGAAACAAGACCTCAAGTATACACAGTTTACACACATCAGGACTGCAGTAAAAATAATAAAATTAGAAAATTAGTTATTACTCTTGTTGGTTCTGTTAGGAAAAAGAAATATCTTTTGGAGATTCTTGGGCTGAAGATCTTAACAATAAAAGAGTGAAAAGTTATTCAAACCAAACAAATGTCTATAAATTTAAATAGTCCATTGTATTGAGAGTGGTTGTTAAAATGATGTATTGCTCAACATCAACAATCACAGAGCACAATTCAAACCAAAATGAGAATTCAACATGCACCAAAAAAAAAGGACATTAGAAAACCTGATGCCAGGCATGTTATGCATAGCAATTATCGAAAAACCTCTGTAAGATTAGATGACTAATAAGAATAAACATTTTAGATAATTGAATATAGTATTTGTATCTGTATGGGAATCTTACAGGTAACATCGGAGTTGCCTGCTGAGCTCTGGTACTTCAAACCATCTTTCCTTTGGGCTCTGTCTCCCATGACCAGAAGTCCTGCCTATATAGAAGAAATTCCAGAACAGGCAAACATGGAGAGACAGAAAGCAGATTCACAGTTGCCAGGATCTGGAGGGAAGCTACTACTGGACATGGGTAACAGGTTTTTTACCCAGGATGATAAAAACAGTCCTTGAGCTAAATGACAGCAATAGATGTACAATATCTTAAATGCACTTAACATTGATGAATTATACTTTAATAGAGTAATGGTGCTGATACATGAATTATATTTCATGTTTTAAAATTAAGAAAAACTTCCAAATATAGAACTAAGTAAAAGTTATTGGACTTAATCCCAAAAGTGAATCATGTGAAAAAGATAGACTAGAAAAAGACTAGGAGAGGGCTGGAGAGATGGCTCAGAGGTTAAGAGCACTGACTACTCTTCCAGAGGTCTTGAGTTCAACTCCCAGCAACCACATGGTGGCTGACAACATCTACAATTCAATCTGGTGTATATGTAATAAATAAAATCTTTAAAAAAAAAAGACTAGGAGAAAATCTCTGCGTATCATATTCAACAAAGGGCTAGTGTCTGTAACATAATTTCTTAACTTACATAACTCAACAATAGAAAAGCAAATAACCCAATCAGAACCTGGTTAAAACAGATAAAAATATATTTAATTAAAGAATATAAACATATGGCATAAACACATGAAAAGATGTTCAATATCATGTGATATCAAGGAAATAAAACTACAATGAACTATTATCACACACTTCTCATAATAGCTAATGTAAAAACAGCAGCTTTGCTGGTGAGGATGTGGAAAAACTGGATTATTCATATATTTCTAGTGGTCATGTGACACCATACAATCATTATGTAAAATAGTGTAGTAGTTTCTTTAAAAGCTTACTGTAAATAGTAGTACCCTGTACAGGTAGATCAAGTTCCTTTCAGAAGTCATCGGTTATTAAATGAAAATCCCAGTGCCAAGGGGGTGAGCTACTTCTCTTTGAGTTGCTGATCAGGAAGGTGCCTGCAGTCCCCAAAATAGCACAGGAATTTGCCACTGCTGGTGCCCACCAGATCTAGATGGCAAAACCTTATCGCTGAGGGAGGGGAGATGGAGTGGGAGGGTTAGGGGGCAGAGGAGAGGGGAGGGAGAGGGAGCTGGGAGTAACATGTGTAAAAAGTTAAAATAATTTAAGAATTAATTAAAAAAAAACCTTTATCGCTGAGGATACCATATGTCCTAGTCACAGAGCATACAGAAATCAAACTGGAACTGGGCTGGGAACTTCCTCTCTGCTAACTATCTCTCCTGGTGCAGAAAATGTAATGCAGGTCTCTAGGGAAAAACTGTCATTAATAGTCTACACTGACTGGCCAGGGAAGATGAGCTCAGTAGCACAACAGTGGTAAGTCTGTTTTTATGGGGTAACCAATGGTTTCCTGATTTAAGTTTGGGGTCTACTCTACAGGAGGGAACTCACATCTCATACTGTAAAATCAATCAGAAGCCCATGGGTGAGGAGGTCATAAGACTTAGTGCAAAATAACTGCTGTTGTTTTGTTAAAAGGATATAATGTGACTCATGAATTGCCTTCTGAAGAACTTGTGTTTATGCCCATAGTGTTGCTGTCGGTTTTTGTGAGAGAAGCTTTCTTTTGCAGTAGTAAAAATGCTGAGAAGAAATGGCTACTAAATGTCTAGACACAAATGGTACATATATATCACCCTTTCCAAGGCTCAGGGAGCACTGCAGAAAAGGGGCTGGAAAGAATGTGAGAGCTGGGAGAAGCAGAGAAGCATGTGGAATGCTGACTTCCAGGTTGCTGCACTCTTGAACCAAGATGTTCATGAGGTTGGTCTGTCATGGAAGGGGAGGAGACTCATGGGTCCCACCCTTCCTAAGGATTTATACATAGCTAATGGTCGAAAGGAGAAGGAAAAACACTCTCCCCCAATGGTGTAGCCACAGGTAAGACATACATGCTCCTACAGCAATCCTAATGAAACTCATTAAGTCACACACAAAAGCAAAGACATTAAAGCAAGACTAGCTGAGAAGAGAAGGATAACCAGGGGTAAGAGGGGTCAAAAGAGGGTAACAAGGTGATCAGGGTTGAAATGCATTATATACAAGTATGCAAATATCATAATGAAAAACCATTATCACATTTAATTAATACTGGCTAATAAAATGTTGTTACAAAAGCTTACTATGGAAATAACATATGATCTACAAGCTACACAAAGGAAAACTACACATTTTCTACCAGAAAAAATGAAGATTTGCATTTACTCCAATCCCAGCATATAATGCTCATTAAAACATTGCTCATAATGACCCAACTTAAATGTACTTCAATAGGCACTCATTAAATGAACAGTATACTAAAAACAAGGATTATCTTAGCAACTAAAAAGAAAAAGACCAACATGGATAATTCTCCAGAGAATTATGCTGAGATAAACAGTCAATCAAAAACTATGTCCTATATAATTCCACTAACATATAACTTTCCTGAAATTGCAAACGTAGGAAACAAAGAATGACTGGTGGATGCAGATGCCCCCTCCCCCAGCAGCTACCAAATACCAACAGTGCTTCAGCTAGTGGTGGGATTTCATACCCACTACCCCTTCCCTTCATGCTGGGATTTTGTCTGGCTTGAGGATGCCCAGGTGGTGTGCATGTCATCACAATCTCCTGTAAGATCATATACACAACTGCCCCTGGCATCCAGAAAATTGTTTTCTTGAAGTCAATCTCTACTTTTGGCTCTTATGATCTTTCTGCCCTCTCTTCTGCAAAGTTCCCTGAGCCTTGATTGGTGTGGTGTAAATGTTCCCACTTAAGGCTGAGCACTCCATCGTGTCTTTGCACCTTGACCAATTGAGGGTCTCTGTGTTGTCATCTATTGCAGGAAGAGGCTTTTCTGATGAGGTCTGAGATGTACTGTTCTATAGCTATGTATCAATTATACTGCAACAAAATTGTTACCTTTTTTAAAGGACATGAAGTATGAAGACACGCAACACAAAAGAAAAAAATGATCAAGGATACAAACGAAAATTATAGCATGGGATCAGCCTCAGGAGGGAAGGATCCCACCAAAAGACTTCCTTTTCAAATTTCTGTGAATTTGTACACATATCATGTAGTTCAAGTTGTTGTTGTTAATTGCATAATATTCTTAACCTTCACAATTAAAGACAGACACAGAGTTCAATGCATTACTTTATATGCATTTTTCAAAGATGTGCATTACTTTAGGGGAGTCACAAATTGGTATGCCTCATCACAACTTCACAAACTTGGATGTGCTGTCACAGCAGATGTGTTAATGTTTTGAACCATCAGAAACAGCAGTGCAAAGAGGGGCATTTTACAGCAGGGTGAAGCAAAAGTATCCAGATACCAACCCAATAGTCCACTGAGGAGAATTCTTCCCAGATCTCACCAACTGTTCAGCTGCTCCAAAAAGAATCTTTCCTACGTGCTGGAAATGTTAATCTTGTCCCACAAACGGAGGTAATTGGACAAGAAAAAAAATTAACTAAGGAGCTAAAGGAGACACTGTCATGCTTTTTCCCCTCAAGAAAAGAGTGTTAATGAAACAAAATATAGACGAAGGCTTATTCAAATAAACCAAATTAATTTTCATCTAAACAATTTTACTTTTTGAAAGTCTATTTGCAAGCTTTATTTTGTTGGCAAATAAGTATAATTTATGTGTATAAAGGCAGTATCATTCTTCATTATCTACTATTCAAGGTTTATGAATATCAATAGCTATGAAAGGGGAAAAAGGCACTCTCTTCCTTTCTCATCTCTGCTCTAGACCAGCAATGACATCAATAACAAGCAAGAATCTTGAAGATCTTGACAAGGGACTTCCAGTCATGAAATTCATGTTTTGTTTTGTTTTGTTTTTTGTTCTTAATTCTATACCAGTGTTTAGAAGATAATTGAAATGTTTGTAAGGTAAGTACTGCTAAAATTCCTTGTAAGGTTATACCCCAATTCTAACATAGGGAAAATTAAAACAGCTTTTTACTTTTCTTCTTTCCATTTACTATGTGCTACTACAGAATCTAAGATAATTTATATTTGAAACTAATTTAGAGGTGGAATTTATAAATATATTATTTACATACATATAGAAAGGAAGAAATACAGTTTAGAGTTGGGGGGCGGGACACTTCAAATCTATTTTACAGAAGACTGAAAACAACACAACCAAGCCTGCATCCCTGAGCGTCACATCTCAGAAATCATTTCCTTCTTGAATGGAAATACTAACAATTTCCCCAATCCCACAATGTACTTCATTCAGTTATGAGATGTAAAACTCAAAGCAATGCAATTAAGATAGCTAAAAACTGACAATTACATTAGTTCAAAAATGTCACAGGTTTGCCGGGCGGTGGTGGCGCACGCCTTTAATCCCAGCACTCGGGAGGCAGAGGCAGGCGGATCTCTGTGAGTTCGAGGCTGGGCTGGACCGATAGCCTCCAAAACAATACAGAGAAACCCTTTCTCGAAAAACCAAAAAAAAAAAAAAAAAGTCACAGGTTTTAAGATTTCAAAGCACCTTAAACAATGAATACCCAAACATTTTATTTGTTAACTGAAGAGAAATTTCAGTTAGATATGACTGTAGAGAAGCAGTATTACCCTGAACTGGTTCCTCTGCAAAGATTCATGAATAATAAAAGAATTACAAGGGCTTCTTCTCAGGCATCCAGCAAGTGAGCATTATAAAATCAGCACAGTTCTCCAAATTTGTTTAGGACAGGCCCTCTCAATTCAGCTCCCAAATAATTTCTTGGGTATGGTCGCTCATTTACTATCTATCTAAACTGGTTAAAATAAAAGCTCCAGGGCTAAAGAGATGGCTCTCTCCTTCTAGCACAGTTGTTCCAGGAATCAAGCCTGAAGTCAAGTGGCCAAATCCACTGAGCCATCTTGCTGGCCCTAATTATCACTTTTGTTTACTACTGGGACTTAAACTTACAGCTTCACTCAAGTGTTCTACCATGGAGCTACATCCCCAGCCCCAAGAACTCTTACCTGCAATATCCACATCTGAAGAAGCCTATGTAAGGGCTTGCTACTATCTAAAGGAATAGTGCTTCACACAGCTGTTTTTTAAACAATAAGCATTCAATATAACATTAAAAAGTACTTCAATTCACAAACATCCCAAACTGTGTTATCTATAAAACATGGATGAAAAAGTAAACACCACTAAATAAAATCAAACACATATATATTTTCCCCTGAACAGAAACCATTTGCTTCCAAAACGTTGGACAAGGAATTGGGAGTGGGAGACCCAGGAGGAGTTGGGGGGGGGTACTATAATAAAAATATTTTATATGCATGTATGAAAATTCTCAAAGAATTAGGAACAAATATATCTCAAAAGAAATCTAAAGTAAAGTATGTTAGATTTTTTTAGAGCAAAATTGAAATAAAGCTGTCACATGAATCTGACACCTCTTGCTATAAAACTAAAAGCTGTGTGGGAATCATATTCAAACTGTAAAACTAGCATTTATGACTTGACACCAGCAAGGAGACAGGAAGGGCAAAGTGCAGGCCAGGAGCCTTCATTTTCCATTTCTATGAAACAAGAAATTCAGGACTTAAAATAAGCTATAGAAAGAAACTCAAAAGCATTCTGTTGTCAACATTGCCAATAATGGGAAACCATTAGAAGGAAAAAAAATAGTATGCTGCTCACTTATGATTCTTGCTACAGTAAAATCATCTTTTATAGAACCAGAGACGAAATACATCTCCATCTCCATGGAAACAATATCCCCCAGTATGTGACACTAAGAAATATGAGTTTCTATGCAGATCTTCATAATGCAAGAGCACTCATAGGCTATGAGATTTGTTGGGGGATTGAAGAGAACACACGTTGATAATCAGATGAGTTTTGGTCTTTGGCTCTGCCACTTACTTTCATCATAGACAATCTAAGTCTGATTTGAGTCACAGTTATTTTGTTTTGTCTTTCTGCGCTTTTGTTATTTGTTCTGTTTTATTTTTAGTATATGTACTGCCAAAGCGAGCACTGTTTGTCTGTTTTATATATTTTTAAGATTAATTTGTTTTATGTATATGAGTGCTCCCAATGCATTGTGACTTTATGCCAGAAGAAGGCATCAGATCCCACTATAGATGGTTTTCAGCCACAATGTGGTTGCTGGGAATTGAATTCAAGATCTCTGGAAGAGCAGTCAATGCTCTTAACTGCTAAGCCTATCACTAGGAATTCTAACAGCAGGGGTTGGTGTGGCTACCATTGTCAATCACCTCAGAACAGCCAAAAAAGATATTAATTTGAGGTAAAACAAAAGGTTCTTAAGTTTTGTGGGGAGTTTGCCTTTGTTTTTCTTTTTTTGGTGGTGTTTGTTTTTTGGTTGTTTTTTTTTTTCATTTGTTTTTAAGTTCAAAGGCTATGCACACCTTTAATCCCAGTACTCAGAAGGCAGAGGCAGGCGGATCTCTGTGAGTTTGAGGCCAGCCTGGTCTACAGAGCAAGTTCCAAGACAACCTCCCAAATAATACAGAAAAACTCTGTCTCGAAAAACCAAAAAAAAAAAAAAAAAAAAAACTGGCTATGCTGTAGCTCAGTGGAGAGAGAGAGAGAGAGAGAGAGAGAGAGAGAGGGAGGGAGGGAGGGAGGGAGAGGGAGGGAGAGGTACCTTTACCCACTGAGCCATCTTACTGGTCCTAATTATTACCATGTAATAAATAATATAAATAGTAAATAAAATAATATGCATAATAAAACTATATAATGTTCCTGACTGCAGTTATGGAGCATGACCTATCATAATACCATATTTAAAAAAGAACTTGGAGGGGGAGAGTAATGAAAGAGATATCTTGATGGGGGTGCATTTTGGGGTCAGGAAGAAAGCTGGTGCCAGGGAAACTCCCAGGAATCCACGAAGATGACCTCAGCTAAGACCCTTAGCAGTAGTGCAGAGGGTGCCTGAACTGGTCTTCTCCCTTAATCAGATTGGTGACTACCCTAATTGTCATCAGAGAGCAGTAGGTGATGGAAACAGATGCAGAGATCCAAGCCAAGCTCTGGGCAGAGCTCCAGGAGTCCAATTAAAGGGAAGAAGGATTGTATGAGCCAGGGAGGGTCAATGTCATCACAATGAAACCCAAAGAAACAACTAACCTGGGCTCATAGGAGTTCATAGACTCTGGACTGACCTAGGCCCTCTGCATATGTCTACAGTTGTGTATGTAGTTTGATCTATTTGTGAGACTCCTAGCGGTAGGATCAGGCCTGTCCTTAACACTTGAGCTGACTTTTGGGAACCTATTCTTCATACTAGGTTGCCTCGCCCAGCTGTAATACAAAGGGAGAAGCTTTGTCCTATCTCAACTTGATAGGCTGTGCTTTGTTGATACCCATGGGAAGCCTGCCCCCTTCTGGACAGAACGAGAGGAGGAGTGGATGGGAGGCCAGAGGAGAGGTGGGGGGACAGGAGGAGAGGTGGGAGGGGAAACTTTGGTCAGAATGGAAAATATTTAATTAATTTAAAAAAAAGAACTTCAGCCTTCATTTAACAAGAATCCTGAATCCACTGTGGAGTTTAGATGAAAAAACCAATTTCTCTTTAAAGGCTCCTAGTTTCAACTCTTACTCTAACAGGTAGAGTTTTTGTATTTTTAAATGTCTAGGAGAAGACAATATAAGAGATAATGTATAAACTTCACTACATTTATATACTTTTAGAAATAACCTTCATTGTTCTTGTTTGGTGGAAAAGAAAGAATATTCTATATAATGACAATTCTACAATATAAAATCAAACTTCAAGAGATCTATCTTAAGTATATATATTTGCATTCTCATAACAAAGTACACATTAGAAACTGTCTTCTGAATGCATAAAGGAGACATACCTGGGATGATGTCATTGATGTGCAGAAGAACTGTACTTTCAACACTTGCAAAGCTACAAAGCTGTACTCCATCAAACCTTCCATCCCAGTTACCAATCGGGTTATCCTGGAATTGCCAATTAAAGGTAAACCTTTAAGCCCTAGTCAATAAAGTGTAAATATGAAACTCTACATTTCTTACAAAAGTATCCTCTAAAATATTTTACATTGAGAAATTTTAACTATTTTGCCCAAAAGAAGAAAGACTCTCTATTAGGAATATCTGCTAAAGTAACAATGTTTTACTGTAAAATTCAATTCACAGCAAACACACAAAATAATGAGACAAAAGTGCTTTTCATACTTTAGTCTGCAATAATAACACCTGCTGAGGTTTAAGGAGACATTATTTGCATAAGAAAATGTACTAGGAATGCATTGTTTTTCCCAGAAACTTACCCTTAAAAGTTAATCACACATTTACATCCCCTGGGCACTTTTCTCATGTGTGTTACTATACACCTTTCTATAAACAGAATAGTAGTTACTTCAGAATTCTTTTATCATCTATGGGTATACAAGACTTTCCTCAAACAATGGAGATTTTTCTATGTTATCCTCTAACTGTACCACCAGTCACATGGGTTGTTCATGAGGTACCAACAGATGACAGTGAAACAATTGCTCTGAGCACCAGTGTGTGGAATGCTAAAGTGTCCCTGGAAACAGAAAGGCATGAGTAAAGTTGCAATTGATGGAACTTTCTTCTCAAGAAGCCTAATAGGAGTGTTAGGAACTGATGCTTCCATAAATTAAATGGATGGACAGAACATGGGTAGAGCTGACAGGCAAGCCTCAAGACAGTCTACCTGGGATAAAAAAGATGATTCCCTAAGCTACCATCAAAAAAAAGGGGAGGACCCAAACAGCTCCTGTCACATTTAAAGCCTGGGCCAAAGAACCCATAGCAAAGGGAAACTAAGTCCAAAGATTAACGGCCTTCTTTCTCCAACCATCTCTCTACCCAGTCCACAACTTCTCCTCTGAAACACTAAACTCCCATTTAAAGAATACCTGAGATGCCCACAGGCCTTACTCTGGCTCTAATTTCACATAGCGAGAGTCTGGCAAATTCTTATTTTGTACCTAACTAATGAGTGTATCTTACACAATTTCTAAGCACAAGGTAAAAGAAACATGCTAGAACATTCATAACCTACCATCTCTTTAGAGTATTTCTAAATAGATAAAAATGATTACTAAAGATGCCCACTGTGTGAGTCTGCTGCTCATATCCTCTCCTAATACACCCTGGTATTAACAGTTATGAAGGAATCTCCTTTATCCATAACAAACTCTGTCCATACTTTCAGTCTACGATAAAAATGTTCTCAACTCCTTTCTTCTCATTCTCTTAATGCCACAGGTTAATTCAATATGTGCATTGGAATGCAACCATTATTAGCAAGTATGATTATTCAGTAATAAAAATGAGTGACACAAACAAAAGAGGTGATACTGTATGACCTCACTTTTGAGGTACTTACAGCGGGCAAATACCCTGATTGTAGGCATGGGCAAACTGGGCACTATTTATTTAATAGGACATAGCTCAGCATGGGATGATGAAAGACAGTGGAAAAGGCATAATGAGAATAGGCCAAATGCCACTGAACTGTTATTCTAACCATGGTTATGGTGGAAACTTTCTTATAATATACATATTTTGCCCCAATAAGAAAACGGTTTTTAAACAGTGCAAATCTTGTGGGAATACTGTGTCAACTCAAAAAGCAGTATGTTTCTTTTCCTGGCATTTTCTATTAATGAATTTTTACATTCATTATTATCAAAATTTTATTAAACTTTATCAAATATACACAAAATGTATCAAAGTCTTTTTAAATGAAAGGAAAATACAGTATACAATGTATTTGGGCTTGCAAAAGTGTCAGTTTTATTTTTGTTGATTTGGTTTTTGCTTTTGTCTACTTGTCAGTTATAATAAGAAGAATTTAAAGAATAAGAGCATTATCCCAGTTTATTAAAACATGAAAAGTAGTGAATGCATTGTTTCTGCTACCATATCCTATTTTATGACCCTATATCAAGATAAACTGGAATGTCTTCTTTAAAGTACTGTAAATTAGTTCATTTTCAGTATACATAGTATTCTATTTATACCTAAATTGGTAATGAAACTAATCCATATATTCACAATACTACAATCCAAAATTTCCTTACCATGTCCACACCAACAAAATATCCTAGACTCTCTTTTCCTGGCAAAACATCACAGAATATTACTGTTCCAGATTCTATGCTTTCTCCAACCTTCAAAGACACTCTGGAGTTTATTTCCAAAGGAGGAGGCTCAACCTGCATTGTATCCCCTGGGCCTGCAAAATCACTTTCCAATCCATTATCATCATCTTCTAGGAGTTCCAGTTTGTCCAGTGCAACAAACACACCACAGTCTTCATCACACTGAAAAAGCTGCTTCCCTTGATATACTCCATCAGTGAAACCTTGGCCACGACCTTCTTCCTAGTTTTGAAAGATTTTTTAAAAGAGAGATAAAAAGATTATCTATTAAAGGGATTTCAGGACAGTTTCTTTGGAAAACCTCTAAATTATACACATAATAAGAAATACCATGACTAGCAGCTGCTGTTGGGTTTAGGGTGCTTAAAAAAAAAGCTGTATCTGGTGGTGAAACTACCTCCCACTTTCAGATCATAATTCTTTTGAGAAAGAGTTGGGCTGAAATTTACAACATAATTCTATCATGACCTTTGTCGTGAACAGAATCCTACCTAAAGCAAACAGCAGCATTAGCTCCATTTACTGAGAACAAACTGTACGCTGTCTGCTGTAGAACTACTGTTCTAAGCCTTCACAAATGAGGAACAAATGAGGAGAACTTGATGTAGGATAGTTAAACGGCCTGGCAACCCTGCTCAGTTATACCATAACTGGCTGTCGAAACCATTATCCCACTGCTTGAAAGATCAAATCAAGAAGCAAACAAAGCATGAGATTCTACTCACAAGAAAGTCAGTGTGGCATTGCTGAGAGCCAAAACTCAGTTTGGAGAAACAGAGAAGTCTTAGATATGCTGTCAAGAGAAATAAACTCCAAGGGAATTTATACTTATCAGGGATAAGTATAAGCAAACTGAAATCTTGCCTCTAAACTGCTATATTTAATAATTGCATACATTAAGACCTGAAAATCTTGTAGATGAGATTATAAGATACTTTTGAAGTGATTAATTACAATTGGTAGTGTTAACTCTTAATATAGGTAACTTAAAACTTCTAAGATATAAAAGTCCAGAATAATGACTTGTATGTTTCTCAGGAAGAGATCATTTTTAAATTTTTTTTTCAAGAATTGTCTTTATATCCTCTCAATTTATCATTAAATAAATTTGGGGACTGAAATATAGCTCAATGGCAGAGGGCCCAGGGGTCCATCCTGACAACAGAACCAAAAACCAACAAACAAAAAACATAAATCCCAAGGATCATGAACATAAAAAATACATTGCATAAAAAGGGGGAAACACTTAGCCAGGCAGTGGTGGTGTACGCCTTTAATCCCAGCACTTGGGAGGCAGAAGCAGGTGAGTTCGAGACCAGCCTGGTCTACAAGAGTTAGTTCCAGGACAGCCTCCAAAGCCACAGAGAAACCCTGTCTCAAAAAAACCAAAAAAAGGGGGGGGGTAGGGGACAACACATGCTTGTACTCGTGCATCTGCGTGCACGAGCACACGCGTGCGTGCGTGCGTGCACACACACACACACACACACACTCACTCTCTCTCTCAAATGTCTTATCAAACTTACCAGCAATTCTACTCCAAAGAAAATCCCCCGACACTGTCCTCTCAGCTAATAAAGGTCCTCTGAAGCGCACAACTCCTGGAAATTTCTCTTCCCCAGATCGCAGCTGTACTTTCACAGGGCTGCCCACGTCTACCTGGAGGCCTTTACTTAGTCGGATTCTGTTTCTAAATAGGCTGAGCCTCTCCTCACAGTTGGTAATTGCCAACAGTAACTCTGTGAATTTCTCGTTGATTTCTACAACATCCTTTTCATCAACAAACAGAACTGCATGCGGTTGCTCTAAGATTTTTAATCCAATCTGATTTTTCTTGCCTTTTGCGGAAGGAACTCTTGAATGCCCTACAGAACGGTCTTGGATGTACTGTCCTATACTTCCTTTGGGCACTTTTAGGAGTTTCTGTGTCTGTTTGTCTGTTACACTGCATTCTTGAAGAAGGAGATAAAAAATCCGTTCTTCCCAGTAGGGTGAAGTAACTTTCTCTTGGCTCCATAGGCCTGAACTCATTGTGACAGTAACTTCAGAACATCAACTCACAAAAAGGAACCACTAGCAAATTTGTCATAAAATCCCAAAAAGTGAACTCTCTGGAAGTCCCAAGGCAAGTTGTTAGCAACCTGCTGTCCATGCTGTAAAAAGACAGCAATTCAAAGTGCCTGGCAAACAAGCAAAACAAACTTTAGACTCCATTCAATACACCTTAAATTAAAGCTAAAGGTTTTTTTTTTTAATCTCATTTGACTATACACATATATTAACATCTCAAAGAGCTAAAAGAGACATATGACTTGTGTCCACTCTGAGTTCTTTAAAAACTCTTGTAACTAAGCAATCAAACAGTAACAACCTGTTCCAAAATTATAAAGTTGGTTACCTTAATATACAGACTCTGACACTTTTTTTAAACTTTACATAGTAGCATTTCTGTCTAACTTGAATAAGACACAGTACTGAGAAAACAAACAATCTTATAAATTAAAATGGCTATTTCTAAACATGTAACTTAGAAAGGAATACATTATGGTATTGAGCATTTTTTATCAATTAAAAATATGACAATATTACATTCTGAAACTTTATCCACAAATTCATTTATCTATATGCTCTATTTTGGAAATGGAACATTCACTCAATTTTATATTTTACACATTTTGTTTTTATTTACATGTATATATGTTTATTTACATGTATATATGTTGTATCTCTGTGATTGTATGGGTACATGTGTGTACTCCAGGAGGTCAAAAGAGTTGGATCCTCTGAAGCTGGAGTTATAGGCAGTTATAAGCCACCCACCATGGGTGAAGGGAACACAATTCAAGTCCTCTGGAAGAGCAGTACACACTCTTAACCACTGACCAATCTCTTTAGCCCCTCAATTTCATTTTCATAATCTTGTATCTTTTGTTCTTAGACAAGAAGATGTTAACTATACTAATTACAACTTCCATTTAATTTCTTGTAAGTATTAAATATTATATCTTGGGTATATAAAGAATATTAAAAAATGGTTTGTAGCAACAAAAATTGGACTATGCAATAATGACATATTCTATATTACATTGCTCTAAGATTTTTAATCCAATCTGATTTTGATGTTTATATCTATAAATTGTTGTTTTCATACCACAATTTTAACTATGTATAAAAGGAAAGAATAGAGCCAGGTGTTGGTGGTGCATGCCTTTAATCCCAGCACTCAGAAGGCAGAGGCAGGCAGAGCTCTGTGAGTTCAAGATCAGCCTGATCTACCGAGCAAGTTCCAGGACAGGCTCCAAAACAATACAGAGAAACCCTGTTTCGAAAAAAAAAAAAAAAAAAAGCAAAGAATATACAAGTGATTATTTTCCAGATTCAATTTTTTCATTTTAAACTGTTACAAAAATAATTTTACAATTCTGTAGCCTCATTTTAAAGCCTATTTTAACTGATGACTTAAAACAACTTAATTTCAAGTGCTGTATATGACAAGTCCACAGTCAACACCATGCAAAATGGAGAAACACTTGAAGCAATCCCACTAAAATCAGGGCAAGGCAAAGTTGTTCACACTGGCAACATACAAATACCACAGTTCACATGTAAAGGTACAAGGACAACTTGTAGGAACTGGTTCTCTCTGTCCATCACATAGGCTCCAGACAGGTCACAAAAGAAAAAAGGCATGAATGTGATAAAGGGACCTGTATGGAGGGAGTATGACAGGGGTGGAAGGAAAATGAAAGAGTGGGGTCAGAGTAATCAAAACATTATATGTATATATGAATCCTATGAAGTACAATACTAACACAGTAGGAAAAAAAATGCCCACTAGTGACATGACTGTGATAGGCTCAACCAACCATGTTCTATTGAATATGAAGCCTGCTCTGCTAGAGGGAATCCATGCCCAGGTATTATAAACCATTTAAGAAACCCATGGCATAGGAGCTAACTGTCAAAGAATATATTTTAAAAACCACAATTCCATTCCTTAAAATTAAGGGCTTCATTTCTTATTTTCAAGAAAATAATGGTTTCTATGTATCTCTGTCATAAGAGTGTAACTACTTGGTTCCCAAATACAGTACTTGTTTGTTTCATCCTTGAGATGGAGATATCCTTCTCTAGCCCTGTGGTTAAAGGCAACAATTTGCAAAACTATCATATGTAGTCATTTTATTCTTGTAATTCAAATCAAATACACTTAAAACTAAAGCATCAAACTGTATTATTTGACTCAATGATTAATCAAGCTGGCAATTCCACACACAGAATAACATTTCTCTTAGAAAACACTTTTTTTTTGTTTTTGTTTTTTACGAGACAGGGTTTCTCTGTTTTGGAGGCTGTCGGTCCAGCCTGGCCTCGAACTCACAGAGATCTGCCTGCCTCTGCCTCCCGAGTGCTGGGATTAAAGGCGTGCGCCACCAACACCCGGCTTAGAAAACACTTTTAGGTGATAGTGTCCTATCATAGTAACATATTCACAATATCTGTTCCTCTGTAAACCCAAATGACAGACACAGGTCACCCAAGACAGGCTAAGGTCAGCACCACCCTCCAAACCACCATCATTTAAAGCATCTGGGTAACATATGGTGAGGATGGAAACATAAGCTTCATTCTCCTTTCTGCTTCCTTTTGTAATGTGTCTTTAATTCCACTTGAGGGCACTGTCTACTTCCTCAGAAATGGAATCAATTTGTATCTGCCACTTACATAACACACCTGTGGACACCTCAATCTTAGTCCCACATAAACAAAATTCCTCAAAGGGGCACTCAAGAAGCTACACAGCCCCTTAATGTGGCTCTGTGCCTCTGAGACCCCAAGATAAAGTGTTTGGGTTTTGTTTATTTTTTTTTTACTAAAATGTTATTAATATGTTAGCATTTTTCAAAAAAGGAAATTACTTTTTTTTCGCAATCACTAAGTTATCATTAGGAACATAAATTATTCTTAGTTATCCTCAATATATAAGGCTGTTTATTACTTTATAAAAAGCTTTCCATCCTCTCCTCGGTCTTTTTTTTTTCCTGTTTTCTATAAATCAATCTATACTTATATGTCCCTCTTGCAATCAGCCACTTTCTGTGGTTTCCTGCAGTCTGCCATTGACTCTTTTTGTGGCCTCCTTGTTTTCCAATTTACTGGTTCTAATCAGTTCTAAGAAGTGAGGTGATGAGGTATGTTTCTGTGTCTGAAAAAGCAAAGCAACAAAAACAAAGAGGAAAAGACAAATTCTAGAAGGGTTTTGAAGAATAAGGTGCATAAAGCCTTATTACAAAGATATACTTGAGACTGTTCCCAGAGGTTGGGCAGTCAAAAAGCAATGAGTTATTGTTTGGGGGTCTCTTTAAAATGCAAAATTTTTGGTAAAAAACATTTCACAGCTATTTTATTTTTAAAATAAATTACTTTTATTTCTAAAATTTTCTAAAACCAGGTGTCTTTAAATAGTACATTGGAAACTGCCTGTTCTGTTGGTTTTCTAACTTAACAACTAATGCCACAATTAGAAATGGAAAACAATAGAGTTAATGAAACATTATGAAAGGAAAACAAATCATTGTATATGTTTTAGGACATAATATTTTAAATGAATTTGATCACAAAATTGTTTTTGCAACTCATTAAGGAAGGTAGTCCACAGTTTAAAAAGAATAATATAGCCACTTTGTAAAAAAAAAAAAGGTTCATGAAAATAAACAGAAGTTTTAGAGCACCATCTTTAAAGTGAACTAGACAAAGAGTGATGAATGTCTGCCAACTCGTTGCACAAGTGAACCTGAATTTATACTCCTTAACAGGATAGGTCACAAGAGACAACTGAATAGTTAAAGTAAACCTTACAAAATACTTTCTTAAGGTATTATCCAAATGTAAAAAACATGTATGACCTTTCCTCTTTTAGAGGAAATATATTAAGAATAGGTTTGAAACACATTAAAATTAATTTCCTTTATTACAAATAATAAAGTTGAATGAAGAACTTTATGGCTCTTTCTAGAATGACCATTTATCATTTCAAGATACTAGCATTACAAAAGAAATGCGCTAACATATCTTTCCCCCCATATATATATAATGCTTACATTCTCATTCCACTGGGATCTTCACAGTAGTTAAATAAAGTTTATAACCCCATGCAATAAAAACAATCTCAAGACTCTACAAAGATTAACATCAAAAATCACATCGTGAGCTCCTTCCAGACCAAGGGTCAGTATTCTGATAGTCAGGGTTAGACACTGAAATCTACAGGCTTTAAGTAAGGTGTAATGACTGCTCTCCACCGACTCTGCTCCGACTTTAAATACAGGTCATGGCTGCTGCAATACAGCACAAGGAAAAGACATCCCAAATTCACAGTCAAGAGGATGGGGTTAGAGTGAAGTGAGAAATTTTCAGTTATACTGTCTTGTCACTTGGCAAATGGAATCACTGTGAAAGTGAGCAGATCACAAACAACTCATCTAAACACTGTCTCAGGTCAGACTGCGTGATAGTGAGCGTATATATTTTGAAAATTAATGAAGTACTGGGAGAAGATTATCAAAGAGCTGGACCAGGCGTTGGTGACACACACCTTTAATCCCAGCACTCGGGAGGCAGAGACAGGCAAATCTCTGTGAGTTCAAGGCCAGCCTGGACTACAGATTGAAGTTCCAGTACAGCCTCCAAAACAATACAGAAACCCTGTCTCGAAAAACAAACAAACAAACAAAAAAAGCTGGAACACAGCCGTGTAGCCTCAAGCTGTTTAGCCTGAAAAAAGGATGAAGAAAGGCTTTTTTTTTTTCCTTTGAGGGCACTGGAGAGAAGGGAACAGGAAAGAATCATAGATTTGAAACCATGTATGTTTATATGAGCTTGTTGATGGCCTGAATGCTGAGTAAAGGAAAGTCTCATTATATTAAGATAAAAGTCATTAAAATAAATGAGGGTTAAAAAATATAAATGTTGACCACTTTCCAGTGAATGAAAAGATGATTAAGATTCAAGTTCCTACAACAAATAAGACTTATCAACTTCTAAAAAACACATTACAAATGATCACTAGCTACTCAAAAATGATAACTTTTCTAGACTATAGGACATCTTGATATCAGCCCAAGTTATCAGGTTGTGCCTTCCCTAAGTAACTCCCCAAAACAGGCATGATTTAAGAACTTCTGGGCCGGGCGTTGGTGGCCACACCTTTAATCCCAGCACTCGGGAGGCAGAGGCAGGCGGATCTCTGTGAGTTCCAGGCCAGCCTGGTCTACAAAGTGAATTCCAGGACAGCATCCAAAGCCACAGAGAAACCCTGTCTCGAAAAACCAAAAAAAAAAAAAAGAACTTCTGGCATCTTATGAGGTATCCTCCTATTCCTAAAACACTACAGGAAGATTTCTAAATCAGTATAGAAATTGCAATACTAAATACTGCTCAAATCATGAATAGTAAAGAAGTAAGCAGGTTGGCATGGATACTTAAGAAAAGAGACACATTCTTTTTCCAAATGCTTTTTTTTTTTTTTTTTTTTTTTTTTGGTTTTTCGAGACAGGGTTTCCCTGTGTAGCTTTGGAGGCTGTCCTGGAACTAGCTCTGTAGACCAGGCTGGCCTTGAACTCACAGAAATCCGCCTGCCTCTGCCTCCCAAGTGCTGGGATTAAAGGCGTGCACCACCAACGCCCGGCTCCAAATGCTTTAAGACAGATATGATGACTATTATTTTAAGAAAAACAACTCTCACTAAAAGAACAAGTTGTTACATGCCTAAACAGTAAATAGAAATTCAGAGATTTCAAGACCAGAATAACTTGTGACACAAGGATACAGTCTCTAAAACAAGTGGGTCTTACAAGGTTAAAAAAAAAAAAAAAGAAGTCTGACTCCTGCATCTACAGTCATATCAGGGGGACAGCAACAATACTGTCCCTTGTGAGCTAACCCTAGCCACTGTACTCCAAAACCATGGCCTCCTACTCCGTGTCTCTCCAGGCCCTAGGCTGGAAAACTTGATTAACTTAGGTGGTAACATATAAAGCCAAAGCGCTATTGCCTTATCCTTTTTAAGTGACTAAAAGTTTCTACTGCGTTAAAAATAAGATCAAGAAACAGGAAACATGACTTTTGTCATGTTTCATATTACCAATTATCTGGGTAAAAGAAGTCACAATAAATAGAAACAAGGAAAATGTCACAATTATGAAACCAAGTTGTTTTGAGTTTCATTTGAAACTGGCTTCCTAGCCTCACACCACATATGATATGTTTAAAAAAATAAACAAAGAAATTTAAGATCACAGTATACAAACCAGGAACAAAATAGTATAGTTTGATGAGCAGGATAATTACTGTCCTCGTTCTTCCTGTATTAAAGACTCTCTTAAATCACTTAACCACTGTTTAGTATCTTGTTTGATTTTATATATATATATATATATATATATATATATATACACATATTTATATATAACAAGTTCCTGGCCTTGCCAGCTCATCTCAAAAGTCAACACCCCAAACAAGGATTTCTTTGAAAGAATGCCTTACAATTTTGCAGCAGAACATTAGAGAATGTTCTGGGTATTGTCAACATTCAAATTACATGAACTTCACTAAGAATTTCCAGCAAATCATTCTGTGCAAATCCACCCACTACCCAGTGGGGAGCAGCAGGCTAAATTCTTGGGGCCACTCAACCTACTTGAGGTATGAGGGGGTGTGCAAGAGACTGATGCTTGAATGCACGCCCTCTTGAGGCCTGCATTCTCCTCTGGAGCCAATGATTACAAAAATGAACAATCTTATTAAGATTCCCTAATTAGCCCCAACTCAAAAAAAAAAAAAAAAAAAAGACACCAAGGTATGAATGACTGCTCCTCTAAGAAGACAACTTTCCAGGGAAAATCAAGAGAGAGGATGGTGGCGAGGATAATGGGGGTTGGGAGATTGCAAGGCTTGTTGGCTAGACGATGACAAGCCCTTAAAACATGCAAATGCCAAGGGGTGGGATTGAAAAGGATGCCAAGGACATGAATAACCTGGCAGCTGAACCAGCCGAACTCAGCTGAAGCCCGTGATCTTCATTCAAGACTTTGCGATTCTCCACCAAGGCTGACCGTGATACTTAAAGGAAGGAGGGGTACCTGTCTCAACAGGGCACACCTTCCAGCTACACAACTGTGCAAAACCATCCTCTCCCCCCCAGGCCAGGGAAACTGAAAGAAAAAGCAGAACACGCCATTAGCGAGGCCAGACAGCTCTTCCGGAAGAGGAGTCACCAACAGCACCCAAAAACAGCACAGACATGAAGTACCATAACCCTGGGCTCTCTGTGCAGCTGTTGGGAGCCAGCCAGGGTCCCGGCCTCAGTTTCCCCACCTGTCAACGACGGCGGGCCAAAGAGGGAGACTGAGTCCTCCGCTGCTCCTACCCAAGTCCTCTGGTCCCGGAGTCCCGCGACCCGGGAGTCCTCTGGGAGGCTAGGGGTGGGCAGCCACGGTTGACGTCAGAGGCTCGGCGGCCCGGGGCAGCTAACGGGCGGGCGCTGAGGCCCGACGGTCGCCTCTGCGGCTCAGGGAGCCCGAGGCAAAGCGGAGCAGGAACGCCGGGGACCTTGCCTCGGCCGCGCTCAATCACCCTCCTCGGCCGCCGCTCAATGCCCCGACCGCGGCCCGGGCTTCAGAGCCGGCGTCCCGGGCCGGCCCGGCGCCCCACACCCACCACCCCAGTATTTACCTCAGGCGCGCGGCCCCCGCTCAGCCGAACCTGCTACCTGGGCCCGCCCCCACCTGCCCCGCCTCCGAACCGCCCGCAAGGAGGGAGGGGCGGAGGCGGAGGGGGCTGACGCCACGCCAGCCAATGGCATCCTGAGATTCGACCCTGCGCGCGCTCTGATTGGATCTTCCTGTAACAGACCTTCCTCCAATGGCTGCTGGCGCGGCGCCGGCTGAAGGGACTTTCCGCTCGGTCAAGCTCGGTGGAGCCAAAGGGAAAGCGAAGGGGCGGGGCAGAAGAGAAAGGATGGGGACGAGGAGCGATGGCTGATTGGACAACAGGCTGCGGGTGCCACGTCACCATTGGCTGAAACCAGACCTGGGCAGGGCGCTGTGCTCCCAGCTCCACCTCCCTTGCTCTGGTCTTGGCTCTTGCCTTAGCTGTCAAAACCCGGGTGGGAAGAGAGCCAGAGGAGAGCTGAGAATAGTTTTTCAGAATTCCATGAAAGATCAAAGCTTAGAATCACACCTAAGAGTCACTGTTTTCCTTCTCAATTATTCGCCATGTGTCATGGGGAACTCCCAACCATGCTGAGCCTCAATTTCCTCATCTGTAGAATGGAGGTGTTAGTACCACCTGTCTTGTTGTTGTGAAATGCCAACACGGTATCTCCTAACAGTAGGCGCTCGGTAAAAGTTGAAGGAAGCTCTTCCTGCCCTCCGATGGGGTCTGGAACTCCTGCTGTTTTTGAACCCTGTGGCCACCTATCCCAGGTTGGAGAGATTCTTCTAAGAATAGAGAAAGGGTTTCCACCCTCCACCTTACCCAGGCTTGCACCCCTGGCCACCAGCCAGATTTGGAGTATAGTAAAGGATCTTTCAATTAGAAGGGAGGCTTCCGACTCCCAAAAGTGCTCCAAATATTTAAGGAAACTCTTTTTATAATCAGCCCCAGAGCCCGGCAGCACATGCCTTGCTTCACTGGATAGTCCTCTTAATTAATTCCTTCTCCTTTGACATTTTAACTACTAATTATGGGAGAAGGTGATTAATACTGAGAAAGGAGGTGTGTGTGTGTGTGTGTGTGTGTTTGTTTAATCATGACACAAATTCCCCCAGTGGAATGTGGCGAGTTTCTGAAAATCCAAAGAATTGCAACCAATGAGAACAGAAAAGTCACAGACACGTGACTAACAGTAAACTCTCACTGGTGATTTTTAAAAAAATCAACACCTTTTGTAAACCTAAGCCTCAAGCCTCTCCAGTCTTTCATTGGTACACATACACATACATCCTGCTCCCAGCTTCTTGAGCTCTAGCAAGAAGTAACGTGATAATGAATCAATAGTGGCCTAAGACAACAACATCTGCCTACAGATATGGCTTCTCCTATGACACTGCAGGACTTGGAGAGCCAATCTGGCTGTGTGGGAGAGCATTTTGGCCTGAAAAGAGGTCTTGCTAAGGAAGAGAAAGGAGTTGAGGAAGTGGACTTTGGGACTCTTTTGATGAGGCAAGCACTCTAATTTCCTCCAGCTTGCCATGGCCCTGCCCTTTCTGTGTAGTCTCTGGATTTGCCACTCCCGGCCACTTTGCCCTCCTGTTGTCACATGCTCAGGGTCAGGGCCTGACTTCATCCAAGTTCATTAGCTAAGCCAAGCCTTATCCCCAGGCTCATCTCAGTCACCACACCCTGTCACATGGTACCGGCTGCCTAGAATTGAGCTGCCACAATGCTGAAGCTGAGTTCGTGCTGTTCCAGCTCCAGAGATGCCTGCCATGATCTGAAACGGGAGAACAGTGTTAACCCACTATATATTTTTTGCCTGTCTTCATCTTCCAGCCTCTCGTTTTACAGAAGGGAGATTAAGGTCCAGAGATGGGAAATAGATTCCCTCAGTCCCACAGATGCTGTTTCCTCACCCATGTTTAAAAGGGTGCTTATTAGCCCTCTCCAAGCTTCCCTTCATGTCCAAACTCGGAACCCAGACCCTTCTGATCACCTACCGTTTCCCTACCCTCAGCCTCTCCCACCCAAGTGGGACTTGGCTCCATGCAGATTAGGTTGAACTACCAGGAGGAGCTACCAGGAGAAGCGTCAGTGGCCAACAGGAGCAGCAAGTATGCCTCCAGCGGGGAGCACGGAGTAGCCCCTGCTGCCACCAGTGACAGCTCACTCACAGTTAAGACAAGAACAGTCTAGGCACTCTGAGAAGGGGAGACGGGAAGTTTGGAAAGGCTCCTACGAGATAAGAGAGCAACGATGAACATCAGCAAGAGCCAAGGAACGACCCAAAGGGAACAGAAAGTCATGACACACTGAAGGGACTGAGAAGGCATGGCACACTTCATCAGGGCCAGGTGGGACCACATTCCTAGAACAATGGGTCTCCTTGAAGAATGATTAGCCTGGCAATGAATGTGATTCTAAGCTGTCACACCCAATCCTCGTATTGCACACATGGCCAGTGCATTGAATACAGCTCTCTCCAGACATTGGTAAATCCCAGTAACTTTTGGGGAGCTATTTCAGACACCCAGTGGGAACTCAAAGAAACATTACTTAGTAGTACTGGAGTGGCCATGACATAGACCCTGCTCTATGCCTCCCAGGGGTTATCCCATGCCTCACAAAGCACTCAATAAACACTCACCATGTTTATTTTCATACTTTTCTGCTTACTCCATATCTGTATTTAACACAACCCAAAGTAGATGTGTGGCATCCCTGTCCCGCTGCAATCCTCTGCCCCTCGTCATCACAGTGAATGGTGACTTCCAGTCAGTCACCCACATCCATGGTTCCAGTTGTGCTCCCACCAACCCAGTGAACATGGCTCCTAACCAGAACAGTTCTGAGCCAAGAGGCCACCTAGACCAGGTATCCTTGCAGGTGAGGCCAGGTGTAGGGAAAGGGGACCAGTCAAAGAAACACACCCTGAGCAGAGCCAAAGAAACACACTTTGGCCCTGCAACCAGAACCAAAGAAATGCACCTTGGCCCTGAAACCAGAGCCAAAAGACTAAAAAGGACCAGAGAAAGAAACATACTTTGGCCCTGAAACCAGAGCCAAATCTGACCCTAACCCTGTACAGAAAACTAACCAATCCTTGAGCAGAAACTCTAGCCAATCTGAGCTCAGCATTAAAATCTGACCAATCCACACCCTGGAAGTCCTATATAAACCCTGTGTCTATTAAGCTTGAGGCTGTTCGTGCTACCTGACTGTCCTCGCTCTCCTGGATTCTTCCCTCCCAATAAACCCCTTCGATGAGCTTTGGGTAAAGATCTTCTTTTGCAGGGGAGTAGAGACGACCCTGGGTAGAGCACAGAGACGACCCTGGGTAGAGCAGAACAGAGCAAGCAGGACTGTAACATTTCTGCAGGGGAAACCTTCCCCTGGCAGAACAGAGTTGTTACACTCGGCTGTCCACTCTCCCAGGAGCATAGCTGAAATGTAGCAACTTTGCCAGGGAAACCTTCTCCTGCCAGAGCAAAATTGCTACACTGGGCAAACGTCCCCAGCTAGAAGATCCTGTCCTGCTGGAGCAGAGGAGCAGAGCCGATACACTGGGGAAGCCTTTCCCTGAGGCAGGGCTGTAAGCAGTTAAGCTTACTGCACCTGTGGTGGTCCTTGGTTCCCGAGTTCCAGGATACCTTTCCATCTGAGCTGTGTAACACTCAGTGTTCTGTGCCAGAATACCTGTCCCACCCCATCCGACCGAAATACCTACACTAGGGTACCACTGCTTTCTCCACAGAAGTCCAGCATGGTGTCGTGACTAGGGATGGGGAGCTGAGAGTCCTCTGTCACAGAAGTATTTATCTCTGGGAAAGGGACTCGGGGCACCCCTGAGCACTCCATCTAGAAGCTTTTACACTGGCCACCTAAAAGCTCTTTTTAATTAGATGAAAAGGATTATGTTAGACATCTTTACGCTGATCCAGCTGAGGCCCCGCTTCCTTCTTTGAGTTGTTACCAGTGTTTACCAGTGATGATTTCTGTGAGAGCCTCTAAAGCACACAGAAGAAAAGACTTAGTGCTCTTCTCTGACACGTGTGCATCGCATCTGGGACCCATCTGGGGCAATGTACGCACCAGGCATGGTCTCATGTACATAGTCATCCTCCCTCGGGAAGGAAGCTCTAGCGGTGCCACGGGGAAGGAGATTCGTTCTTTTCATCTGGGCCATCTTTGCTCTCCGCTCCCATGGAATACAGCTCATTAGGTAAGCTCCGCTCTGAGTCAGAGAGGGTTAGAGAAGAGCAGCGGCTAATCTGACTTGTGTTGGTTTCACTAGACTCAATCTGCACACTTGGGGCAGAAGCAAGGAGCCCAGCCATGGGACTGCTACAGCCAAGGGACCCCTTGTCTCTGGGGAATGGGAGCGCTGAGCAAGAAGGGATGGATATGAGGAAACACGGAACTGCGGATGGCGAGAAAGAAGACAGCTAGACATGGCGTTACAAACTTGCCAGCCCAGCACTAGGAAGGCTGACGCAGGAAGATCTCAAGTTCAAAGCCAGCCTGAGTATCATAACAAAATGTCAAAAATTATTAAGGGAAAGAGAAGCTTATAAAGAGAAAAATGAAGGAAGTTATTCCAATTTTTGGAATGGTTGCAGTGTTCCTTAGAATAAAAGTTGACAGGATGACTGACAGAGGAGAGCTGTGCTTAGAGGATTGGATGGCTTGTTGGGGAAAATAAAATCATAGGTTGCAATGAGATTTAGAGTTAAAACAACAGGCACCTGGGGGGGGGCACAGCTAAGAGCTTGGGTTTCCAGTCAATGCAGCTGTAGTGTGTTTGGATGTAACTCTCAAACAGGAAATTGCTCACCTCAGTCCCCACGTCCCCGATGATGTGTATGTAACCACTATCCCAACGGAAGGCTGCTGGAGCCTAACCCACCACACGGGGACAATTGAGTAGGAAGAGATACCTTAATGATACATTGTTGAAGTAAGGCATCAAAACTCTGCCCTAGACTCAGCCCACTTCCGGCACAGTTCCACTGTTAATCTTTCTGCTGTTTTTCCGTATTGGAGATTGAACCCTGGACTGTGCAACGCTAGGCAAGTGCTTTCCCACAGAGCTACACCCCCAGCCTTTTCGATCACCTTTCTACACCACATATTCATTTCAGTATCTTGTTTCCCGACTGTGGAGGAGGCTGAGGTAGGTGAGGAAAATACTCAGTGACCACTTTCTCCCAGGATCAGGGGAGAGACAACTAAAATCTGAAAAGTTTCCAAAAACTAAAATCTAGAAACGTCTCCTGCTCTGGTACCTTTTGTTCCACACACAAGAATTAGGTACTTTTTGCCCACGCTGGAAATCTGCAAGGGCTGGGCTAAGCCAAGGACCACGAGAGCATGCGCTTCACCAGTCACTTTTCAGTCAAAATAATTTAAGACTAAGAACCCGAGTTCACTGGGTACCCAAGTCCTTCCAGTGTTGTCTGCTGGCCTTCTGAAAGTCTGGAAAGTTCTTCAGCTCTGAAATCTCAGTAATTCCCTACCAAGGCCCGGGTAATGTCCTTCTTTGGGTCTTTGTAATATTTTATTTCCCTTTCTGTTTTGTCATTGTTTTCCTTTTAAAAACATTTTGATTGGTTGACTGTTGCTTAAGATGGAGTCTCGCGTAATCCAGGTTGACCTCAACTCAGTACGTTGCCAAAGATGAACCTAATTGTTTTGCTTCTAGCTCCCATGTGCTGGGATTACTAGTGTGCACCACCACACCTGACCGCTTTTTCCTTCCCAGTCTCTCCCTGGATTCTGCCATCAAGGTCTGAGCGCTCTTCATTTTGATGCTGAGGACACCCGCCCCTTTCTCTCTTGGCAGCGCCCTCTCTGGGCTCCAGGTTGACGCCGTATAAACTTGACTTTCTTAGGCATAGCAAACTTGACCATCTGAAACAGAAGTCTTTTCTTTCTCAGCTTATTTCCTCCCTGTTGTTCCCAGCCTCCGCGTGCTCGGGACTAAAACTGGTCATTCTGGAGTCTTCCCTTTCCCTGTGCCCTCTCCCATCTCCCTGTAACCCCTGACGCCCACCTTCACAGGGTCTCTGGGCCCATCCTCCTAGCTCCACCTCCCCCATCAGTACCCAGGCTGCCCTAGGACCTCGGGCACCTGCTCACGTCCTCCTCTCTCATCCCCGCCCCTATGAATTTGGGTCACATCTCTACCCAGGAGCAAAGTTCTTTGTTAAAGAAAAATTGGATCATATCTCCCCTGCTTAGAACATTCCAATGGCTTGACCTTATTTTATTTACTTAGGTGTTTTTGATACAGATTCTCACTACCTAGCCTGGGCTGGGCTCAAATGCTAAATTCTTCCACTGAGTCTCATGAGTGCTGGGATTGGAGGTGTGTGCCACAATATTTGCCTTGATCATGGCCATCAAGAAATGCCCCTACCAACCCATCTAATGACACCCTTCCCTTGGCTCACAACAAACAGAAGGTGTGCCCTTCCTGCAGTGTAGCAAACCGTCACAAACCCAGGGTCTGAAAGCGACATAAATTACTCCATCACCTGTAAGTTCTAAGTGGACTGGGCTCCCTCCAAGGATGGGGGGGGGGGATCTGCTTCTCTGTCATTCCAGCTTCCAGATCTGCAGTCATCAGTTCTTTTCCTCCCTTAAAGGCCAGCAGCAAGGCATCTGCCTCAGCTGTCATGGTGTCTTCTCCTGTGTCATGCCCCCCACACACACCCCGGCTCTCTCACATAAAGACACACACAAGTGAGTGTGTGCAGGGACAACCAGATACCCCATGGCCACCACCACCCCCATTCCAAGAAAATCTACAAAGTCCCTTTTGCTGTGTAAGGTCCTAGGAACTAGAACCAGATGTCTTTGGGGACCATTGCAGGATCTTGTCTGAACAGTCTTTGTACAGCTGGCTCCAGGGCACTGAAAGCCCCTGCCCACTCTCTGGTGGCCTGGCCAGCTCCTTACCATGGGACACAGCTTTCCTAGCTCATCAGAAGAAAGCTCCCTGGCCCTGCTGCCTCTGTTTATTTCTCAGGAACTCAGCTTCCCTTTGAGGAGGCAATGAGCACCTAGGATGAGGAGCATCTGAGGAGGAGGAGGAGGAGGAGAAAGAGGAGGAGGAGGAGGTAGAGGAGGAGGAGTTGGAGGATGGGGAGGAAGAAAGGCCAGTTAGGTCTTGTTGCTCTGGACCTGTGGCAATGGTGTGTCCCAGCAGAAATATGGTAATAGAATCTGTTCACCTCATGGTAGACAGAAGCCAGAGAGATCAAAAGCAGTCAGAGGTCCCAATATCCCTGCGAAGGGCATGACCCCCAATGACGTCACTTCCCTCCACCAGGCCTCACTTCCTCCAGATTTTACCTCTAACAGAATCAGAAGCCAGGCACCAAGCCATCGGCACAGGAGCCTCTGAGGCACATTTAAATCTTAGCTTTAGCAACTTCCTTCCTAGTACTTTAACAGAAAAGTATTATCTTATGCACACACTTATAATGGACTTGCTCTCTGCCTACCTTTCCCTCTGCCGTCATCCTGGAGCTTTGAGGACAAGGACAATGGCCATTTGTTCTGACATAGCTAGTTAATAAATTATTACTGAAGATGAGCTTATCATCCAGCATGATGCTATGTAAATGGCCACTATATTCCCTCCTTAGAGAAGGTGGCCCCATCCCTACTTCCCCTGGTAATCTGCACCACCACCAACTAACCGTCCAGGCAGAGCAGAGTCCAAGAACATCCAAGAGAGTCTATGGATGCACGCATGCACGCACTCTCTCTCTCTCTCTCTCTCTCTCTCTCTCTCTCTCTCTCTCTCTCTCTCTATCTATCTATCTCCCTCCCTCTCTCTCTCTCTCTGAAATGCTCCAACCTTTAGCAAACCAGACACACAGAAGACCTCTAAGGAAGCAGGACTCCACCACAGCCAGCAGCCACCAGTGCGCATGCTCACGGTGAACAACTAAGTCTTATGCCAGGGAAGCCCGTGCAGGAGGCTGCTGGAAGAGGAACGCCACACTCCTACCTTCTTCACCTTCCTTCTGTGAAAAGACTCCTACTCCTACAGCCACTTGGAAAACTATAGAAGGCCCAGAGGGCTGTCCCCTATGAGGCTCTAGAACAGCTTCAGATTTCACACTGGGTTAGACTCTGCTAAGTTGCAGCCAAATGTGTTTTGACTGCCAGCAATGTCTATGAATTGCTTTTGCATTATGCAATAAATTATCTGATAGACAACTGTCGTCCCCCCTCATTGTAGAACATGGCACTTCAAAAATTTGACAGGTTTAGGGGTACTTTTAAATGTTTCATCATAATTAACACAGCTTTGGGAACTCAACAGTTTTCACCTCTGTGGTTATTTATAACAGAAAGTTCATGATCACATTGTCTATGAAAATACCAACTTATAATAAAACAATGCAGTTTATAAATATTAACTTGCTTTCACACACAATGATATGGAAGGCAGTAACATTTCTATAATTTACAAATTACAGCGGTGACAATTTGAAAACCACAAAAAGTCCTGGCTTAGAAAAAAAAGGCCTGGTTTTGTCCCCCATAGATGTCCAACCCCTGACTCTATGTCCTAAAGCACTCTGTCACAGATAAAATGGAGCTGTCTTTTAGGAATATGTTTCAGAAGTCCGTTGTTACAGTTCAGTTCACAGGCAGCAACTCGAGGCCCACTGGGGTTGTTTGAAATTCTAGCCCAGATTAACTTTAAAAAGCTGTAGCTGAGGGAGGACCTGATTCCAAAGGCTCAGCTACAGAGTAATTGATGTTACTGGAAACCAAAGTCCACATGTGGTCCCAGCTGGAATGTGGTCATGTTTTCCTTGTAAATCCAGAACATCCTGAGGGCAAATGGCTGTTGTTTGTGTTAAGAAAGAAGAGAAGGATAGGTATTGTGTTGGCTGTCTGGGGTGAGGTCCTGTTGGTCCTCGTGCAGGGTGAGTGGGGGGGGCAGAGTTGGATGGCCTTAGAGGGTGAGCTGAGTCCAGACGTAGCTAAAAAGCTGCTTCCTGGATATTCCTCTCCAAGAGAGAAGAGGAGGTGGTGTCTTGCATGAGAGTCTAGGTCTCTACACCAACAGGCCCTGAGTTAACATCCATAGGTCTGACTGACCCCCATCAGAACCCTGGCCGTTCAGCTAGAGGCCAGCCACATCCTGTCAGAGTGTTCATCCCATGCTCAGAGTCTGGAAAAGAACAAGAGAGTAAAAGCAGGTGCATTAGCCAGGATTCTTCTGGGGTGGGTGGGAGGAGGGAGGAAAGAGGGGAGGGAGGAAGGGAGAACAAGGAAAGGGAATTTCTCAGATTCACTTACATCATCAGGACTGGGTAGTCCAACAGTGACCATCTGGAAAGGCAGAGACTCTGGTACCTGCCAGGACCGAGAAGCTGAGGCCTGGGAGCTCCTTGAAATGCCACTGGTTCTGGGTCCATGTCGGAAGACCAAAGAAGCCGGAGTCTGCTGTCCAAAGGTGATGGCAGCAGCCACAGAAGTCCTCACTCAGGAAGAAGAGCTCACTCATGCAAGTATGGCATCCTCCTCCCTCAGCTTCCTCCCATGGGGCACCCAGTGGATGATGTTGCCCACATTCAGTCAGGACCTCTCTCTCTCAGTCACTGTCCTCTCTAGACACCCCACAGAAATGTGGTCCTCTAGTCCCAAGTGTCTCTTAAACCAGTTCAGTCAACCAAGTCCAACCATCACGCATCCTTGGGAAAAGCCAATTCTGGAGCACACTGGAGCACCCTTTCCTGCTATCAGAAGGAAACTATAGTGCTTGGGGGGGTGTCCAGCTCTGAGCAGCACAGGGATACTGCCTCCAGAGTCCAAGCCTCCAAGGCTGAGACTTCATAGCAGGAGTCTGCTGTCACTGGAGCTGAGTGTTTCAACTTCCTCCGGAGAGAAGGTGTTCCCTCGGAGCCTGCAGGGATGACAGGAAGTGAGGTCTGAGTGAAGGCACGTCTGAGTGAAAGCTTGCGAGGAAAGTGGCCACACTTAAACTCATGCCTGGGAGGGGCTGATGCTCAGTCCCAACCTCAGCTCACCAGATGGAAGGGTTTTACCATGTGACACCCAGGGCTGTCCAGACCACCCCACAGAATGCACAACACCGGGCCATGCCAGCAGCTACAGACTCCCGGTGTGGGGGAGGAGGGAGAGGCTATTCTTTTTCAGGCAATAATCACATCTGTTCAGAATGAGGTGAGCAAAGTCCAAGTCCATACAGCTCCATCAGTGAGCAGCAAGGGGCATCAGAACCCTTAAATAGCAGCCTGAGGCCGGTCTCCACCTTGACAACAGAATGGAACCTTTCTTAGGCCTGCACAATGATTAAAAAAAAAAAAACAACAAAGAGTATGCTGCCTCAAATGCTAGCCTACCTGACCTCCCTAACATTGAGACCTCAAAATCAAGGAAGCAAAGTGTCTTCTAGCCCAGGGGATTTCGGCTCTGGTTTCATTTTCACTATTTGAGATCTGTTTGCTAAGGTATGAAACACAAGTTGGATAGAACCTGTCTGGGGATCTGCAGGCAGCTCTAAGAGTCTGCCCACCTAGGAAGGGCCAACTCTTCCTCCCCTCTGGTTAAATGTCTGGCATTGAGAATGGAGCTCCAAGCCAGGCATGGTGGTGCACACCTGTGATCCCAGCACTTAGGAGGTGGAGGCAGAAGAATTGGGAGTGTATCCTTGGCTCTTTGGCTACACAATGAGTTTGAAGCCAGCTTGGGCTACATGAGATTTTCGTCTGAGGTGGGAGATGGGGATGGGGTAGCAGGAGGATAGGGAAAATGGGGTCCCAGGATGGGCAACATTTGTGAGGAAATACTGAAAAGTGTGCTTGTTTTGTTTGGAGATAGGCTCTTGCCTAGACTTGCTGGAACTCACAATCCTGCCTCAGCCTCCTAAGTATTAGGACTACAAGCATGTACCATACATACCTGATCTGAAATACAGACCCTTATACAGACTGTCTTAGTTTTAAAAGTATTGGTATCTAGGTCAATGCCTGAGACACACAAATAGTAACTTTCACTTGTTATGTGTTAGGCCAGAGCATTCCTTTCTGCTTTTCACATGAAAAAAGAGCCTTGATCAAACTGTATCTTGACGTCTTTTTCAAACACATTAAGGACTGTGACTTCTAATGATACGGATGTGGTTACACCATACCTCAGTCCCCACCCTGTGTAATCTCCAGAATTCAAAGGTGCAGAGGGTCTCACACAGCATGCTCAATCTGTAAGAGCCCATGTCATGGCAGAGGGAGTAACTTTTGGGGTTCTTGTTTTAATTGTCTAACCACACCCCTATGCCTACTTTACAGCTTAGAACACCAAAGTTTCTGGATAAATACTCCTGATTTTACACTTCCATTTTCGTGCATCTTCCTCCCTTCCTTTCCTTATTTCTTTTGTTCTTTCATTCTGTCTGTTTGTCTTTCTGAGACAGGGTTTCACTCTGTAACCTAGGCAGATGTAAACTCAAAAATCCTCCTGTCTCACCAGGTGGTAGTGGGTCATGCCTTTAGCATGCAGGAGGCAGAGGCAGGTGGATCATTATGAGCTCAAGACCAGCTTGGTCTACAGAATGAGTTCCAGGACAGTCTGGCTACACAGAGAAACCCTATCTAGAAAAACAAAACAAAAATCTTCCCGTCACAGCCTCTTAAGCACTGGGATTACAGTTACACACCACTATACCCTGATTTTGGGCAAAACTGGTCCCTCCTTAGAGGCACCAACCACCTTTACAGCCAGATATCTAAATCTGGCTGCCATAGCAAATGTTGGTCAAAATTTATCTTCAAAATCCCACCATTCCTCTCTCCTCTCATCCCATCTCACAGATATGCAAACCAAGGCTTGGAAAGACAAAGGAGGTTCCCCGGCAGCCTTACCAAACTTCCAGGATGGTACCATTCCTGCTGAGGGCCTGCAGGAGGGCTTCTGCACCCCGGTAGCTAATGCCATTGTTGGACAGCCTGGAAGAGAGGTGGACAAGATGCGCTACTGTAAGGCTTGGTCCTCTGCTGAGCCTGTCTGGCTTCAGGAAGCCTGCCTGCTGCAAGCACAAGCCCAATGAGATCATCCACCAGGACCAATGCTCCCGTGAAGACAGCCCCTCTGCTTCACCAAACTAACCACACATGAAAGACTGTAAGGGCTGAGCCCCACAGTTCAGTGCCAGGATTTTGAAGGTTCAGATCCGACCTGTACCATTTGTTGTTCAGACTTCAGCAAATCTGAATAAGGAGGTGCCTGCCTCACAGAGAATTAAGGACTGAACAGAAAATGGCATAGCAGAGCTCACTGGCACAGCACCTCATTGATAGTGAGTGCTCACAGCTGCTCGGGGACACAGGTTAGAGACGGTTAGAGATGGAGGCTGGGACAGGAGCTGATCCACCATGGAAACTTCCGCTCCCAGCTTTGCCTTCTAGGAACTACTACGCCATCTGCCTTCCTCCCTAGCGCTGGCCTGCTGCACATCTGCCATCAAAGCGATGCCGAGAACAATGCCAGCATGTGCTGAGCTTTTCCCGGGTGCCAGCTCTCTGCCTGTTGCATCGGTGCATGCGCAGAACCCATGCGGAGGCCAATTACCATCCCTTTACACTTGAAGCAGCTAAGGCAGCTGTCCAAGGAGAGACCGTCTGCCTGGGAAGCTGGACTCCAACCAACACTTGGCAGAGAAGACAGTGGTAAAAGAAAGATCTCTCTCTCTCTCTCTCTCTCTCTCTCTCTCTCTCTCTCTCTCTCTCTCTCTTTCTCTCTCCCCACCCTATTTCTCTTTCTTTATCTCCTATATATACAGATAGATAGATAGATACAGATATAGATGATGTAGACACAGATATAGAGATAGAGATCCATATAAACATAGAGATGGAGATAGATGCCATGGGGAAATGGGGATGGTGTAGCTATTACTGCTCAGGATGCTGAGCAATCAGTCTGGCAACAGGTAACGCAAGACACGCCCACTTCCACCATTGCCCCCCCTCCTTTAGGATCAAGAGAGGCAAAGTGTGGCAATGAGGAAAGTCAAGCCTGCCACATCCGCACCCGATCAACGATGCGCCAGTCCCCAGGTGCTCCAACAGTAGTCGCTGCTCCATGAACCTGGTGTGTCTCCCAGGCTTCGGTGTCACGGGAGCCTTTTGTTTGCCATCTGTCTCCACCATGAGAATGTGTGAAATGGAGGATGAGAGCCTGGGGCGGGGTCTTTCTTACACAGACACATAGATGAGTGTGCAAGCACTTGTCCAACCAATGGATGAGCAAACGCACACATGAGCGAACACCAGCACTCAAACACGTCACACGGGGAGACACCACTGGAGACGACCGTCCAAAGGACCCTTCTGCCTGAGCAGCGGTGGCCCCTGGAGGAAGGAGGACACCTCCAAGTCACACAGCAGACACATTCAGCCAGCCTGCCTGCCCATGCTCCCTCAACTTACATTTCCAGTTCTGAGTGTTGCTTGTTGAGATCTGCCACTCCCTAGACCAGTGGTTCTCAACCTTCCTAATGCTTCAACCTTGTAATACAGTTCCTCATGTAGTGGTGACCCCCAAGCTTTGAAATTACTTTCCTTGCCACTTCATAACTGTAATTTTGCTACTGTTATGAGTTGTGATGTAAATATCTGTGTTTTTCTGATCATCTTAGGAGACCCCTATAAAAGGGTCATTCGCCCCCCCAGTTGAGAACCACTTCTCTAGATAGACTCTTGGAACAGGCTCAGCCCGGTGAGAATAGCCTGGACATTTAGGACAACAGACAACCCCTCTACACACACACACACACACACACACACACACACACACACACACACACACACACACACACACACACACACACAGACACCTTCTGCATGCAGTTGAGGGTGAGTACCCTGCTGCTCCATTCTTGCGCTGGGGATGTATGGGTCAGGCATGCTCTGCCAACTCCTGGAGGCCCCAGTAGCGTGAGTTCTAGTCTCTTTAGTGATAACCACCTCCTAGGTCCACCCTCTGTGGTCACCATCCCTTCCTGCCACACTAAACCTCTCCTCCTGCAGCAGTGTTTCCCAGGACCACCCAGATGCCAGGTAAGCAATGAAGGCTGGCAGCCTCGTCTGCCCAGGCCAAGGCAAGCTTTTCCCACCAGACACCTCAGTGAGATTGCAGAGCTGGCCAGAGCCTGATCTCAGACCCTAAACCCCCTCCTCAGGCTGGGCATTATTGTAGCATCACATGGTACTTACTTCAAGATTTTCAAACTTGCATTTCTCTTCAGTCCTTCTGCGAGAAAATACACCCCTTCGTCACAGACATGGTTTTCCTCCAGGCTGCCAATGACAGAGAGGATATCACGTTGTCCTGGTGACACTAACTGTGGGGGAGGGTGTCAGGAAGGGTTAACCTACACCCCTGCCCCCATTTAGAGAATCCCAGTACTCATCAAGAATAATAATAGACAAGAGGGTGAGGAGCAGCTTTGCAAGGGAACACACTCCACAGTGTCACTAGATAAAAATCCCCGTCATACGAAGCTATGAATACCCATGTCTCTTTCTATCCTAGATTAACAAGAAACTTTAGTTTGGTGTGAGAAGCTATGTGCTAAGCGAAGAAAATGCATCTCCGCTTTCCACTGCAACCAGAATTGGCCAAGCAACACACACAGAGCCAGGGATGCACAGGGAAAGTTGACAGATGGGAGCTTCCAGAAATGCTGCTGAAAGGGAGGTGCTCCGCCTGCCGACTGCCCTGTACTGTATAGAGACTGAATCCTGGAATGCAAAAGTAGTTGTTGCAGATGAAGCAGTTACCTTGATCACGCAATGAAGACACATACCAAGCATGATGGAACAGAAAAAGTCAGACAGGCGAGGCCCCGGCTAGCCTGCTGTAAATGCCACTACATCTCTAAACTGCCTACCTCTAGACTTCCCAGACACAAGAAAATGAACCTTTGCTGGCTTAAGCCTTGCAGATGGAAGCTTTCCATCGTGTGGTAGAATTAACTTACACTAAATTTGGCCTGAGTTTGCCTCCTTACTTTTGAGTTCCTTGCAGCAAACCACAACTTAATTTAGTATGCAAACGAAGCACAACCTAACAAGAATATGTTCTTGCAGCAAATAGCTTGGTTTCAGATTATCATAACGGCCATGCTTCAGCAGGTCACAGGCTGGCAACTCATTACACCACATCCAAATGAGGCAAGCGGAGAGTTGTTGCCAACAAGTTGTTTCTGTATATTACTTCCTTTTCCTGTCTGTAAATACTGCTGTCCTCATTGCTGGGTGGAGCTTTCTGAACCCCTCCATGTTCTAAGTGCCAATCTGTTCATCAATCAGTCTTTGCTTATACAAACTCTGCTAAATCTACTTTATGCTCAGCTATCCAATACCCATGTTCCTTTCTCTCCTATATGAATAAGAAACCTTGCTTTGTTGTGGGAAGCTATGTGCTTGGAACAAACAGACATACAGCATTTCCTACTCTGTTATTGCCAGGGTTAGACAAGCAATCAATCATAATCATAATCAATACCTTACAAGAGGTGCTTCTCTACCAAGAAGTGATGAGGTTATTTCCCAATCAACTTATAATTAACGCTACACCCTCAGATCCCAGGCCCCTTCTGTTGTGCAATGGTTTCCTCCCAGATTGAAATATGCCATCCTTCAGGGAAGCTCCTTAAGCAGGAAGGTAAAGAACTCAGTAGCTTCAGGAAGTTCTTAAAACTGACGGAATTCACTAGGCTCCTCCCTGCCAGAGTCAGCACTAAAAGCTGAAAGTCCCACCCACTCAAAGGAGCAAATCCCAGCCGCAAAGAAGGCTTGGACCAGTGAAGCCACAAAGATGACTCTGAGACCAGACCAGTTGCCTGGAAGACACAGAAACCAGCTGAGCTGCCTAAAAGACATTTAGACCAACTGAATGACTTGGAAAGGTCACTCTTCAACCTGTTGAGCTGTCTACAGGCTGTGCAGTGTGTTCCAGGTTCAAAGATTTGCAAGCTGTCACTCATGCTGGGGTGGGCTTTGGTGATACAACTGCCTTTGAGTCATTTTACATTTACATTACATCTGTTCCTGTAAGTAACCCCTCAGCCATATTCCTGTAAGTGACCCCAGTAAAATTCGTGGTTCACCCAGTTAGACTTTGGTGGTATCCATACTTTGGTCTGTCAGGGGCTCCTTATCTAGGGTGTAGAGTAGGTGTGTGTATTGTGTCTCCCCAGGAAAAATTTTGTCACACAACATAATTGACACCTGAACAGGAACATGCAACTGAGGCTGAGAAGCCTGAGGGGGATGGGAAGTATGCATGGGGGACATTCCTATAGAACTGTCCTTTCCTGTATGGTATATGTTAGTGTCTTTGTGCTATGACAGTGGTTGCTTGGTTCTCACTATGGGAAACGAGACACGAAACTAAGGATTAGGAGTGTCTGTGGGAGGAATCCCAGGATGGCAGGCTTGGTCTATGTGCCTGCTTGATGGGTGGGGTCCCCAATGTGAATAAGGAGAGGCCCTGAGAACAGCTGAAGGTTTAGAGGAAATTTTGCAATCTTTGAGAGTACAGCACAAGAGTTGAGACTGTCCGCAGGCAACGGCAGAGGTTGTGTGTGGTTAGAAGTGCATGCAAGGACAAGATAGTGGCCAAGCAGAAACACGTTCATATAAAGGAACAATTGCAACAAGGGAAATGGGACTGGCATCCGCCCAGTCAGCCTCTGATTTGGCAAGCATATCACATAAACAAGGGGTTAAGAGAAAAACGGTAAAAGCATTAGGTACCCCTCAAGCCCAATATTTAGTTTTAAAAAAATGAAAGAAAAAATCTGTAATCCAACCTACAGATGGGGTTGGGCATTAACAATGGTTCAATGCAAAAACTAGTGTGATCAGAAGATTCTCAACACTTAAGCTTATGCAATAGAAAAAAACTTTTAAACAAACAATGGAAAGGCCTGTGTCAGCCTGGCTTGTGAGGCTGTGGGACATGGGAGTGGATGGGATCTGACTGCTGTGGAGGCAGAAACACTGTATAATGTAACTTCCTATCCTTCCTTAAGGCAAAGGTTACATAACCTGAGATTATAAGAAGGAAATCAGTCCTTGACTGACTGGCTTATAGAAGCCATCCCAATAATATTCATGGTTCATCAAACTGGACCTTGGTGGTACCCATACTTTGGTCTGTCACGGGCTCCCTCTCTGGGGTGAGCAGATGTGTGTTGCATCTCCCTAGAAAAAAGTTTTGTCACACAACACTGCCACAATATGTTTGTGGTGATCCTTTGATTGTCCATGCTTTGTTGTTTCCTGGAGAAATCACTCAGCATTTTCTCTCGCTGCTATATCTGGAACTGCAAAGGCACCCCTAGAGTTGAAGACTACGGCAGCATCTACAGGATGGATAACTTGAGTTCTGTCTGCTTCAGGTGTCAGTGGCATAAGCACACTTTGTGGCTCTTCTCGCAGTGATCCCAAACTCCATTCACCTTCTGAGGCAGGCACTATTTTAAGCGTGTACACATGAGAGGCACTATATTAAGCTCTCTACCAGCACTACCTTCCTTAATTCTTAAAAGCACCTCTCTAGAGCCGGAAGCATTCTAGCTTTCTGTTCAGAGGTAGAAAACTGTAATCCGGGGATGACTTCAATTTACCCTCTTGATTCCAGAGTCTGTGGTCTTCACCACCGTGGCACGTGCAGGCAATACATAAAGCAGCCAAGCCAGCATATCCATGTAGATAAAAAGAATTAGCAGTGAAATCAGCCTCTGCAAGCTTCACACAATTCAAAGCTGAAATCAATTGATCAGTCATCCAGGCTTAGCATACCTACACAACCTCCTGTGGATGAGGCCGGGCAATCAATAAAGACTAGCGCCCGGCTCCTGGGAGTCCTCCCAACTCACCAGAGTTCCTCCAGTGACTTGTTCTTCTCCAACATCAGTGCTAGGGCTAGGGCTCCCTCACTGCCAATGTTGTTCCCCACCAGGCTGGACATAATCATGGAATAAAAATGAATCAGAATAGAGAGGAACCTCAGAGACAAACAGACCCACAAAGGATGAATGACACATTCTAGCAGTGTCCTGATATTAGACATACTAACTGATTACAGTGCTCCAACTGGGCAGCCATTTTCAGTAGGCTAGAACAGGTCCTTAAGATAAAATACCAACTCGCAGCCTTTAGTTTGCTAAAAGGGAATCATGACCTTAAAAGGAGGAAAATCACCCCCAAATTTACCCCCAAATCCTCAAGTTTCCTGACCCCAAACCAATGGTCTTTGTTCCTTTCTCCACTGCCTACTACAAGGGAGTGCATACAAAGTTCAGGCACCTTCAAAACTGCCCCCAACCACCTGGCTCCCCCTATGACAAAAAATAGGACACACATTGTGGCTTACCTGAGCCACTTGATGCTCTGGTGACCTGCCACCGCTTCAGCCAGGGCGTGGGCACCCTTATCGCCCACACTGTTGCCCCAGAACCTGAGAAGTCAATAGGGTGCACTTCAGATGTGTGACCATGTGCTTCTGTGGTGCCACTATACCACAGGGAGGTCTCGAGTCCCAGCAGAGTGGACATACCACAACATTTTTGATAAGACGACCAAACTCCAATCAGACTTTTCAGTACCATTACAAATTTAACAAAAGGTCATCACGCCCACCCCTTGGTGATAGGGAACTCACCCTCAGTCCTGAAGGCTCATGGACCCACCCCTCAGTGATGGGGAACTCACCCTCAGTCCTGAAGGCTCATGGACCCACCCCTCAGTGATGGGGAACTCACCCTCAGTCCTGAAGGCTCATGGACCCACCCCTTGGTGATAGGGAACTCACCCTCAGTCCTGAAGGCTCATGGACCCACCCCTCAGTGATGGGAAACTCACCCTCAGTCCTGAAGGCTCATGGACCCACCCCTCAGTAATGGGGAACTCACCCTTGGTAGTAGGTCACATGGTTGTGATTTTTTTTCCTTCCTGACATTTAGTTCAGATTTGCTTCCTGGTAGCTTTCACCCACAAGTCTATAACTATTCTCGAAGATTACCAAGAACAAAGCTAACTCTTTCTGGACAAGCCAGCTTTCTGGACAAGCCAGCTTTTCATCTCTTGCTTCTTCTTAATCCCCTCTGCGTCTGGGCTGTCCAGCTCCTTTAACTTATGAGCCATTCTCCCCAGACCCACTGTAGCTTGGACACAGTTCCCACATTCTGACTCAGTCGCACACACTCAGGGACTTTCCCTGGAATGTGTATATGTACAGAAAAACAAAGACAGCTGCACTGGGCTGGCACAACACTTTCATTCACTATGTGAAATAGCTAATTTTGGTTGTCAACGTCATTAGGCTGAGAAATATTTAAGAGATAAAGCCCACCTCTGTGGATGTCAGTGAGAGTGCTCCCAGAAACAATCAGATGGCATGAAGGGTATGACCTAGCCATCGGAAAAAAATCCCTTGATGGAGTTGTATTATAACAGCATTAATGGGACGTGGTGTAATAGGAGTATGGCTCAGGGAAGATGTAGGTCACCTGGGGTATGTCCTTGGGGCCATGTACTACCCTGGTCTCTTCCTACATCCTGCCTCCACTTGCTGATCAGCCATGAAGTGAACAGCTTTCTCTCCCACAAGTTCCTGCTCAAGCATAAGGGGGTAAACAGTTGTGGACTAAACCCCTCTGAAACCAAAAGTCAAAAATAAACATCCCTTCTCTAAAGTTGTCTCTATCAGTATTTTAGTACCAGCAACAAAAGGTAACCAATACATTAGATGAAGTATGGACTGACGTGTGGCTGTATGAGATGAGAACACTGCTCTGGGCATAGGATATTGTGAAAGAGAATCAAACAAGCAAACCTGGGAACATCCAGAGTGCACCGCAAGAGGTGAATGTCAACTAGATGAACTAAAACCATCCAACAGTGGGATGCTGTGCAACTCTTCTTAAAATGAGATCACACCCTCTGAAAGATGTCCATGCTATGTTGTAAAGCAAGAGGAGGAGCCAGGCTTACAGAACAGTTTGCATCCTATGAGAGTGTTTCAGTTCCTGGTGCAATCCCTGGCCTAGATAGGTGTCTTTAAAAACCATGAAGTGGGACATAAATGTCCGGATGTGTCAGGTGAGACCGCAGGCAGAAGGAATTCCATGGGGCTGAGGCCTCATTTTGTGTATACCCTGTTGCTGCTAACACAGCTGGAAAGGGTACTGACTTCAAATGAGCAGCTCCTTCCTGGCTCACACTGAGTCTATGGGCAACCAGCCCGCCAGAGCAACGGGTAGAAATATCCGGGCCCTATAGCTACTCCCTCTTCCTACATCTTGGATTCCCACAATCCCCAGGTCTTGACAACTGACGCCTCCCTTAGAAGCACGTCATTAGAAGTGTCCATTTTGTCTTGAGAAGCACAAAGTACTTCCTTCCGAGGGCAGCCCAGCCCTGCGGACCCCTGAAGACCAGAATGCTCAGGTCCTCGGTTCAAGACCCAGCCCTCTCCCTTCCCCTGTACCATGAATTTCCTCCTTACCAGGTGAGGAGGTGAGCGCAGAGGCAGCTCAGAAGCAGCCTAGCGTCACCCACGCTCACCCCAGCCCACCCTCCATCTGGAGCCAAGGCTGCTTGCTGTGGGCTCTTCAGGTGAAGTTCTCCCCGTCACTGAAATCTCTGAAAACCACAAACTTCTTTATGTGGGCCCTCCACCTCTGCACCCAACCTACCCCAGGAACTGCAAGGAGGTGTTGCTCTTCAGCCCCTGGGCCAGCACCTGGGCTCCAGCAGCCGTAATGTTATTGTTCCCCACCCTGAAAGGAAGACACAGAAGTTGAAAGCAAGTGCAGCGCGCTGGTCCCCGGCTTCTCCTGGGGCGCAGCAGTGCCATGCTGTCCTGCAGAGCTTGCTCACAGCATGACTCCTGCCACAGCTCCTGCCCACTTGGACTTGGTTTTCCCAAGTCCTGGGCAGGAGTCACAGGAGAAAGCTGTCCTAGGAACTGGTTTCCCTAGGAAACGGTTACAGCTTTCCTTCTTGCTTTCAGCCATCCTCAGTCTACAGCCCAGTATGCCCCCCTCCCCATGACTTTAAACCCACTGCCACCATGGAGTGGTACTGGCTTATTCTGAAGGGACTGGGGAGAGGAGGAATCTCTGACAACACCAAGGATACTGCAGGAAGGAAGAAGGCAGGGACAAGGGGGTGCAGTTGTCAGCAAAGACAAGACCACAGAAAGGCTCTAGCATCCCCGAATCTAGCCATGCCCCCCACCCCAAACAGTTCAGAGATGCCACCCAAGACAAGCCTTCTGTATTTATACAATACAATTTCATCTTCTCGAGGCACTTTAAGCCACTCTGGTTCACTACAATCATACAGGGTAGATATGACCATCTCATTCCAGAAAGCATGTGGTACCAAAAAAGTAACCTAAGACCTCTGCTGGGCAAATTAGGTTTGAGAGCAACCCAGTGGCTTCATGAACTCTCCCAGAGCTGCACCAAAGTCCAAAATACATCCTCCCATCCATCTCCTACAAGCAGGGTCAGTCCCCAGCCTCCACAGCTCCCTCCCCAGCTCCCCACCCATGGGCATTTTCTGCTCATATAATCCCTTCTTTGAGGACTGAACTAACATAAGGATACACAAGCTGGATGCTTACATAATTTACCCACGATCCTTCAGTCTCTGAGCTTACTATATAAAGCATGTACTGTACCAGCTCTTTCTGTGTGTTAACTCCATCCTGACAGCCTTTCAGATGGCTGTGACTATGATCCCCATTTTAAGGAAAGAGACAACGGTGTGGGGGGAGGGGACATCATCTTACCCAAGGTCATGCAGCTAATAAGAATTCACATCTCTGCATTTCTAGATTCGAACTGGGGGCAGCCTGACTCCAGGGCCCCTGCTTTCAGCCACAGTGAAAGCACCATGTGCTGGCCACAGGCCTAGGCCTCCAGTACTGAGTCCTGCAGCCCATGCTACCCAGTGACTCCCTAGATGGCAGGACCAGGTGAGTATGGGGGAGCAGGCGGCAGTGTTAGGACAGAGCTTTCGGTACAAAGTCATACCTATGGCCTTGGCCTTTGTAGCCCTGTGTGAGGCGAGCTGAATGGCCAAATTTGAAAATGACATCCCTCATCCCCAAAGGCAGCCAGCAATGATGATGATGGTGATGATGATGAGGGGGCAATACCTCATTGTCTTTGCTATTGCCTCACAAATCATAAGCATGACTATCAGAAAGACTCAGAGAGAGAGAGAGAGAGAGAGAGAGAGAGAGAGAGAGAGAGAGAGAGAGAGAGAGAGAGGAGAAAGAGGGGCACTAGGGACTTGGGGTATATCTGTTGATCTCTGGTAGGAAAGAGGTTCGAGTTGAGGGCAGGAGTATCGGGTGGAATTTCAAAGCTTGCCTGCTGAGTGCTGAGGAAGCATTAGGGCACTTATCCAGCAGCTGGGTACCACAGCTGCAGTAGCGAGCACAGGTCTGGTGTGCATCAGAAAGAACTTGAAACCTTCACAGACACTGAGAGGGCAGTGTCCAAAAGACAGGAAGTCCTCAGCCTCGGGAGTAGAAATGGCTCAAAGCAAGGCTCTTTCCTGGATGCAGCCAAGGGTCACCAGCCGCTGTGCTGTGGGTCACACCGTGGCCCAGACCACATCGCCTAGACTCAGCTACGAGGAACATCAGATTCAGGGAATAAGGGACGTCAGCTCTCACCTCAGTGACAAGAAGTTCTGCCTGTGTGCAAGGAGCTTGGCTATGGAGTAGGCACAGCCATCCGTGAGCTTGTTGTTGAAGAGACTGCTGGGTTCCAGGGGAGATGGAAACGAAGGACATGACCAGCAAGCTAACCAGGGTGTCTTCCTCCTCTTCCCAGGAGCCACCCCGCATCCTCCAGCCAGGTCACCCCTGCTCCACCCTATCGCCCACTCATAGCTGCCTCCGTGCCCAGGCTCCATCCGACTCACGCTAGCTTCTGCAGCTGCTCACAATGGAGAGCATACTCAGTCAGTGTGCAGATTCCTCGATCTGAGATATTGTTATCTCGCAAACTGAAAAAGACATCAGTGGTTCAGTTAAAAATAGAGCCGATAAGAGAAACCCCCAAAGAGACTCTCACCTCCAAAACCAGAAGGACGGAGCACCCTGTGTCCCCCCCATCTCTGCAGGGGAGCTGATGGTAGGGGACAGTGCAAGGAGTCGGGACCTTGAGCCCTGACTAAAGAACACCGGGGTCTTTGAGAGGCCATGGGGTTAACTCCAAGCCCAGTTCCCATCTTTGCAGGAGGATAATGGCATGACAATCACCCCACATGAGGCTGTGAGGTGGAAAGTGTGGGAACACCAGACCTTGAGCAGAGACCCACTTCCCCTTCTGCCTGGGAGTAGGCAGCTGTAAGACAATGTTTACTAAAAACATGTTTACTAAAAACAATACAATGCCTGGGGGCATTAAGTTCCTGGAAAAGGCCTGCCCACAGAAACCACCCTGACCTCGACCTTGTCCAAAGACTAACCACCTCTTCTGCCACGCCCAGATCAGTTTTTGGTGTCAGAGCAGAACCAGCCAGGGTAGAGGAGAGAGCAGAAGCTTCTCTGGTGGGAGCCTTTCTTAGGAAGTTTTCTTGAACCTTTTTGGGGCCTGCTTAAAGTTTTCTTTACATCGTTGAACAAGCCTCTGTGTTGTCAATCCCCGACACCCTCCGCACGTTCTCGGACACAGGCCGCGCAGCAGACGCGACAGAAAGGATCTGGCCTATGGGAGAAGCAGCCAGAACAGGACAGAACCACCTAGCAAGAAGATGGCAGACCACTGACATAGACAGTGACTCAAACCTTAAAAACATTCCTAGGGTTGTGAGCACTGCTCACCTCCCTTTGTCCTTCAAAGCCCTGCTTGTGGGCAAGCCCCTCCAGCTCCTCCAGGGGACCCTGGATCCTCCGAAAGCTTCCCTACAACGCAGCTTCTCAGGCCCCTGCATGGAGCTGGCAGCCCAGAAATCTGTACTCAATGAAATCAGAAACCTGTATACACAACAACCATGCCCACCATTCCTTATGATCAGGCAAACTTGGCTAGTCCTGGCTAGACGGTTCCTGGCTCAGGTGCTAGTGCCCCTTGGCTGGATGTCCTGACCTGGATCAGCTGTTCATTAACTGCCCTAGTCTGCTTTCTATTGCTGTGATTAAACACCACAAACCAAAAACAACTTAAAGGAAGCAAGAATTTATTATTGTGGCTTATGGTTCTAGAAGGATAGGAGACTATCATGGCAGGGAGGCATAACATTATTAGGTAGGCACGGTGGCCAGAGCCTGAGAGTTTGTATCTTCAACGGTGACCACAAAGAGAGCATGAACTCCAAGTGGCAACACTCTTTACACTCACGAAGCCCACCCTTGGTGACACTCCTGCCAGCATGGCTGTAACTCCTAAACCTCCCTAAACATCACTGCCAAGTGATCAAACACTGCCCCTATGGGAGCATTCTCATCCAAACACATAGAATTGCTATCTGCCGTTCCCTATATCTGCAAGAAAGAGATGGCCACCCTCGGTAAACTGTGACCATATAGCCCCCTGGCCAGAGTCACCTGAAATCATAAGTACATCCCAGCCCAGGTGCCTGGCACTGCTCTGTGTACGTCACTGCTGTCACCTCCAAGCCCACGCAGTAGATCCCACTGTTAAGTCCTTAAGAGGGAGAATATGAGGCACAAATAAGTGACCTGACTTAGCCGAAGCTGCACAGTGCTGACAGGGTTGAGCCTAAACAGCCAGGCTGCCAGCCTGCCCTAAGCACAGCACTGTGCAGCCTCCCCAAGGCATTTCTTGGGCTCTCAGAAAAGTGGTTTTTGAACTGAAGGTTATGTGACCTATTAGTGAGTCCCACAGACAATTCTGAAAGGCCTGAGCAGGATTTAAGAGCTGAAATAGAACAGATGAAAGAAAGCACAGTTAGGGGCTGAAGAGATGGCTTAATGGTTAAGAGCACTGACTGATCTTCCAGAGGACCCGGGTTCAATTCCCAGTACCCACATGGCAGCTCAAACTGTAACTCCAGTTCTAGGGGCCCCAAAACCCTCACACAAACATGCATGCAGGCAAAAACACCAAAGCATATAAAAGAAGTTAGTTTTTTAAAGAAAGCAGAGCGAGTTGAAGTTGTTAAGGGAAGTCATTTCACAAAGCTCTTGTGCCCATGCCTGTGCATTCTCTCTCTCTCTCTCTCTCTCTCTCTCTCTCTCTCTCTCTCTCTCTCTCTCTCTCTCTCTCTCTCTCTCTCTCTCTCTCTCTGAGTGGAACGGAAAACTGAAACCATCACCCTCGAGGCAAAGAGAGCAGAATCTAGAGAAACCTGCATAGGAGCTCTTTGCATGTAGGGTTTCTTAGAAACAAGGATTTCAGTTGGCATGGAAACCCTTCCACTGGAAAAGATGCAGACTCACGCTGTGGGAGAGACACCTGCCCCTTCTTCCCTTCCACACTTTTTTCTCCCTCTTTATATCTGTGTTATGTACACACTCACACACACACACAGAGACAGACAGACAGACAGACAGACAGACAGACAGACAAACAAACACAAACACACAGACACACACACAAAGTGCCCACCACTTCTTGGTTGTACGTAGGTTAAGAATAGTAAAGCCTGGTTAAGGGCTTTAACTGCTGTGTTCAAATTTGCTTTCTCCTAATGTAAATCCCTAAGGCGACTAACCAGTAGAGTGAAGAGGTTCATTCGACACACACTTTTGGAGATGTCAATCCATTAGTTGGCCTTATTGCTTTGGGGCCTATGTGGATGCACCACATCATGACCAGGTGGTAAAGGAGGAAAAGAATGTATCTCTCCAGCCAAGGAATAAAGCGTACAAAAAAAAAATATGAGCTGGGTTCTAATAAGCCATTCCATGACACACCTCCAATAACCTACAGACTTTCCACAATGCCCCACTTCTTACACTCCCAACACATGCACATACATTCATACTCAGCAACCGCTCATGGTAAAAGAAGCTGACTCCTGCATATTCTCACGGGGTAAGACTTTGGGTGACTGAGTCAGCAGTGATGCTTGTTACACAGTTTCCCAGGCCCCAAGCCTAAGCCTACGGACAGGAATTACTTCAGCTTGGGAATCTCCTATTCAACCAGCATCCTCTCATGATACTGTTTGACCACCAGGAACTAGAACCAGGCCAGCAGCCCCTTTCTCTGAAAAAAGATAGACCCACAGTCTCCCAGACCCCTGGACCCATCAGCATGTCACAGGATCCAATGAGCATCCATAATCATGGAGAGAGGACCATTTAAACATTCCAGAGACAGGTGCTGAACTTAGTAGATGGTATCTGTAACTCTGGTACTGAGGAGTTGGGTTTGGGATCAGCCTGTACTGGCTGAGGCCTCATTAAAAAAATCCAGAGATGACTTGCTTTTAGCATCATCCAGACCTGTGTGTCTGGTCTTCTGAGGTTCATGGCTTAAAAATGTAGATCCACTATCAAGGAAGGTGCACACTCATATTTCCCAGAGCAGCTCAACACCCAGGTGTGCAAATTTCCAGTCGAGGTACTGTGTTGTTCCCTTCCTGGGGAAATGGCCATGGTACAGACCACGTCCACTCATTTTCCTGGTCAGATCCATGCTCTTATCTTAGCTCTAGATGGGGAGGCAGGTACCCTAAGATGACATGAGGTGGGCTCAGTCTCCCTGCTGGGCTCAGCCAACAGAGGCACAATACTGGAAAAGCAAAGGGGCAGACAGAAAGGGCCAGGCTTTCTAACCTCAGATGCCTCCCTTCCTAAAGCCCCACTCCAGGTCTCTCAGTCAGTAAATCCTCCCTTGCTTCAGACCCTTCGCTAGAGCCCTTCCTAATTCCCATCCACAATTCTGCAGTCACTTCCATAGATTTTCTTCCTATTTCCCAACTTAAGAGTAACTTCTATTTCCTCAAGACCCAGATAGAATTATTCGTATTTCTAGTATATGGTTATCATATACAATAGAGATATATATCAACTCCATATACTGTATATTATGTTATAAACTCGCAACCATGGTCCCTGTATAAGGACTAGTCAAGTCGCCACACAGTTTCACACAGCATCTGTGTGTGTGGCTTTGTCTCAGAGCTGATAAGCCATCCTAAAACACACAGGAATCTTACCTTTTGCTAAATTCAGCTAAGATTATCTGCAAGGAGTATGTTTCTAGATCTTAACTGTAATGTGCAACATCCTCTTCCTGACAGGATCTAAAAAATAGCAGGACGGCCAATCTCTAGACAAATGAGAAGGGAAGTAGGGAGCTGTGGTCATGCCGGTCACCAGGCCTGGGCATACCCTCTGCTTTTGTCTGACCCCAGACATGGAAAGAAGTCTCCACACTTCAAGAGCACAGATGTTCGCAGAGCCTCATGTTTCAGGCACAGAGAAGAAAGTATTACGGGCAATGGAAAATTGTCCAACCACTTTCTCTCAGGACCTGAAATTACCACCTTGGTGAATTTTTAAAGACTCCGATGGGGCTCAAATCACTTCTGATTTAAAGTGGTCCCCAATACACACACAAAACTGCATGGGACCTCAAGACTTTCCCAGACCATTAGAAGTGCACCCACAGATAGGGGCCAGGAGACCTGGAACCAGAAAGACATGATTTGTGAAATCCGTCCTTGTTTCCTGTGTGATTCTCGACAAGCTACTGGACTCCTGTGAGCCTCAAGTAAAGGATCATGGGGGTACCAATGGCCCTGCTGATCCCAGCATGGTTGTGGGGACAGATGGGGTCATGCTGGAAAGTGTAGCAGAGTGTCTAGCACAAAACTTCAAGCATGGCTGTGATGGCCAATCTCGATGGTCAACTTGATACACCTGGGAAAAGGGACCCTCAGTTGAGGAATTGCCTCCATCCAATCAGTCTGTACGCATGTCTATGGGACATTTCCCGATTGCTAACTGATGTAGGAGGGCCCAGCCCACTGCGGGTGATACTATCCCTAGGCAGGTGGACCTGGGGTATATAAAGAAGCTAGCTGAGCAAGGCAGAAGAAGCAAGCCAATAATCTGCATGCCTCCTTAGTTTCCCCTTCACACACCTGCCCTGGCTTCATACATGATTGAAGCAAACACTCTCCTCCTGACGTTGCTTTTGGTCAGAATACGTTACCACAGCAACAGAAAACGAACTAGGGCAATGGCTATCGTTATCTGCACTGAAACTAAGGTCCAGGAGAGGAAAAGGGGTCTGGCTGGCGTACAAAGGGTGGAAAACCTGGGCCTGGGCCCAGACTTCTGGTTCCCGACTTTGTGTTAGGCGTCTACATCTACACTTGACAGTAGCATTTGCCGCAGGCCCAACCGCAAGACCTTGTCACACTCACTACAGAGCTGTGCAGACACCAAGGCAGGGCAGCAGCTGTTCCACTCCAGCATCTCCAACAGAGTTGTGGTCCAGCTGCAGGGCCACAGGCCGCTGGAGGTACCTCAGCACGAAGGCCAGGGCAGCACACTCTGCAGGGCCCACCCTGCAAAACGTCAACTTCAGGTGCCCAATGTCCAATCGACGCACAGCCTCCTGTGCCAGCTGCTCCTCCTGCATCTCATACAAGCTCCGGATAAGCCAGATGAAGCCAGGCATGGCATGCATGCTCTTGGCCTCACCAGGCACGGCAGGCGGGATGTTGTGGAAGTGTTCGCGAAGGCTCTGGGCCAGACAGGAGCGGGCACATGCTTGGCGCTGGAGCAGCACCCTCTTAGAGACCTGGCATGCGGCCAGCAGGTCCCAGTGCTCCTTGGACAGCAGACCCGCTAGGAAGGCCGCTGTGATCTGCAGGTTGTGTGGCTCAGCCTTCTGTAGGAGAGCCGCTTCGCTGCCCTTCCTGACTCTGGAGCCCTGGATACACAGGCTGGGCAGCAGCCGAACCAGCAGTGAGCTCCCCAGCCGGCCACAGCTGAAGAGGTGCCTGAGTGAGGCCGCTGACGTGTCCTCACTGACTGCCAAGTAGAACGCGGCAAAAAAGCACTGGAAGGTAATGTGCAGAAATTCCAGGGGTGTCTTGCTCCCGGGCGCAACATTTTGGGCACGTACCAGGAAACCAAGAGAAATATCATCAGCGTCGACCTGTGCCGCCTGGAGCTGCTGGGCTGAGAACACGTAGCAGCTCACGGCCAGGCCCCGGAGAGCCAGGTGGCCAAGGTGCAGGAGGGTGGAGAGGCGGCTTTGAAGGAGCCTGGGTCCCAGGCTGAGAGGGAAGGAATCCGGAGGGGAGGCATGCAGCAGGAAATGCTGTAGGATCAGGAGGTACATGTCCGTGCTGGTCGTCGGGAAGCCCCCACTCTGCAACAACAGTTCCTGGTGGCATCTGGACACCATCCATGAAAAGACAGGGAGGTGGCACAAACCATGCAGGGCCGACGTGGCTCGGAGCAGGCGGATGAGGCGGTCCGCCACTCCAGCTTCCCGGTGGTGCTTCCTCAGGTACTGTTCAATGCCCTCTTCCGAGAAGCCCTTGAGGTGGTATTCTGTCCGGACGAACTTCCTGAGGAGAGCTGACACAGCATCCGGACGACTGGTCAGCAACTTGCGAGCATTCTTTAGCAGGTTCCCCTGAAGAAGGTTAAAAAGCAAAGTCTGGACTGACGTGGGGTCAGTCGGAGAGCAGTGACGCTCCCGGTCTGTGAACCGGAACTTGAACTCATCCAAGCCATCAAAAGTCAACAGGACACGGTCGGGATGGTCAAGGAGGAACTGGAAGACATCGTGCTGGCCAACGTCAGGCCAACAGCAATGCTCAAAGAGCAGCATCTTTAGAGACAGCGGCTTGGCCGTGCATTGCAGCTGCCGGCAGCTGAACGGAAAAACGAAGAGAAACTCCTGGAAGTTCTGCCCCGTGGCCCACAGCAAGTGCAGCCGCTGCAGGAGAGTGCTCTTACCACTGCCTGCTTCACCCACCACCAGCACAGTGTCTGCATCTTTGTTCAAATGGCCATGGGTACCAAAGAGCTCCTCCAGGCCCAGGATGGCAGGGCTCTTCCGCAGGGCTCCAGCCGTGCCCACCTCTGTCCACAGCTCCAAGATGTTCTCCGTGTATATATCCTCCAGGAAAAGGTTCTCCGAGCCATCGTAAGTACTGAGGAAGCGCGACTGGGCTGACACCATGGTCCTCAGCTTCGATAGGAACCTCTGACACTCAGCAGCTGGGATACAGAAGGGCGAATGAGGTGGGGTCGTGGTCATAATGGGACCTATGCAGAGAGAAACCTACACGGGGGATGTGACATGCAGAAGAGCTGACAGGCATCTATCCCGTCTTGTCCACTTATAAGCTGTGGGCTTTGGGGACAGCCATGGAAGCTTCCTAAACCTGGCTCTTTCTTTGACATGGGCAAACACGGATGAGGCATGCCAGCTGGTAAGCATAGCATTCAACACAGAGACACTGGCCACTGTCACACTTAATATGCACACCTGAAAGTGCCAGGGAGGGTATTCCTCACAGCATCTCTATCCTGATTGTCTATTTCTGTTGGGTGGCCCAAGACGCCATTCATCCCCCACCGCCAGTTCCTGAAGGAAAATAGGGGACAGGGCTTAGGTGTCCAGGTTCTGAAGTCTGACACCTGGCCCTGCCACCTGCTTGGCAAGCCACATGGTCCTGCTAGGATCCAGTTTTCCTATCTATGGAAATGGGGACTACTAAGGCTTTCATTTGAAATGTCCCCACAGGCTTATGTGTCTGAATGTTCGGTCCCAGCTGATAGCACTGTTTTGGTAGATGTGGAACATTTAGGATCCAGGGCTAGCTAGCTGACATGGTCCCCTGGGGGTAGGACTCAAAGGTTACACCTGGCCTCCTCCCACCGGAGCTCCCTGCTTCCCATCTGTGGCTGTAACGAAATCAGCCGCATGTGTTATCACTCCTTAGGTCAAGCTACACTAGCCACCAGTCCCGGCCACGACAGACCATCCATAACTGGGACCTAAAACCAGCCTTCCTTTCTCGAGTTAATTCTGTCAAGTATTCCATACCACAATGGGGAAAGTGGTCACAAACTGTGTACAGATCCAATTCCCGGAACCCACAGCTGTGTTACCTTATATGGCTAAATGGACTGGCCAGAAGCAGAGGTTAACTCCGGGAGCTCAGGGTCACCAAGTGCCTGCGCCAAGTCCTCAACAAGATCGTCTGATACTTCCTTCTTGTCCTTTCTTCCTCCTGCCCCTCTGCATCCAGGGCCCTACTGCCTGTGCAAAGCACTTCCCCCTGGGAGCTCAGTTCCCCTTTCAGGAAATAGAGAAGGGCTGGTCAGAGGCTCAGGTTGGCAGGACGTCAGAGGATGCCAGCATCTTCACCTCACCATGACCTCAATAAACCCAGTAAAGTACCAGTCCATTTGTTCTCAACTCAGAGGCAAGCAAGTTCTTGTCAAAGAGTTCTTAGCCCACAGAAGTACCTGCAGAGCCAAGCAAAGCAGGTGCCCGTGATGGTATCCCTTCTATTTTCTTTTTTGATATGGGATCTCACTATGGGGCCCAGACCAGCCTCAAACTAGCCATCTTTCTGCTTGGGCCTCCTTATGAGCTGGGATTAGAGGTTGTACCACCACGCTCAGTATTCAATGTCTCTTGCTCCCAATGGTAAGCATCCTCGTGGCTCTTTCTACCCTTTGACTATATCAGGAGCATTGACCAAACACCGAAAGACACACAGTCTCCTTTCTAATTCCCTGACTTACAATGCCAGTCTCTGGCCATTACCAATATTACTAAAAGCTTCAAACAAACATAGGCCTGGGTAGATGGCCCAAAGGGGGAGGGTAAAAGCACTTGTCACCAAGCCTGATGATCTGAGTTCGGTCCCCAAAATCCATTTGGCGGAGGGAGACAGCCAACCCCTGCAGGTTGTCTTCTGACCTCCACATGCCTGCCCTGGTGCTTTAATATACGTGTGTACACACACACACACACACACACACACACACGAATAAAAATAAGTAGATAAGTAAATAAATGTAAAATGAAAACAGTAAAAGAATTAAATTAAAGAATATCTCTCATTTTCATTTTAAAGAAAATAAACAAAATTTTACTTTTTTTCTTGAGATAGGGTCTCATGGCTTCCAACTTGTTATTGTAATGGAAGATGATCTTGAACTCCTGATCCTCCTGCCTCTACCTACAGGTGTCTGCAACCATGTCCACCTGCTCAGTTATCGTCTTCAGAGGCAGCTCGCATCAGGGAACTGTATAATGGCTATACAGCCAGCTATACTTGATGGCCCTGTCAGCAAATGCTCACTTAAGGGCCGTACTGGCTACCATACAGTGATGTCCACATCCTGCTCTTCTACGAAATAGTTTACACCTGAGTACCAAGCATGGGCCTCCAGCCATCCTGCCCACAGGCTTTCTTCTGCACAGAGGGCAAGGCCAGAATGATAAGCCCATCTGTTAGCTCTGGGCACACAGTGCATGGATCTTCAGTCCACATTAGCTTCCTTCTCCGTTATGTGGAAACAAGACTGGGGGAGTTCCAGGCTTGCATCCTGCCTGCAACTGATGATTTCCTCTCCCAAGCAGGGAAGGTGGAGACACTACAGTCAGATCCACCTCCTGTTCCTTGCTACTCAACTCTCAGTTTTCCTATCTGTGAAATGGAACACAGCAATATCCACTTCTCAGGACCGTTGGCAAGTGATAGAGAATGCCCATAAAGCACATGGCAGGTTGCCTGGCATGTCTCAGCCGTGCCACCCAGGCCTCCTGAGCTACTCAGCTGGTGAGCATAGACATGGATGCGACTACAATCTCTATGTAGTTATGGTTATGAATTCCAGATCATGAGAAGCTAGGCTCTGTGGATCAAGAGATCCCAGCCCTATCTGTGCCTGGTGTGGAATGCAGTTTGGACAGCAAGGTATATGCATAACTGGCTGTCCGCGTACCGTGGCTCCAGGGGGCACTGTGTACTTTTTAGGGAGCACTGAAACGGGAGAGCCGTTATATTGTCATCCTCTGAATATTCACTGCTGCCAAATGAGTCAGGTTTCAAATGGAGGAACTGATTCTGGGGGAATAACGCAACCAACCCATGGATATTAACTGACGTGTGCTTTGCTCTTTAACCAGGAATCTGAGTTGACTTCCTTTTGTTTTCTGGTTAACCAGAAGGGACAAATACATACCTTCATAAGGCAGGGACGGTGAAGGTAATTCTTTGATGTGCTGGAGAAGGAAGGCAGCCAGTCCATTTGCCTTCACTGTGGCGAGGTCAAGCAGCCTTCTTGCCTACAAACCAAAGAAAGGCCATTACTTTTTTCAAGAAGACTGATGGAGGAGGGGTGTGGGATAGTTTCTATTAAAAGTTAGACTACCTAATCAGAAGACCCCCACATCTAAATGCTGTTAATAAATCTAAACCTTTTGAGTGCTGCCATGATGTTACAAATGGAAAATTGAAACATTGTGTAAAATTACCTCCAGGCCATGTGTATATGAAATATAAATGACTTTTGTGGTTAGACATGGGTTGAGCTGTCAAGATATTTGTTTATGGAAATGTTCTAAAAATCCCCCAAATATCTGAAACACTTTTGGTGCCAAGCATTTAAGATAAAAGAAACTTTCATCAATAATACAATTTTATACACAGTTCTCTTCTATCATAATGAGAGCCCAGAAAAACAACTGTGACACAGCCTGTATTTAGCAAACAAAGATATGTAGTCGTGGCTGGTGAAACAAACACACAGCCAGCCTGGCTGTCTCCAACCCCACAGAAAGAACGAATTGAATAGATAAAAATGAAATAAAATGACAAAAAAAAGACACCTAGATCTACCAACCTACAAAACCAGAAAATGATCCACCTGGAAGGCAGGAGCCTCACCAAGTCCTGTGGCCTGAATGTTTGAACTGTCTCTGCACAGAACCCACTCTTTTCCAGCCTCAACTGTTCCGAATCCGGGATCTGCACACCCAATAGCCCATTTTCTTCCTCTACTTAAATGTGTCATAAACACACACACACCACGCACGCATGCAGGCACACACGCGCACACGCTGCACACGCTGGACATGTATGTCCGACCCATAGCTGTCCTCATCCCGGCTCAAGTTCAAGTCTCCTCCATCCTTCTAGCTTTTTTTTTTTTTTTTTTTTTTGGTTTTTACAAGACAGGGTTTCTCTGTATTGTTTTGGAGGCTGCCGGTCCAGCCTGGCCTCGAACTCATAGACATCCGCCTGCCTCTGCCTCCCAAGTGCTGGGAATAAAGGCGTGCGCCACCACCGCCCGGCCCATCCTTCTAGCTTTTCATCCCAACATCTGAAGTCACCTTGAAGTCCCTTCTCTGCACTTCATCAACACATCCTGTGGCCTCCACCTTCAAAGGACCAGAATCAAGTTGCCCAACAGAAACAGAGCCCAATGCATACAAGCAAGTCACACGTGCACTGGAGCCTTCTAACAGCCACATCCTTCAGTGACAAATAATAGGTGCACTTAAGCTTAGTCACAGATAACACTTAACTGCAACATCCAAAATATTGTCATTTCAACAAACCGTCAACAAAAATGCGTTGCTTTTTTTCTGTTAAGTCTTCCGCAGCTGCTACATTTAGACTCCTTATGTGACCCAGCTGTGTGGCGGTGTTCAGCAGCCTCCCAGAAGCTGATATCTCCAAGCTACGGAGCCCTGCACACATGAGCCCTATTGCTGTCCTGCTCCAAGGCGTGCTGTGGCTCACATGGAAACTGCCTAGCTGCCTAACAACTGCCTATCTCTACACTGCCTCTGCCTATAGTCTATCCCCAGCACCACAGCCAGAGGAGAATGCTTCATGTCCAGAGGTGAGTACTTCACAGGTTAGTCAAACCTCACAGCCCTAGCATAAACATCCTAACTACAGCCCACACCTAGTGGTAAGCTCTCTTTATGTAGGCGCTTAGTGCTATGAACTTTCCTCTTATCACTGCTTTTCAAGTTTCCCATTTGGGTATGCTGTGTCTTCATTTTCATTGAATTCTAGGACCCAGGAGTGATGCAATTGAGCATTGTTCAATTTCTATGAGTTTGTAAGCTTTCTGCAGTTTGTGTTGTTGTTGAATTCTGACTTTAAACCATTGTGATCTGATACAATACAGGGGATTACTCCAATTTTTTGTATCTTTTGAAGTTTGCTTTGTTGCTGAGTATGTGGTTGATTTTAGAGAAGGTTCTGTGGGGTGCTGAGAAACAGGTATATTCTTTTGTGTTTTGATGGAATGTTCTATAAATGTCTGTTAAACATAATTGGGTCATAACTTCTGTTAGTTCCTTTATTTCTTTGTTAAGTTTCTGTCTGGTGGTCCTGTCCAGTGGTGAGAGTGGGGTGTTGAAGTCTTTCACTATGAGTGTGTGTGTGTGATTTTAAGTTTTAGTAATGTTTCTTTTATAAACGCGGGTGCCTTTGTATTTGGAGCATAGATGTTCAGAATTGAGACTTCATCTTGATGGATTTTTCCATCTTGATGGATTTTTCCTGTGACAAATATGAAATGACCTTCTTCATCTCTTTTGATTAATTTTTGTTTGAAGACTAATTTGTTAGACATTAGGATAGCTACACCAGCTTGTTTCTTAGGTCCATTTGATTATAAAAATCTTTTCACAACTCTTTACTCTGAGGTAATGTCTGTCATTGAGATTGAGGTATATTTCTTGTATGCAGCAAAAGGATGGATTCTGTCTTCGTATCCATTCTGATAGCCTGTGTCTTTTTATAGGTGAGTTAAAACCATTGATATTAAGAGATATTAATGACCATTTATTGTTGATTCCTGTTATTTTTGGATTTGGTGGTGGTGGGATTATCTATTGCCTGTGTCTTTGCGAGTGTAGCTAACTTACTTGGTAAGAGCCAAAGCAGACAACCTGTGACCCTGAGAATGCAGACTGCATCTCTCCCTGACTGTCTCCTCTTAGCACTGCTCCACTTAGCACTGGCCTCCCCCCAATTTAATGACCATTGCCCAGCATGTGCCTGATTCAGACATCTGCTGGCTACATCTCCGTCTAGAGTGCTACTAAGCCCGACCAGTGTCTGCCTAACTCTATCACCCATTCTAAGTCTTCCCTCAATGAGAACTCTCTAACAACCCTATGGGAAAATGCAATCACTACTTCTCACCCTGGGAACTCTCCACAGACTTCACTCCTATACTAACCAAACGTGGCACCTTCCAAACTCTGCAGTTTGCTTGCTCCCTTCTGCTATGGTCTGTCCCCAGCTGAAGTGGGAACATCTGCACAGCAATGTTGTCTGTTTTGTTCACTGAGGGAGTCACGATGACAGAGGCAGTATGAAAGGACTCAGCGGATGGATGGATGGATGGATGGATGGGTGGGTGGATGGATGGGTGGGTGGGTGGATGGATGGGTGAGTGGGTGGATGGGTGGGTGGGTGGGTGGATGGCTGGATGGATGGATGGGTGGATGAGTGGGTGGATGGGTGGGTGGATGGATGGGTGGGTGGGTGGATGGGTGGGTGGGTGGGTGGATGGGTGGGTGGATGGGTGGATGGATGGATGGGTGGATGAGTGGGTGGGTGGGTGGGTGGATGGATGGGTGGGTGGATGGGTGGGTGGGTGGATGGATGGGTGGGTGGGTGGATGGATGGGTAGGTGGATGGGTGGGTGGATGGATGGGTGGTTGGATCCCTGGGTACATGGGTAGAAGACTCCTGAAGTCTAGGCCCTGCTGCTGTTGAAAAGCATGTCATGCACACCCTACAGTCCACCAAGAGCTCTGCATGGCAGCATCAAGTACGTCTGTAACACAGGAGACAATGAAGATAAGGAATAAGAATTTGACGTGAATCACCAGGCTTTCTTCCCCACTCCACTAGATGCTGTCCCTGCCTGCTGCTATGGCAGCCTGGAGATCTGATAGGATGAAAGAGGATCCCAGTACCGGGAGAACCCTGGCACAAAACCACTCATCCTCTAGGTTCCCAATTAGACCTCTACACCAGGCAGGGGACTTTCTATCTGAGGAGCTTCGTAAAGCCAAGAGGAAAGACCTATGGCTAGAAACACTGCCCTTTCCTGACTGTCTATTGTAGAGGTCACAGCAGGGAGGGTTCACCTCCTTGCTCAGTGAGTTTCAAAATCTGTCATTTTAAAAATAAGGCAAATGCTGGGCATTGGTGGCACACACCTTTAATCCCAGCACTTGGGAGGCAGAGGCAGGCAAATCTCAGTGCATTCGAGGCCAGCCTGGTCTACAGAGTGAGCTCCAGGACAGCCAGGACTACATAGAGAAACTCTTACTCAAAAAATAATAAACAAGATGGGGAAGGAGGGACAATACATTAAAATCACCAGTAAACCATCAGATGAATTTCTCAAGCACAAAGATGCGAATTTCTGGATTCAAACACCTCTTGAGTGCCTTGCAACCAAGGTAGATGATCACAAAAATTCAGCATATTGTGGACTAAAAGAAATTTTGACTACTTTCAAAAAGAGACAGAAATGGTCTCTGAAACTTTCATGGCAGCACTAAACAGGGATGATATCGAAGTAGCGCAAGCAAAATTCAGAAGGAAACTGATGGCCAGAATGGTTGTTTGCATGTTTTCAGTGCTGGGAATAAAACCTGGGGCGCCACACATTAGCTCTCTATTACTCACGCAGAGCTCCAGAGCCTTCTGCTTTGAGACAGGGTCTCACCAAATTGACCAGACTAGCCTTACACCCACTCACTCTGCAGCACACACAATCCTTGTATTTGCTCTCCTCCTGCCCAGACTCCCAAGTAGCTAGGATGCGACACTTGGACTTTATTCCAGTCAAGCGGTCAGTCAACTATGAGGGAGCCTTTAGACACTCAGAAAACTCAATTCCTAAACAGTTTGTCAAAAAAATAGACTGAGGGATACATGGTCTACCAAAATGGAGTAACCAGCCTGTGTCAGCTGAGAACAATGGCTGTTCTGGGAGTCAGAACTGGCTTTAATGATCTCAGAGCAGCTGGGCAGCACAGCCCACTTCCTCGGACCACATTCCCAGGCATCCTTCCCACGCGCCTCACATCACCTCTGCCAGCTGCTCCAGCTTGAACAAGCCCAATGACCTTGTCACTGACCTACTAGCGGGTCCCTGATAGACTCCCAAAGAAGAAGCCAGGCCACATCCCAAGACCCTGGTAAGTTACTCTGACCTGGGAGCCTCCATCTAAGAAGAAAAGACAATATTGCTGTTTCCTGACATCAGTATGTTTAGGTTGCCACTTCATTGTTTTAAATAAAATATACTGTTTGGAAATTGCTAGCAAAAGATACAGAAACCATAAGGAGAAACAAAGGAATGATTAACAGACAAGCCAGATCATTGGCTGCCTCTACTGTATGCACCTGAAGGACACGCAGTTTCTGGATGTGGAGAAGTTTTTACCCTAGACACAGGAAATGCATACACTATTTTGTAGGCATGGTACACTTCCCAATTTGAAACTGTTTAAGTCTGTATTGTGACAGGAGCAAGCAAATTGGAGCTCAGTCTGTCACCTCAGCCCCACTGGCTTTAGCATCTGCATGAGTCACAGGGACAGCTGGTATGACAGTTGGCGTTGCCAGCCTGAGGTTTCCCAACAACTGTTATCCCCAGATGAGCAAAACTACATAGTGCTTTCACATCTTATGACACAAAGGGAAGTGTACACTCCCTGGAAAGAAACAGGCCTAGATTCAACTTCTAGCAGGCCTTCCCAAATGAGCAATTTGTCCTTCAACAAACACACCCTCCGTTGACGGAAGGATGTAGCAGGGCTTAACTGGGATACTAGAGAGAAGGCTCGTCCCATGTCTAGTGCACACCATCCCTGGTGCACACGCTCCCTAGTGCACACCTCCCTAGTGCACACGTTCCTGGTGCACACCCTTCCTGCGCCTGCTCAGGAAACAGGGGCAAAGGGGGCTCTTCAACTTGCATTCTGCTTTATTCCACAGTGTGTGTTTTCAGCTCCCAACCTTCAGCCAATGAGAGCCGCCTCCACAAAGAAATTAAGGGTTAGTGCTAGACACACGTTAGCTGGAAATGCCATACATCCCTCCTGCACTGAGTTAGAAATTGAGCCACCGAGGAAAAGAAAAACCAGAGACCCTGGAATGTCAAAGCTGAAGGGAACTAAGAAAAAGTGGCTTTAGTCAATTAACTTCAGGCTGTGGGACCCCTTTGTCACCTCCAAATTCTCAGAGCTGCTTTTCTGTCCCTTCTGCCGTCACATCCCTCAGCTCACTCCCTCATCTTCAGGGACCGTTTCTGTGGTCCACTTAGTCCTTCCTCCTGTCCTCCCTTCCTTCCTCCCTCCCTCCCTCCATTCCCTCCTTCCTCCCTCCCTCCCTCCCTTCCTCCCTTCCTTCCTTCCCCATGTAGCCTTAGCTGGCCTGCAACTCACTGAGTGCTGGGATTAAAGGCGTCCGGCCCCACTTTGCTCACGGAAATCCAGCCTTTCTCCTTTCTAGTAGGTTAAAGGCGCCTCTGTCCTGCTAATCCCATAGATTTGGGGAAGATCATGCTCTCCTTTCTGTTTTTCTGGGTATCTACAGGCATCCATTGGTTGCTTCTTTGGCCTGTGAGTTTTCTTGGACAATCTCAATACTTATGATATTCCTGCTCCCATCTCCTCCAGAGTCTAAGCATCTGGTGGCGCTCTTCAGAAAATCTCTCCCCGGATGCACAGCTGAACACTAGGTCAAAGGTGAGGCGCTCCAATCTGGTAACTCCTTCGTGAGCTGATTCTACCCTCACAACAGGTCAGTCACAGGAGGCACCAAGGAGGGACAAGAAACATGTGCTTTTGAGTGCCAAGGGAAGGCACACTGAGGCATACCTTCAGGCCCCTCACGCAGTAGTGAGAAGGCCCAGGTCATGAATGTGCTGTGAAGACTTAGCCAACCAACGCTGGAAACAGATGCTCATTAATGTCCACCTCGGCCTTTGCCTACCCAAACTCACCTGAGGTCCGACCTGCCCATCCTCGCACTGAAATGTATGTGGTTCTACTAACTTACTCATCTCATCAACCACTACTGCCCAAACACCTATCACCTGCAAATTCTCAACACAGCCAGCTTTAGCACGGAACCTGGCATACCGTAAGCTTCGTAGATTCCAACTGAACGAACGAGTCAAGGAAAAGTCCACCACTGACCGCCCCTTCACTACTGCGGATTTCCCGAAACTGTAAAGTAGAATGTCACTATTTTCCATGCTTCTCAGGAAGCCCGAGGATCACCATTTACAGGAAAACAGAGGTTTCAGAAATACCCAGCGATACTTTTCTGCCCTTGTGGTTTCTGCTGAATCACTGCGTTTCATGGGCAGTTACCTGCCAACTCGAATGCAGTTTCATATCTGAAATCCTAGGTGGCATTTAAACTATATTGGCACACAGTGGGCTGTACTATTAAATTCAGATTTAATATAATGCAGAATTATTCTCCATTGAGCAGTAAAAGTCTGCAAGCACAGAAAGCCAGCAGCCAGAGACGATGGTTAGTGGACTTCCCAGACGCATCTCTAATTGATGCATGGGTTAACTCAGTGAGTACCCCCCCAAACCCTTGAGCATCAGAGATTAACAGTGAGACGGGAGAAATGAAGGGTGGAGGCTAAGGCTAGGGTAGAGCAAAAGGCCCCTGCACTGCATACAAGCAAAGGAAAAGAGAAAAGAGAGGGAGGAATAGCTGGAGAGCTTCTATGTAGAAACATCCAGTCACAGGGAATTGCCCTAGAACCCGCATCATCCTGGCTGCTGAGTCCAAGCCCTGCACTGCCGAGCCACAGCTGCCCCCACCAAAAGTGACTTGCTGGCACAAGCAAGAGCAACTTTGACCTGACTGGTCAGCTCTGCATGGGAAATCTCACCAGTCATGCTATCCCATCGGGCTGACTGCAACCGTCTTGGTGACTAAGCAGCCTGCCCCTGTGAATTCTGCTGATACAGGCCGCAGCTTACCCTCTGGGATGACGTGAAGATTGGCAGCCTGATCTCATCACATTCGTACTGGCTCAGGAATCCCCGTTCCCTTGCCAGCTCCAGCATGGCTTCTACGTGGTTGTAGAGTCCCCGGACAATGGCTGGCCGGTGACTCTGCAGGACTCTGGTTGGATGAACCGAGTGAGTGTCCCAGCAGCCATGCAGTTCAAGGTTGTGACTGTTAGCCTGGGACTCCTGGACAGCTTCAAGGAGCTTCTGACAGCCCCAGTCACCCTTGTTCCAGACTGTGTCCAGGAGGCGCCTGGCAGAATGGGAGAGAGGCTGGCCGGGGAGGCTGAGGCCCTCATAGTCCTCCCAGGACAGCACATCCCAGGACAGCAGCCAGTCCAAGATGCTCTCAAAGCCCTCCAAGGACCCCGAGACCAGCAGTGCCACCAGCTGGCTCCTCTGTGCCTGGAAGTCTTCCTGTGAGCACATGTCCCAACCTGTAAGAGAGCAGGGGAGGTCAGAGGTCAGGACATGGTTTCTCTAGAAGTCAGGCTGGGGAGGAGAGGTCAGGAAATTACTTCTCTAAAAGCCAGGCTATGTAGAGAGCAACCTACTCCAAGTCCAAGTGGGCTACAGTTGTACTCAGGCACTCTCCAGTCTAAGCACCCCACAAAGGGACCCCAGGATGTCAGGAAACTAGCTGGAGTTCCCATGGGTTTAACGCAGCCAGACACTTAAATCCTGGAGGCCCTGGGCTCCCATAGCTATGCTTGCTAAGTTTCACAAGGCAGAGTTGACCGAAGTAGTCTCCTGAGGATCAGTTCCCTTCTACACAGGTCACACTCACAGCCATACGGCTTTGGAACCACTGGACCCGTTAAGGGCATCCTAAGTGCCTCATTGAAACATTGCATGTCGCACTCTCAACTTCTAGAAAGCAGGTGCTGTGGCCAGCCCCTCTGCAGAGAGGGAGCCTGAGCAAAAGCAAATTTTGTAGTAATTGTCATAGCTGGGAAAGACAGGGCTGGGATTGGAACCCAAGCAGTGGGACTCCTAGCCTGATGCAAACCTTTGTCTCTTACTGGTCTCCCCACAGGCCCCCAGCCCTGTCTGCACATAACCTATGACTGCTCCCGGGCAGAACTGGGGCTTGCTGCAAAGATGCCAGACCAGGTGAGGTAGGATGTCAGGGTGCACACAAAGTTGGCTTGAAGCCTACTGGTACACTACCCGACAGCAACACATACACAGACACACAGGCACACAGATACACACACAGAGACACAGACACACATAGGGACACACACACACACACACACACACACACAGATACACACACAGGGACACACACACACACAGGGACACACACACACAGGGACACACACACACACACACACTCACACACACACACACACCCCTAAGGCCCTTGCTCCCTCCCAAGCATGTAGCAGCACACACTGCTTGCTGCCCTGCTATCGCTATGCTCAGGAGCTAGTACCGAGCTCAGCCTTCAGTCCCAAGAGCTGGGGCTTTGAAAGCTTGGGACCATCAGAGTTTCAGGCATGGAGATCCCTGAGCCGCAGAGAAAAATCAGAAAATTTCGGTGGGCCAGTTTGTCTTTGCCACTGTCCCAGATAAGGGCTGGGCCCGTGCCCAGAGGAAAATGAAAGTGAAAGAGGACAAGGCACAGAGGGAGAGGAACAAAGGCGTCCTTTCACAATCAGGGACATTCTAGGTTGCTCCTGCAGTGGGGGGGGGTGCTGGAGTCGAAGCCTTTCCTGTTAGAGAGTGGCCATCTTCCCTCTACGGCAGGCGCCCACTGCAGGCTAGATCTCCCTCATTCTGACACCCTGAAGCTTTGCCCAGCACTGGGCTCAGTGAAAGCCCTGGGGATGTCAACTCTAAGCACACCCATGGAAGCCTGGGGCTGGAATGCTCAGGGCTAGCTTCAATCTCTAACTCAGAACCACATTACTAGCATGCAGGCCAGCAGCCTGGGGCTGGCCAGATGGGCAAAGTGAGGCGGGGAAGCTACCTAAGCCTCTGGCAGCTTAGGAGAGAAGGTATCCCTACTGTGGAGGCTACTGTAAGCCAGGAGCTGAGAGTTTTCAGTGGTCAAGCAGGTCACCTGCCCTGGGCTCCAAGCAGAGGAGCCAAGAGTAGGGGACAGGGAGACAACAGCAAGGGGCAGCGTGAGCTAGGGTCAAGTCATGGAATGCTTCTCATCTGCGCAAACCAGCCCAAGTTGGAGCACCAGCTAACTAACCCACCACGCCTGCCCAGGTCCTGAGGAAAGTAACCGCCGGCCCCTCCTACTCTGGGAACAGCACGCAGCAAGGGCAAGCACCCTGGCCTGAGCACTGAGGTGCAGTCCCGAAGTATGGAGGGTGGGAAGGGCTAACATAGGATGCCTGGCTCACTTTACCTTCAGGGTACTGGGTAAACCACCTAATGTTTCCTTCTTCTGCAAGCACAAGGGCCAAAAGGCCCAGAGGCATTGCACAGGCAGTCCCTAATCCAGGCGACCCACCCTAGGGGAAATCCTACAAGCTGAGCAGGAAGCCTGAGCTGGCAGGCCAGCACCCAGAACTTGCTAGTTCTTGGCAGTCCTGGCACAAAGCCTGGGACATCTACCCTGGCTTTCAATCAAAGACCCTAGGGACATGAGATGTCTCCAACCAATGTGCTTGCCCAGATAGAAACAACTGGGAGAGGGCAGGAGCTCTCTCCAGATATGCCAAGAGCTGGCCGGATACCCAAACCATACACACCCAGACGATGACGTCAGTGGTGTGGACACAGGCAGGGTGAGGCAGGAAAGCCGTGTGGCTCGGTACTCTGCCTCCCACCCGCAGCTGGAAATTCCCATCTTGCCAGTCTCCTGCAGACCACAAAGCAAGGCAGAGCCCCAAAGACCAGTTCCGTCAGTCCCCTGCCTCTGAGTACGCCATCTTCCTATCCCATCTTAAGCAGCTGGAAAAGAAGACCTGGGTTTGATACTGTCCTCCTGACTAGCTGAGGAGGTCTTCCATTAGCTCATCTTGTTCGGCTAAGACTGGAAGAGAAAAGCAAAAGGGGTAGATGCTCTTGTCACCTATTTCATAAAAACTGGTCCTAGAATCCTGTTCTTGCGCCTTCCTACTCTGCCAGACTCGCCCTCTCCAGGTTAAACACGACGTTCTGACCTCCCTGCCTTTTCTTCTCTGTCCAGCTAGTGCCGCCGCCGTGAAGTCACCCTTAGGCTCTTCAACATGGAACCCAACCAAAGGGGGCACCTGCTTGCTGATACAGAGGGTCAAGGGGATCTACAAAGATCCCTCTCATCCCCAAGCCCCCAAACTCGCGCGCACGCACGCACGCACACCTCCGTGCCCTAGCACCTTCCTTCCTTCCTTTCTTCCCAGGATCATCAGCAGCCTGGTTTTCCTTGAGGTTCCCAGCTGAGGATTTGTTTGAGGGCTGAGCAACTCTTGCAATGTCCCAGGCCTCCTGCAGATAGGAGAGAAAGGGTACCCAGAAGAGTGCAGGGTGCAGTTTCTGAGCTGTCCTCGTCCCTGGCTGGCCAAGCTTTCCCGGGGGGCACTAACCCCACTCTCCCTCTCCTCTGAGTTGATCCCCTGGACATCAGTTCCCCTCATAGACCAAGCAGACTAATTCACTCTCCACTTCTGCCTTCCCTTGTCTGGGCCTGATCTGCCATCCCCAAGTCCTCCCTTCATCCTTCCCCCCTCCCACAGCCACTGCAAGTGAGAATGCAAACCATGACGTGCAGTTTTGGCCTTCCTTTCTGACAAGGACATTTGTTCTACCTGCTCACCCTCCTCCCTGGAGCACTTCTCTTGAGGCCATGAAGGATTTCTCTGACCTTCCTCCCCAGATGCTAGCTGCTCTTTCTAACCATTCTACCTCCATGACGGGTAACACCCCACCCCACCCCCACGCCCCACCCTGTCCAACTGAATCACTACCACTTCTCTGAGTACTCTCCCTACATAAACCCACCTCCCCACAGGCTTAATTCCCAACTGTGTGTCAGCAATGTCATGACAGTTCTGGACAACATTTAACATTGTGTGGTGCCTACCAGCATCTCCAAACAGATACAAATCAATCACTGGACTGCCCCCTAGCAGCTCCTCTCTCAAATGAAAGTGGCCCCAAGCCCCCAGAGTCTGACACTCTCATGCATCACAGACTATCCACCTAGCCTTCAGTAGACCCCAAATTCGAAAGCCACAGATTCTCTCTCCACCTCTCTCTATACCATGACATAAGCCCTGAAGCCCCCTCATGGTTCCTTCATCTGCCATGACCCCCCCTGGAGGCCAACGTCAGTCACACAACTAGATGAACCCGCCGGGCCTTAAGTCAGAGCAGAGACCTTCTCTGTTCGCAGCCCAGCCCACCAGTGGCTCTCATCATAGTCAAAGCGAAAGCCAAAAGTCTCTACAGCAACCTCAAGCCCAATACAAGAGACCTCAGCACCCACCCGTCCCTCCTAGCCTCCATGGACTCCTTCCCACCCTGCTGTAGGTAGGCCCTAGCCTGCTCCCTCACCCTCAGGACAAGGGAGCTGCTCTGGTCTGCCGTGCTCCTGCCTTTGCCTAAGATTTATGCTCAAAGGGCACTCACTCTCTGTCCCACAGATAGTCACATGACTTGCCCATCACCTCCTTACGACTTTGTTCAGTGGTCACTGTCTCAGAGGGGCCTTCCTAGCCTATGCAGAACCGTGGTCCCCAAGCCCTGTCCCAGTCCTTCCTGTCATCTGCGATGGCACGCATTAGCAGTGCTGGAGCTCCTCTCTGGACCCTGGGCTGAATGAATGAGAACGTCTTTATTCCACACAGCTTGGGGAGGTAGCTGTGGAACCAGAGAGTAGCCACTGTAAGGCACAGGCTTTAGCCAATGGGCTAGTAGGAAGCACCTGCTCACTGGGCCACACTGAGTGCTGACCTGGGTGAGAGACAGGGGCAAAGCGGAGCCGGTGCCAGCTTGGAGCTGCATGTGGAGACCACCTGGCATCAAATGGCCAAGAAGCCAGGGGCTCCAATAGCCTCACAACAGACTGACTCGGGGAGAAGCAACAGAGCTGTCACTTTGGTCCTTTTCACCAAGAGGGCAGAGGTGGCCGATAGGACCAGCTTTTCCAACCCTGCAGAACACCAACCCTGGGGGGAGATCATACTCCACAGGAAAGTCAACACCCCTGCCCCCCCCCAGGACCCTGCAGGATCTGAATGAAAAACAGCCCGAGAGCTTCAGCCAGCTACAGACCTCCCCAGAGGCTTGGGAGCTAGCTTGCCCAGACACAGAGGCACGGATGGCTTGAGAAGCCTAAGAGAGATCAAGCCCGGCCTTGGGCAGGTGGTCGTGGGTTTCTCCAGGCAGGAGCAGAGTCTGGCCCCAGCTCCCACACTCACAAATGAGTAAGGACAGCAGGAGATGCCGGCAAGCATCGGGGAGCAGCAGCTGAGGTTAGAGAGTGTCTCTGAAAACTAAAGACAGAGAAACTGAGGCCCACAGAGAGGGGGCAAGTGGGCCAGGAATGGCTCCTACTGTGACCCAAAGCAGGATTTCCTCCTTCTGGGTAAGGACCTCACCTGCGAGTTTCCCCTCTACTGTCTCAGCCACCCCCAAATCTCAGCCTCCCCTTAGACTTCAAAGGAAGCCCGGGGGCTTCGATGGGCTTCCCGTGTCCTAAACCTCTTCATCTCCAGTGACCACGGCTCCCCTCGAGCCGCCCCTTTTCCTTCCACAGCCTATCTGCCGATGCTTCCAGGGGGAAACAGAGTCCCTTCTGGAAGGAAGCACAGTCAGACCAGCTCCAGAGCCAGCTAACACCATCACAGGGGTGGGACATTAGGCGCTCGTGGTCTCCACCACACCGAGCGCAGTCGCCCGGAGCCCTCAGTCTGCCCCCAGAAAAACCTCTTTCACACACCCACCCATTACCCCAGCACCCGCAGACCACAGAAGCAGCAGGCAAGCACTCACCGGCAGCCGCAGCGCCAGCGCAGCGCGGGGTTCCTCCGCCCGCCTGGTGGTGACTCCTCGGGGAGGCACTAGGACTCCCTCCGTGATCTCGCCCCGCCTGGCGTCCCACCCACTTAGCCAGAGACCCCGCCCACTCCGGCGGATTCGGAAGGGCGGCCACACCCCTCCTGATATCTCTCTGGGGACAGGTGGTGAGACAGGTATCTTGGAAGAAGCCTGCCTGCGATGCAGTGTGTCCTACCCTTGTGTGACCCACTTTCTGGGCCACTTTCCAATCAGGAGGAAACTATGGAGTCCCGGGAACAAGAGACAGGAAAGCCCTCCCTGTCAACAGGAACCGATGCAACACCCGGCCTCCAGCCCCTCTTAATGTTAATTTTTAAAACACTTGAATGTGAAGCCTCATAAAAAAATAATTGACACAGTTTTGTGTATAAAGTGAGGACTGATCACTCGAAGGTATGGTTGGGTGGGCAGGCATCTGGAGGGGTCCACAGCAGGGAGAGAAAGCAGTAGCTTGAACCTGGCCAGCAGACAAGACTGGGTCATTGGGTGGGTGGGGCGAATAGGGGGGAGCAAGAGAGGAAGAGGAAGAGACAGCTAAGAGAGAAGGGACAAAGAGAGGAAGACAAACGGGAACGAGCCAAGAGGGTGCATGGCCGAAACAGCAGGGCTACATGGGAATGAGAAGGTGGGGGAGGGAAGCCCCATGAGCTGGAGAAGTTTAGAGTAGGGGGCGGGGTGAGGAGAACCTCAGGTACTGAGTGAGCCTGGAGGCCAGCATGGTATCTAATAGGCGCCACAGATAGTCATTCCTGTGACTTGCTTTTGAAGCTGACAGTGTGTGCTGGCCTCTGCCCACAGTTCATCATGCCCCCACCCACAGAATACTATTCTTGCCCCTAACTTCTTCATGAAAAAAGTGAAGCACAGGAAGAAGGTGCATTAGCCTGTCCACACAGTGAAAGCGCCCGCAGCATGTGTCCCAGTAGCGAACTTCTTAGCAGGGGGACTGGATGTTTTGGGTTTATATTTAAAATTTTTACATTTATTTACTTATTTATTGTCTGTGGGTATTATGTGTGAGCATATGCTTGGCACATGAGTGGGGAATCACAGGACATCTTGCAGGAGTTTTCTCATTTCGCTATGTGATCTGAGGATCAAACTCAGGTTGCCCAGGCTTGGCAGCACGCCTCTACCCACTGAACCCTCACATACGCCCCAGCTGTTCTTACCTCGTTTTGTGGTGGCCGAAGCTGAGGATGAATTTGAAGACCTGATCATCCTTTGTCTTCCACCTCTGCACTGGCTTTCACGAGCTGTCACCCATGCTGGAGTGGGCTTTGGTGATGCAGCTGGCTTTGAGGCATTTCTGCTGCTGCTAGTAGCCCCTCACCCATACTCCTGTAAGTAACCCCATAAATTTGTTGGTTCATCAAACTGAACTTTGGTGGTATCACTACTTTGCTCTGTCGTCGAGTCTCTATCTGAGTGAGGAGGTGTCTGTCCCCATCTCCCCCCAAATAGGATCACACAGTGAGAGCCACCATGGCTGCCTGAGTTCAGATCTCCCTCACTCACCCAGGTTAAGCAGGCGCTGCTGACCGTTCTCCGTATTTCCAGCAGCATTTCCTTCATGGAGCAGCCCTAGTAAATCTCTTTCACAAAGTCAAATCGAGGGTGCTTATCACACTCAGAGTCACGCTGACACGCTCGGTGTCCTCAGAACCACATTCTTTGTCCCCTGTGATGGTTAATGTTGGCAGTCTACTCAACTCAACTGAGATCATCCAGAAGACGGACAATGCATGTTTCTGGTTGTCTATGAGGGCGTTTCCAGAGAAGCTTGGTGAATTGAGTGGGAAGACCTGCCCTAAACGTGGGCAGTATCACCTACTAGGGTGGAACCATAGCAGCCAGATGATCACTGGAGAGGGGTCCTTCGAGGTCTGTTGCTCTGACTTGCACTCTTTCTTTCTTTCTTTTTTAATTTGACCAATGGCTCAGGCTTCTTATTGGCTACCTCTTTCTTAATTATTAATCTATGTCTCTAATACAGTAAAATTATATACCATATGAACAATTATCAAATAAGAATTACATTCACAATGCCTAGTCCATTTGTATTTGGCAAATTTGGAGAAATTACTCCATTATCTACCCTATCTTGGTAAGTAAAGTTTTATACCTAAACCACTTACTATAAATTGTATTACTATCCCAAAAATATCTTTTTAGACCTTAAAACATCTTCTTCTTTTTTTTAGATTTTTATTTACATTATAAACATATCAATCCCAGCTCCTTCTCCCTCCCCTCCTCCTACACACCCCCACCAGCCCCCCAACCCCCACCCAATTCCCACTCCATTCCCCAGGGAGGGTGAAGCCCTCCATGGGGGATATTCAGAGTCTGTCATTTCATTCAGGGCAGGGCCTAGCCCCCCCCCCAAGAGTTCAGGCTGAGAGAGCATCTCTCATTGTAGGACTGGCACCCAAAGTCCATTTGTATACCAGGGATAAATGCTGATCTACTACCCAAGACCCCATAGATTACCTAGGCCTCCTCACTGACACCTACATTCAGGTGGTCTGGATAAGTCCCATGCTTTCCACACAGCCATCAGTCTGGGGTCCAAGAGCTCCCTTGTTCAGGTCAGCTGTTTCTGTGAGTTAAACAAGCCCACTGACTTGCACTCTTAAGGTAAAGAAACAGAGGTCCCCAGAAGCTACTGTCTTCCTCTGGTGGGCCAGCTACCCAGAACAGAGCTGCTGGTCGAGTCCCCACCCTTCTCTGCTCCTTTAACCGGGGTCTTACCTGTCCTTTGGTGGCCACATTCCACAGTCCCCATGGGACTCTCCTTGTGCTCTAAGCTGTGAGGACCAAAGCACCCAGGGTTCATTTCTGGCCTCTGCTTTGTCACAGGCATGACCCCAGCTTGTTGTTGAGTGACTTACTGAAAGGTGGACAAGTTTAGCCAGGCACCTGCCACTGAGCGGCCTCAAGCCTGGAGGGCCCAGTATGTCTGGATATCCTGGATGGCCTCTGTCCTCACTCCATTCCCACCTCAGAATGAGAGTCAGCATCCTGTCGGCACCCCAGTTCCTGTCCTAGGCCATCCCTGAGCTCATCAGTGAACTGGGAAGGTTTTGCTGAGAGGCTGTGACCTGGTCTGAATTCTCCCCAGTTTTACACAGTGAAATCCTGAGGGCTTGGGAGATTGTGGTGGTGGTGGTTCTGTCTTGAGGTCAGAGACTTGGGAATGGATTAGTGATCCTATGAAGGAGACCTGGGGATTGCGTGATGGCAAGATAGCCATGGAGCACAGCCACCAGCATTCTACAGGGGTCCTGATGTTGAGCAGTCCAGCCTCCAGAACCGTAAGAAATACACTTCTGTCGTTAATAAGCCAGATGGTTATAGCAACAGGGATGGCCTAAGAGCATCAAACAACTAAGAAATAAAAGCCAGCTCTCCCACCCACGTTTTCCCATTGTCCCTTAATGCTCCCGGAATCAGCTGTGTTTACAAATCTTATTTTATAAAATAAATATTCCACCACCCAACAGAGTGTTTGAAAAAAATCAGTTCCTTGCCAGGCATGGTAGTACACACTTTTAATTCCAGCACTTGGGAGGCAGAGGCAGGCAGATATCCGAGTTCAAGGTCAGTCTGCTGTACAGAGTGAGTTCCAGGACAACCAAGAGTACATAGTGAGACCCTGTCTCAAAGACAGAAAGAAGGAAGGAAACAAGGAAGAGAGGGAGGGAGGCAGGGAGGGAGGAAGAGAGGAAGGAAGGAAGGAAGGAAGGAAGGAAGGAAGGAAGGAAGGAAGGAAGGGAAAAATGGATCCTCAGCCTCTGCCTTGAAGAGGTGGTAGATGGCGTGAGGTCAAGAGCAGGCTGCTGTAAACAAGAAGGCAGAAGGGAAGCCGCAAGCCAAGGGAAGGAAACGCGCACATGGTGGTGGTCCTCTGTCCGCCCTCGTGGCCTGAGAAAACAGCAGAGCACCCAGATCTGGGACCACCCCTCCCACCCCCAAGCACCCGTCACATCTTCATCAGGCCTGATGAGAAAAGCCCCATTGTCTCCACCTCTGGGCAGCTCCTGACACAGATCAGAAAGAAGCCTCACTGCGCTGAGGTTGAGGGGAGGCTAGGACGCTCAGCACAGTCACAGGCGCTGTGAGCCTGTGGTGCAGAAATGAGGGCAGCTCTCTTGTCCTGCCCACTCTGCCTCACAAAATCAGCCAGCAGCACACTTGGCCCGTGGCTCCAATTTCAAGTCCTGCAGAACTAATAACCTTTGAGATCTTTGCAAAACGGTATGAGTGACATTACAGGTTTGGGGTCACTTGCAAAACACCTTGACAGCTTAGGTTTCTTTGCAAACCTGGAGAGATCCTCCCTAGGGATCATCAATTCCTTTTAACATTTCAAAAAAAAAAAAAAAGAGTTTCAGTATTGTAGTCTCAAGCGCGCCTGATATCTGGAGTGGTGGTGAGCAGCAGTTTATTTACTTATTCATTTTCTATTTTTGAGGCGCTGGTTATTGAGTAAGCAGTAATTCCTGGTGCTGAGTTATTGCTCAATGCAGAGTGCTTGCACATAGAAAAGGGCGGGCTTACTCTCCTTGCGGTTGAGAAGGGAGGGGAAGCTAGTCCAGGTGCACACTGAAGTCAGGGCCTGAGCTGGGGTCACAGTCCAGTTCCTTTTACATTCCCTCACTGTTCATTTGCTTTCACATGTGCTCTGTCACACAGCAGTGACCCACGGAGCCCCCACCACAGGTGGGCACTGTGCTGAGTGCTGGGGACCAGTGTGCCGTTTGCCACGATAAGTAAAAAGGTACGCCATGAGGTCAAGAGCAGGCTGCTGTAGGAGACAGAAGCTGCAAGCCAAGGGAAGGAGAAGTCCACATGGAAAGAACCTAAAAGAGGGTATTTCCAGAAAGGAAACTCCTGAGCAGGCAAGTCTTCACACCACCACGTTCCAGCATGGCTCTGCTAGGGGCAGCAAGGAATGCTGGGAACACAGCAGTGAAGTTGGGAGGGGAAGACAGAGGATGGAGTCTGCGTCGGTTCAGGATGTGGTGGGACAGCGCTCAAGGGTCGGAGCAGGAGAAACACCCTCTGACTTTGGATTCCAGAGAGGGCACCTGGCTCTAAGATGCCAGAATCTCCCCCTCTTCTGGTCTTGGTGTTGACACAAGGGATGCCTGATGTTTGGTCCCGGTCCACCATGATCTTCTCTGTTATAGACCAAATACGTCTCAGACTTTGGCATTATAATCCTAACGCCTAATGTGATGGCCGTGAGGTCACCACACCATGAGGTGAAGACCTTATGGAACTATGTCCCTTATAAAGGAGATCCCTGGGAACTCTCTAGCTTTCTGCTGACTATGGATGGTCACAGCAAAAAGGTTGCCATCCACAAGCCAGGAAACAGGCTCTCACCAAACCCTGAATCTGCTATCACCTGGATCTCGAACTTCCCTGGCCCCAGGACCGCAGGACACAAACATTTGTTGGTTAAACCTCATAGCATAGGGTATTCTGTTACAGCAGTCCAAGTGGACAAGACATTTCCCTGGTCTTTCTCTCCCCTCCTCCTATCAGGCTCTGGGCTTCAGGGAACAGCCAACACCCAGCAGGCGACGAAGTCTTCTGGTCACACTGACCCAGTTGTGTTCTTCCAACACAACCTCCGTGTCAGGTGGTTTCCAAAAAATGGGCCCCAGCCCCAAAAGAGGAAGCAGCGACTGCCACACTATTTCCCCATGGCTGCTAACTGCTGTGATGAGCTCATAGGGTGTAGAGCCTGCTCTCTCTACTCACTGTAGAGAGGGTGGTGTCTCCAAAGATTTCAAGCCTGGGCAGAGATTGGGCAAGACAGCTGCATGATGGGAAGAGGAGGGGCAGAGTAGCACAGCCTCTCTGCAACCTCCCGCCTCCTTGCCACACTGGGCCTTCTGTCAGGCAACGTGAGGCCGCGGCAGGTGAGATACGGCCCCTGGCACCAGGACTAGCGGGCCAGAGGCACGGCATACACAGCAGTTCTCGAAAGCCCATGCCAGAAAGCAATTGTTACGGATGTGGGTGCTCTTGGAATGACAGCGATGACAGGCAGAGAGACAGCACTGGTCCCACTCCCATAAACAAGGCCAATAGGTAAAGAGCACAGGGCCCCGAGAGAAAGGCAAACTATGGAGATCTTAGCATGACATCAAAGGAGATCTTAGCATGGCATCAATCGCCAGCCTCACACTCAGCATGACACCCTCTGATGTTCATCACACCTTGACTCATCTTAAGCTTCCTGAGGACTTGTGGGGTTGAAGCAGATGCAAATAAGGGAGAAACCTCTGTAACTGTGAAAGGCAAGATTGATCCAGTGGATCACGGTCGGTCGACGCTGTCTATTTATCACAGGGTCCATTAAGTGCAAGTGGGAGCCTCGGGAGGGAGAGGATATTAAGAAGCACATGCACCCAAAGGAGCATGCATGGTCTCTCTACAGCCATTAAAGTAATTCAATAAAAGACAAGCAATGGACTCAAACAGAAGAGACAGGCGGGAGACATGTGCAGGAAAAGATGTCCAGCATAATTAGTCTTCGGGAGATACAATGTAAGCTATGAGGTGACACCACTGCCCCACTGTATGGCTACGAGAAGTACTGACCATGTCAAAGACTCATCAACAGCTGGGAACGGGCAAGATGGCCACTCCAGGCAGTGGCCGGGCCCAGTCCAGTGCAGTTGGAAACTCTCTTCCTTAAAGACCCAGCAGAGTCCACTCGGACAGTCACATGTGGCTAAACGCCTAAGAATTGAACCAGTGCGGCAACTATGGTGGCACTCCAGAAACAGTGGAAATGGACATCACAGCTCCAGAATGTGAAAGTAGTGACATGTTCAAATAAGGTAACAGCAGAACAACAGGAAAATATAAAACTCAGCAACACACACACACACATGTACACAGGCATGCATACACACCAAAGAACTAAAGGAGTGTGCATGGATCAATGCATATAAAAATTGAAAGTGAGTAAAATGAAACTCGAGTGTCAGGGATCTATTCCTCGGTGTCAAGTTTATGAAGAAGGGGAGACAGATGGATCACAGCTACCTGTGCCCAGGAGAGAAGAGTAGGGCTACTCTCATGACAATGAGGGGCCTTTGGGGGCTGGACAAAAAGGTTCTAATTTTTGTATTTCTCTAGCCTCTTGCCCCTAAGGACACACACACTGGTTTCCATAAGGGACATCCCTGTGCTATGGTCTGTCTCCTCTGTAACTTTCTGTTATTAATCACAGACATAGCTTAGCTCCAACCCCATAGCCTTCTGTGTCAGGCACCAATCAGTGTTGCAAACATCAGCTCCCCTGTCTGTCAATAGAACATGAAAGTCCCCATTATACCTAGCTCGTAGCTAGGACGATAATTACTAAAAGTATGTGTCCCCAAATCCTTGTGTTAGACTGTGATACCAACAGCATGGGCTTGGGAGGTGGGGCCTTCTGAGGGCTAGCTTCATGAGGGTAGTCTTCATAAAGGGATTCATGTCATAACTGTGAAGCTGGGGTATATAAGGTGGGCTCCCTCTTGCCTGTCCACCTTCTGACGTGCCATGTCCCATGTGGCAGGAGAGCCCTCACCAGACACTGCCACTGTGCTCTTAGATGTCCCAGACCCAGAACCATGAGCTAAATAAATGTTTGTATGGAATTTTTTCAGTCTGTGGTTTCCTGTCATTGCCCCAGGAAGGGACTGAAATAAAGGACTGTGGGATCTACTCTCCAAATGCCAGCGATTGTTCAGGTGTCTAATATGCAGCGAGCTGCTGAAGGCTGCGAGGAAGTGAGGTCAAACTGCACCCCTGTGGGTGGCCTGGTACCACATGGCCTGCCCCATGTACTGCAAACATTTGCCTGTGGGATTCCATGTACATCTTTCAGCAGCCAATAAGCTGGGGCCTCTGAAGCAGACCGCTCAGCCTATTTCCTGTTTTCAAGCCGGGGACTCAGCAGAGCAGCAGACGCTCAACTGTCTTGTTGGACCTTACAACAGAGATCGGAGTGGGGCATGTGACTCTCCTGGACCCCTGGACCCACAAAGCCTGAAGATCCCAGGTCAGTGTTTGACCCCAAGCTCAGCTGACGTCTGTCCACGGAGACTCAGTGGCTTCCTTGAGAGCCCCTCTGGGAACAGACGGGGGAGGGACAGAGCGGGAGGAACCAAGGTTGGTGAGAGCCTCTATCTGTAGGGCTGTCCTTAGAGACTGGGGGCAAAATGGGCACACCCCCTTCACCTTCTAGTCCTTGTTCCTTTTGAAATGCCAGGCACCATGCCTGTTCCTGGGAACAGGTCTAGACTTGCATTTCTCAAAGAGTGAAACAGCAGCGTACAGAACCCGGAGCCAGCCTACCCCCAAGGCTGTTGGAGTGTTGTGAGGTAGACAGCCTACCAGCCTGATTTTTTTTCTTGAGTCCCAGCACTTCCTCTCCCCATCCCAACGGGGATTTTGATGCACACCCACATTCGAGGGCACTTCCTGCAATGGGGCCTCATGAGGAAGCACCAGGGGTCTCATGGTGCTCACCCTTCCCTGGCAGGGCAAGCGGGGATGCTTCAGATGACACTCCAGTGAGACCCGCGAAACCTGCCCAAGAAAGAAGGGGCTTAGAATAAAACTCCAATGCCACTCTCGCATTTCCTTCCTTCTTCTCTTTGGATGGTTGCCTCTCGATTCTTCTGTCTTCCTGGGAAGAGCAAGGGCTTTTATTACATTCTACTGGACGCTCATCCCCTCTGCAACCCCCAAGAAAGGTGTCCTAGGCTCTGCAAGTGGCCCCGTGTAGCCAGGAGGAGAGGGCAGGAGTCCCAGAAGCGGGGCACAGGGGACCCAGAAGATGGGAGAGCAGTTGCCATGCACAGGATCTGGGGCGGGGGGGGGTCACATTTCTGAGGGCCTCCAAGGCCCTGAGGAAGGCGTTCCCTACTTCTGTCCTGGCACCAGATGCCCAAATCAAGAAAGGGGATTTGGAAAGGCCTGGACCACTGAGGCCAGTGCCACATGTCACCATTAACTTCACAGACAAAACGACAGAGGAAGAGTACCGTGTGCCCACAGAAAACACCGAATCCTCGCTGGGTAAGTCAGGTGTGGTGACACACACCTGTAATCCCAGCACTCGGGAGGCAGAGGCAGGAAGACTATGAGTTCCAGGCAGCTTGGGCTAAATAGTGTGGCACTGTTTCCAAAGACTTCCATTAGAAACGACAGCACGTGGACGGACCACCTGCCACCTAAATTCTGCGTTAGCGCTTAGCACAGTGGTCCCAACCTGCGGGTCCCATATTCTGCATATCAGATGTTTACTTTATAATTCATAACAATAGCAAAATTACAGTTCTGAAGTAGCAATGAAATAATTTTATGGTTGGGGTCCCAAAAACATGAGGAACTGCATTAAGGGTCGCAGCGTTCGGAAGGCTGAGAACCTGAGGGGCCCATCCCATCACTAACAGTGGGATAAGGCTTGTAGCCACCCTTCCCAGAGAAATAGGGAAGTAGAAAACAGAAGATAAGAAATAACTTGCCCAGGGGCCATAGTCAGTGGGATGGAGGCCGTGTCTCCTGACACCTCCATAGAGCTGAGGGGTTGGGAAGGGTTATAATCTATTGAGTACCCAAGCATTTACAGAGCTGGGTCAACCAGTCTTCTGTTCTGTGCCTCTGTTTGCCCACATATAACTGTGAGGCTGGATGCAGGGTTCCTGAAGGCACTTATTGGACCAGTGCTTAGAAGCCACCCAGGAAACAGCTCAAGGTTGCTTCCAGCTGCCATATCAAGAACAGTCCCTTGAGGCATAGGCTCAAGGTCCACTAGCCTCCCCACGGCCAACTCAAAGTCCTGAGAGGAGATAATGATATCATTGCACCCTCTTTGAGTTCCTGTACTATGGTGGTTAATCTTGCCAACTTAGCTGGATTTACAATACCCTGGGAGCCAAGAGAAGTATACCTCTGGGTGTGTCTGCACAGTGTTTCCACAGATGACTAAGTAAAGGGGAAGACCCACCCTGAATGTGGGTAGCCCTATCCCAAAGGCTAGAAGGAAAAGAGCGAAGTGTGGTTCAATGAGATGGCTTAGCAGGGGAGGGCGTTTGCTACTAAGCCTGATAACCTGAGTTTGAGCCCCATAACCCATGCCCCCAAGCTGTCATAGGACCTGCATATGCTTCTTAGCTGTGGGACATGCGCAGCCATGAGCACACGTACACACAAGCATACACATGTACACACACGCATACACTTTAAAAAGCAAGAAGAAAGCTGGGCGGTGGTGGCACACGCCTTTAATCCCAGCACTCGGGAGGCAGAGGCAGGCAGATCTCTGTGAGTTCGAGGCCAGGCTGGACCGACAGCCTCCAAAACAATACAGAGAAACCCTGTCTCGTAAAACCAAAAAAAAAAAAAAAAAAAAAAAGCAAGAAGAAAGTGAGGAAAGCCTGTTAATGTAAACATAGTCTCTCCCCCTCTCCCTTCCTCTCTCTTCCTCCCCATCTGCTTCCTGATCCTGATCACCTGGGCCCTCTCTACTGTGATGAGCTGAAACCTGAAACTGAGCAAACCCTTGTCAACTGTCTCACAGGTGTTATCAGTGATGAAAAGAAACCCTAACGCATGTGCCTAGAAGGTGCCCGGCCATTTGTTCATCCGAGATGATGTTTTTATTTCTCTTCTAATTTGCAGCCATCTGTAAAAAGCATACACTTCTAGAGTTGTTTCATTACTAATTCTCAGACACCTAACGCATCAGATCCTAGTAGCAAAAGGACTGTGTAGTCCCTGGTGTGTGAAGGTCCCTGAGTTCAAACTCTATGGGGTAGGCCTAGCTTAATCCTCACACCAGCCTGTGAAGGTGGGTTCTGATATTGAACCCATTTTATAAGACGCTGGGATATAGGGAAGCTAGGTGGCCTGACAGCTACCAAGTCATCCATTCCCTATGTGCACAGACTGGACACTAGAAGCCTGCTGGCCTGCTGTTTGCCTCCTGTCCACTTCTGTAAGAGCAAAGATCCTGCCGTCAGTCAACTTGAGCTCATGTTCCAGTCCACACCTCAGCCCTTGCTGCCAGGCAGCCTGAGTCTTAGTGCCTCACCATAAAGTGAGAATATAGGTAGCCCCTGCAAAGGACGGTCATCAGACTGAGAACGTGTAAAGACAAATCCACAGTCTTGGAGGCAGCTCCACCTTGCTCCTTCCAACGCCCACCAACCACAAGACCTTGGCCTAGACCTGTTTCCTTATCTGTTATTTGGCACGAATGGCAAAGTTTTGTGGGTATTCTATTACAAAGGAATGGTGAGCCAGGCAGTGGTGGTGCACACCTTTAATCCCAGCACTCAGGGGGCAGTAGTAGATGGATCTGTGAGTTCCAAGCCAGCCTGCTCTACAGAGTGAGTTCCAGGACAGCCAGGGCTACACAGAAAAAACAAAGTATGAAGAACCAGATGAGATGAACAAGGCATAGTAAATATTTGCTTAGGAAGATAGATGTGTGGGGGCTGCACTGTAATTTAAAACTGGGTGGTGAGACATCTGAACTAGCCAGCATCTTCCTCCAAGGCAATCCCCAAAGTTATTGCTGTCATTATACTCCATTCCATGTGAAATCCAGAGCAACTGTATATACTTCATGGATCACAACGCTAACTCTGTCCATCAGAGGGGAGGGCTAGGTTTGGTCTGGCTGGGCAGCAGAGGACCAAGCAAGGTGATCTTCTGCCATTCCTCCATGCCTGCCAACATAGATTACAACCAGAATCCCAGGCACCCTAAGATCCTGCAGGAGCCCCAACATGAGCTGGCCGTCACTATTCTCTCTTGCACCTCTAGCAGCCTTGGAGCATGGCAAGTCTGGATCATCCTGGGAGCCCTGGCTGGACAGGACCCATAAGCCAATGCACACCAAGGACCAGGCAAGAAGTACTGCCCTCAGGCCCAGACCTCCCATGTCCAGGACCAGAAGAACACTTAGGTAAACTTGGGCTTGGGGTTCAGGGAGAGGGGTAGAAGGTAATTCAAAGACAAATGAAGCTCTTCAGTGGCTACACTAAGGTGGCTGGGCAGCTGACTGGGGTCACCCCAAGCATCCGCAAGACAAGAATTTGGTGCAGGCTCTTTACATGAGAGACGATCCTCAGAGGCAGAGCAAGGACTGGGAACGAGAGCAGCACCTTGTATGATTGGGGGTGGGGGTTGTCACATGACTGGAGTAGGTGACTGGGACTGAGTCTGGATGGGGGTCCATGGGAAGACGGAAAGAACATAACTAAGTGTGCATCCAAGGGGACAAAGAAGCCAGAGATTGTCCACCATGCCTTCTTGCAAACGCTGAAGAGACACACCCGAGCACGTTGCTGTGTCCTAGAGAGGCCTCAGGGCCCTGAGTCAAGGGGCTTCCCTTAAGAATCCAATAGCGCATGCTCCAGAACACAGCGGCTGCTGCCAGTGGGTCCTAGCCTGGCACCGGCAATACCTGCAATAGTGCCATCTCCTGGACGAATCTCTCTTTACACCTGTTCAAGGTGGATCTGCAGAAGCCTGACATGGGCCAGGCATGGAAAGTAAAACTGCTCACTCTCCTGGCCTTCAAGCTCAGCAGAGAGACATTAGTGAAAACGTGTTAGAAGCACCACAAGAAGGCTACGGGAACTGAAGGGGAGGCACTTACTCCAGTATCAAGGGGTGGGGGCGGGCGCCACATGCAAGTCACGTAGCACAAGATACGGATTTCCCAAGCCTGTGCCTCTTCCAATAAATGCACAAGTATTTACGCAATAGTGTTGGAGGAAACTACACAGATTCTCAGATGGGTGTGGGGCTCATGTGAGGCTTAAGAAGCACCGTAAAAAGCTGGGTGGTGGTAGTGCACGCCTTTAATCCCAGCATGTGGGAGGCAGGGGTTGAGGCAGACGGATCTCTGTGAGTTCGAGGCCAGCCTGATCTACAGGGTTCCAGGACAGTCAGAGCTACACAGAGAAACCCTTTCTCAAAACAAAACAACATCAACAACAAAATGTAAAACACTGTTGGTTTCCAGGCAAGGGAACAGGGGAGCTGAATCCAAAGCAGAGTGGCAGGTACACCGGACAGTGTTAGTATAGTAAGAGCTGAAGCTGAAACATGACCTCCTCAGGGCTTCCTCCTCCACCACACGATGCGCACTGACGGGCTCCGTGGCTCCCTGGAGTCAACGCTGTAGGGAGTACAGAAGCACATGGATGGGTCCCTGTTTGCCAGGTTACAAAATGGTCCATCGGCAGGCTGGGAGTGGGTGGCGCAACATCCCACACCGAGCTTCGTGACAAGCAGCAGTCAAGCGCTGGATTAGCTGAGGTCAACACACTAGGTAGATTCCAGGAGGGAGGGTGGAGGAAGAGTATGCTCTTCCAGAACTCTGATCGCCCATCCCAAGCAGACCCAGTCATCACCCCAGAATCCTTAAAGACACTGTCCTTCCAGAAGCCCAGGATAGCCCCAGCTCCAACTCCAGCATGACCACGAGGGAGCTACAGGAACACTGGCAGAGGGAGAAGAGCGGCTGGAGACACGTCAAGCTGCTCTTTGAGATCGCCTCAGCCCGAATTGAGGAGAGGAGAGTCTCCAAGTTTGTGGTAAGCAGCGCTTAGATGTGATGGAGGCTCTGTCAGTCACCTCTTACATGCTCCTGGGAATGTCTTGGGAGACCTCAGCTTGCCACTCAGGACATGAGGCACTGACTCCCGGTCTTCCGAGAAATGAAGGTTTCATGGTGCCACATGCAGGGTCCCCTGGAGACCAGAGATGTGTGAGTCATGTGTCTGACCCCAGGGTACCAGGTGCCAGTTATCTGCAACCCAAATTCACGGATTCTGTGATATCATCCAAACTGCTTGCTTCGTTTTAATTTGAATTGCTTTAAAAAAAAAAACACTACATTTCAGTGAAAGATCCGTTTCCTGTGACATTAAGAAAAAAATTACAAAAGTAAACACAAAAGAAAGCTGAACTCATACGAAATTCTAGTGGCTAGTCTTGGCTCTGCTGGGAGCTGCCATCTCTGTGAGACTGGGACATCAGCCTGTTCTAGGAAGATAGAAGAGTCACGCCAACCCCAGTCATTCTAGCCTCACCGGGACCAGGGCACCTCGCCATTCATCCTCTCTGGGTCCAGTACAGTAGCCGCCAGGGCATGCTGGGCACAGCTCCCTCCCTCAGATCAGTGAGTTCACTCACTTATTTAATCCCCATGTAGAAAACAGGAACTAATCCCATCCTCGAGTTAGCGAAGCTGAAGCTCAAAGAGACTAAATTAGCAACCTAAGACTAATGTGCCTAAATGTGTTATACCTGAAACAAATGCCCAGGTGTACCACGTGCACTCCCAATGCTTCCCAATTCAGAACGGAGCCCCCCACCCTCTTTAAAGATAAAAAGCCCAGAGAGACCCCAGCTTCACCAGCGAGTCCCCGTGCTCTTTTTCTTCCAAGATGCTTCTAAGCACTGTTATTCTAGGGCCAACTTTGGCCACTACAGCAGGGGAGGCACAGAGTATGCGGGGGGGGAGTGTGACAATCCTCAAAGGATGCTATACGCATGCACGAAAATGGGTCCACCAGATGGCTCAGCCAGTAAAAGCACTTGCTGCCCAGCCGGACCACCTCAGTTCGATACCCAGAACCCACATGGCGGAGGGTGAGAACCAATTCCCACGAGTTGTCTCTGATCTACACACGCACAGCGTGCATTCGGGGTTGTCCTCTCCCTCTGCCTGCAGATGTATCAGGTCGTGGTCATCCAGACCGGGAGCTTCGACAGCGACAAGGCGGTGGTGGAACGGCGCTACTCGGACTTCGAAAGGCTGCAGAAGGCCCTCCTGAAGCGCTTCGGGCCGGAGCTGGAGGACGTGGCCTTCCCGCGGAAGCGCCTCACGGGGAACCTGTCGGCCGAGACCATCTGCGAGCGCCGCCTGGAGCTGCGCGACTACCTGCGGCTGCTGTACGCCGTGCGCGCCGTGCGCCGCTCGCGCGAGTTCATCGACTTCCTGACGCGGCCCGAGCTGCGCGAGGCCTTCAGCTGCCTGCGCGCTGGCCAGTACGCACGCGCGCTCGACGTGCTGGGCGGCGTGCTGCCGCTGCAGGAGAAGCTGACGGCGCACTGCCCGAGTGCCACGGTGCCGGTGCTCTGCGCCATGCTCGTGTGCCTGCGTGACCTGGAGCGGCCAGCCGAGGCTTTCGCGGTGGGCGAGCGCGCGCTGCAACGCCTGCGGGCCCGCGAGAGCCACCGCTACTACGCGCCGCTGCTGGACGCCATGGTGCGCTTGGCCTATGCGCTGGGCAAGGACTTCGCGTCCCTGCAGGGCAGGCTGGATGACAGCCAGCTCCGGAGGCCCACGCACAGGGGCTTCACCCTGAAGGAGCTCACGGTGCGAGAGTATCTGTCCTGAGCGGGCCTGGCAGGTGCCCTGGCAAACAGGCTGGACAGAGACCTGGGTCACCATCGCTGGCCGGCTGCTTGGGGCAATCGCGGGTGGGTTTTGCTGGGCAGCTTTGGACGAAGACCTCTTTATTATTTCTGCTAAGCAGAGGGTCTCCTGCGACCCCTGGAAGAGCCATCTTGTGCCCCTTGGGTGTAAGGTTCTCTGAACTCTGAGCCCACAAGCTTAGCTGTCAAAACTTTGCAGGTAGTCTATGAACCTTGCCATCTCGGAATAGGGAGGACTTGCCTACCACAAAGAGTTCAAGGCCAGCCTGGGCAATTTGGTGAGACTGTCTCAAAATAAAGAGTTCTGAGAATGTAGCTCAATGGCAGAATGCTTGCCAAGCATATGAGATGCCTTTGATTCAACCCCTAATACTAAAATAAAAGAAAAAGAAGTACCTGTTTTTGTAAGCAGCCAGGGGAGAGATTTGCAGGCTCATCATGCACAAATGTGCAATGCACTTCCTCGAAACTGCTCCCTCCTTCTGTCCCAGATCTCCCCATTGCTCCTATTTACCCAGCATCGGTTGCAGGAGTTTCCACCCATTAGCCCAGAGTCCTAGTTCCTTCCTTTGGTGTCACCCACTCAGTTCTCAGGGGAAGCCTACCCCCCCCCCCGTGGCAATTGTGTGATTCTTTGAAGGGCAACAGGATGTTGGGGACTCAGGTGTGGTAGTTCAAGTAGGGATGCTGAGGCAGGAGAATCACAAGTTTAAGAGCAACCTAGGCTTAAAGAAAAAGTGGGTCTCAAAAAGCAAAGGAAGGAGGGAAGGAAGGAAAGGAAGGAAGGAAGGAAGGAAGGAAGGAAGGAAGGAAGGAAGGAAGGAAGGAAGGAGGGAAAAAATTGGATCAGAAAGCCACACAAGCCAAAGGCCCTGTGGCACTGGTGACTTTTGTAAATGAAGTTGCCAGTAGGGATGCTCAGCCACGGTGCCCTGGGGTGGCTTTTCACTCATAAGGCAGCTGTGCCTTAGCTTCTTCGGGTCTTGTACACACAGAGGGAAGGAAGTGGAATGAGATATGGGATGGACTTTGGGAAAGTAAAGGAATCCTCAACAGCTCCCCCTGTGAGACTCAGTGGAATACTCTGATAGCTTGGGGTGCTCTTGATGAAACCTACTGTCAGGAGAAGACAACCTCGGACCGCATTGGGAAGGGGGATCTGGACTAACGATCCGAGCTTACGGTACAGCCTGGCTTGGAGACTTAACCAGCTGCTGAATTTAGAGTGAGTGAACCAAGAGACCAGGGCACCGTTGGACCTGGGCTGGTATCTGGTATAGGAGAGTTAGGTCTTTCAAGGTAGGCATTCACAAAACTGCACCCAAACCATGATGTTCAACAATGACCTCTTGTGGCAACTACCGTAATGGTCCCATGAAGGTCTTCAGAAGGAAGCAGACAGAAAGGCTTCCTTCCCTCCAGCAGCTCTTCCAGGAAGACACTGCAAGTGGGGAAATGCTGGTGTTCTTGAAAAGCCGGTCTTGCAGGAAATTAAAGCACTCAGTGACAAAACAAAAGCTATGTCTGTACTTTGTAAGCTATTTCACGTCTTAAAGGTACTCAATAGAATACAACAAACAAAGCAGTGCTATACAGAGAGCTAAATAGGAAATTCTAGGAAAAAAAGGCTGAGTAACCAAAGAACTGGATTCGCACTGTAAGGCTCAGCACTGAGCCAAAACTTCTGCCATGATTTGAATGCCCTCACTTTGAACTCTAATTGGGAAATATTAAGAGGGCAGGAACTGAAGTGTGGGCGCACACCTGTGATCCCCAGCCCTCAGGAGGCCGAGGCCGGGACTGGAGGGCTGTGTGTTTCAGGGCTGCCTGGGATAGGCAATAAATTTCTTTTTGGCCTGGGCTGTTAATTATTGAGTTCTAGGTCAGCCTGGGGTGCCTGTCTAAATAAAGAACGGGGTGGAAACTTATTATATCTAAGTATGGTATCTGGAGATGGCACCTTTTGGAAGAAATGGGTACTGGGCATGAGGACAGGCCCCAGCAATTGCCCTGGTGACCTCGTCAATTGCACCATGTAGAAGTCCCTTTTCAGAAACAGTCCCTTGACTTTGGACCTCCAGAACCAGGCGCTGAGCAGGCCTCTGTTCTTTATGAATCCTGCCGTCCATGGTATCTGGCTACTGAACGGAAAATGGGCCAAGACTCATGCACACTCCACCCTGCAACTGAGGACAATAACGACGAGACTGAGGGGGAGAACCTCTGGGAATCTGAACTGCAAACTAGCACTCACCACACCTCAGGGCTGCCTCACCACAGTTTGGTCCAAAATAGCTCAAGCAGGGAGGGAGTCTGGGCTCAAATGCTCTCTGGTACTGTGAAGGCGATAAAAGGATTCTTATTCAAAGAGAGGGCTCAGCACTAAAATGAGCATCTCAAAACCATGGATGGGTCATGTGGGGGAGGGGAGCATGAGTAAAAGTATTGGATGCATGGATGTGGAGGAATAGTCAGTGTGCATTCTACAATAGCTATGGCATTGTGTAGGGGAGTTCTCCTCAGTACCCCTGAAGAAGGACGCGTCCTGTTTGCCTGAGAAAGCAAAAGCAGCTGCAGGACCCCTGCTCACCTCTTCCTAACGGTGCCCTGTGATGCCCTCCAGTTTCGTGAACTTTTCATTTGGACAAATTTGAATAAACATCTGTCACAGCATATGGCGCTTCGGTGAAAGAACCAAGTTTGATGCCACCAAAACTCATTTTGGTGAAACACACATTTATTGAACTTACTTACAGAGCACAAGTGAGGGTTACTTTTTGTGTGTGTATGTGTATGTGAGAGAGAGAGAGACAGAGACAGAGAAACAGAGAGAGACAGAGATAGAGAAACACACACACACACACACACACACACAGAGACAGAGAGAGACAGAGAGAGAGAGTCCAAAGCAGTGGCACCACAGAAAAGTCTTGCTCCAGCATAGGTGATGACTTCCCCACGGCTGCATAGACGGAATCCCCCTCCACTTAACCTCCCACAGTCTATAAGCTCTGGCACCTTCTGGGACCACAAGACCACGTGCAACCTTGGGCAGAATTACACACAGCTAGGAGGGAGGCGTGTGGAGGAGTGGCTGGACCTCAGTTGTGTCTGACCACCCTTCGTACCCTCTTCCATGAGGGAAGGTCCACAGGCGGCTCTAGAGGGGCTGTTGCTAGCAGTCAGAGCCGCACTGACGGCTGTGATAATGGCCTTACGCTTGGAAGGCCGTCATCTACAGCACCTGCCCGTGCCTTCTACAAGCCTTCATGGCCATTGCAGTGTCTGCTGTCTGCACACTGTGTTCAGCCATGATGGCAGTCTGAGGCCACCTTCCTGGCACCTGGAGTCAGACAGACCTTCTTGTTTCTTGGATTCCGGGTGACTCCTCCAGGGAGCTTCCACGTCGCTCAGCGTGATCCCACGAGGGGTAGCCCACTCCCGCTGTGACTCCAGGCAGCACTCCATTGCCCTGCTTCCCAGAGCTCCTCCCATCACCAAGCCTTACTTGGTCCTTGTTCCAAAGGACGTTAGGAATCGTGGCAGCTGGGCCTGGACCTCCCTTTCTCAAACCAGCTCCCAAGGAGTGGCACAGAGTGCCCGCCCTTAGTGTCCGAGGGGCACAGCCGCGTATTAGGGGTGCGCTTTGCTCCCCCACACCCTCTCCATCATGGCGTCTTTACCAGGAGAGAGGCCTGCCACACAACATCCATGGACACAGGGTCCAATGGGACGTCCATCCTCACCCACAAAGACACACGAACTCTGGCCTCTGAGACCCAGAGCCAACACCAATTTCCCTTTCTTTAATCTGTTTCTCTCAGGTATTTCTCAGTGAAATAAACACAGCAGCAGCATGAAAGCTCACAGCCATGCCTACAGACTTGCTCTGGGTGTTTAGCACTAAAGCCTGGGGACTAGGCTCCCATGTGAGCCATCCAGGTAGACATGGGCAACCTCATCACACCCTGTGTCCATGGATGCTATGTGCCAGGCTTCTCTCTCGGTGCTGCAAGGCCCACCCTGCCCAGGCCACACTCTCTTTTCACTTACAGCTGGGGACAGACACCCTGAGGTGTTAAAGTGACTTTCCCAGGGCCACGTGACTCCCATAGAACAGGAAGTGAAGCTTAGGCTGTTTGTCCCCAAGTCCTCACCTTCATCACAGGGTCTCATGCTGGAGGGTGGAGGGAGGTTGCCCTGAGTCCCTCACCCAGAAGAGTTTTTCAAGGACATGCCACCCATCTATTTACAGATGTGGAAAACACTTGGGGACATTGCATAGTGTCTGGATGGCCCATTATAGCGTGGTGGGTGACATGCTCCAACAGGCAAGGCAGATGGAGGAATCCTGGTTTCAAATTCTAGATGCCCTTGGTGGTCATCTAGCTGGACTTGGGAGGTGCAGGTCAAGATAGATGCCTGGCTTCTGGACTCCAGGCTCCGGGCTCCGGGCTGCGGGCTGCGGGCTCCGGGCTCCGGGCTCCGGGCTCCGGGCTCCATGACTGGTGCGGGGGATGCTCAGTTGTGCTCTCTAACTCTTAGCTTCTGTGACTCTCTGCTTTGGAGCTGCTAGGGCCAGTTCCCCCACTTACCCAGCTTGTCCAGCAGGCCCATCCCTGTGAGATTCGCTGGACAAGCGCTGGGCTACACTGACACACTGTCACACGCAATCTTCCTACTTGGGCCTGCAATGCCATTGCAGGTTTTGTTTTCATATAGGGTTTCCCTATGTAGCTTTGGAGCCTGTCCTGGAACTAGCTCTTGTAGACCAGGCTGGCCTTGAACTCACAGAGATCCACCTGCCTCTGCGTCCCGAGTGCTGGGATTAAAGGCGTGCGCCACCACCGCCCAGTTCACTGCAGGTTTTGTCATTTTCTATATGCTGTTTTTCTTTTAGCGGTCTGATTTACTTATGCAAATTTATCTGCAAAAGAAACTTCCTATATAACTATATCTCCAAATGGAAAGTCAGACTCCCTCGCTGCCCTCATTATGACCAACGGGCCTTGCACTGAGGCAGGTTGCAGGCCTCCGCTGGTAAGTCCCATCTGAGTTGACGGACTCTGGGGACTGGCAGGCACTGCTCGTTGGATAGGAGCGTCCACCGTGTGGTCCCCTCCTGCCACTGCTATCCTGAGCCATCTGGGTCTGGCCCACATTAACCCAAGTCACCTGTCTGGCCCAAGCAAGTCATAGACTTCATTAACCACTATTCATTCGTGAGCACAGGTCTGTGTCTAGAAGCTTGTGTCTGCTCCGACTTTGATTGCATGTCCTTGGCCCTCCGTGTCCCATTAGGAGCTGGTATTCAAGCTTTAGTGGCCAACTTCAAGCTGATTCCAGATAACGGCACCCACTCATGGAGGAAGTGGCCTGGGCTGGCCAAAGCCTGACGCTGCAGTGTGTCCTCTGAGGGAGGTCTTGGTGCAGCTAGCCATGCTGCTGCAAGCAGCCCTTCCCGACAGAGACCAGACTCTATGAGACCCACACAGGCCCTCTTGCCTGCCATGTACCTATGTTCATGTCTCCTCAGAACAGGGAAAGTTAAGGCATTTGTATGTCCCGGAGTCTGAGAGCTGAAAGGACAGACACTCAGAGCAAACAGAAACTCCGACAGTATGATGCCCCTCGTGGCTGGAGAAGACTTCTCAGAGGAAGCCTTGCTTCTCCCAGGGTGCAGAGGAGACAGCGTGGAGCCCGAGCAAGGGAAAGGAGAGCACCAGTGCTCAGGCCAGAACCCAGGTATCAGGCGCCAGCTGACAGGAAGCCATTGCTAATGACCAGCTCGATGAAAGCAAATGTGCTGAGGGGCTTGTGTTTGGTGCACGTGGATCCCTTCGGTTACAGACACAAAACCACAAGTTAACCTGACACGGAAAGAACCTACTGTCTGACAATCCCAGCCATAGATTCCGGCCAGCCAAACTGGATCAAATGTCAGCCCCCCACAAGCCATACACACACAGGCACACACTCACACATGCACACACATGCATGCATTCACACAGGCACACACTCACACATGCACACACATGCATGCATTCACACAGGCACACACATACTCACACACAACCCATGCACACTCACACACACAGGCACACACTCACACATGCACACACATGCATGCAATCACACAGACACACACTCATACACACATGCACACACAACCCATGCACACTCACACACACAGACACACAGGCACACACTCGTGCATGCACACACATGCATGCATGCATTCACACAGACACACACTCATACACACATGCACACACACAGGCACACACTCATGCACGCACACACACAAACACACACATACACACACACGCATGAGCACGTGTGCTCTGTTCTGCTTCCTTTGCCTTGGTTTTTTTCTCCGCTCAGTGTCAAGATGGCAGCAAACTCTCCAAGATCGCACAATCTTTTCTTGGCAACCCCAGATGACTTTCATGCAGGCTTCTTGTGAGATCTTCCCATGTAGGATTTGTGGGAAGCATACACCTGTCCCTTCCCGAGG